TTTGTTCTAGATAGGACAATATCTCTCTCTCTCTCTCTTCTTTTTTTATTGACCTGATTTCGGCCATGAATGGGGCACTTGCCCTGATAATGCTGAATGCAAGGATCTCCTGTACGAGACGGGCCGACTGCTCATTTCTTTGAAGGGGTGTCTATTTACATCCTGGTTTAGTCAACAAGTGGATCCAGTGCTGGGATTTCTCCTGGGGCATTACTGCTGGACCAGCTCTATTTATTCTTTATGTATATGCTGCAGCTATTTATGTAGGACATGACCCTGTTAAAGGGTTAGCTCACCCAAAAATAAACATTCTGTTATTAATTACTAGAGCTTCGTGTTGTTTCAATTCCCTGAGGCCTTCGTTCATCTTCAGAAAAGAAATTAAGGTATTTTAGATGTAATCCAAGAGCTCCTTTATCCTCTATAGACAGCAGGGGTCCCAAGACATCCAGACAAGATCCAGAAAAAGATTAAAAAACATTGTCAAAAAATGACAAGTGACTTCTGAGGTTCAACTTTGTTAACCTTTATCTTTCGCATCAAGTCAGGGTGTGTGCCTACAATGGATGATATGACACAATGATGCCCCATAAAGCCAATTCATCTAATTCTGTAGTAAATGTGCACCCTGACATGAGGCGGGAATAGAAGACATTGGCGAACAAAGTAGTTTTTTTGTGGCCAAATGTGTTCTTGGAGCTTCAGTCCTTACCTCAAACTATTTGCATCTTAAGTCCCTCCCACATGGAGATCTGACAGCCTACTTGAAGCATTAGTCCCAACCACTTGGACACATGCCAATCATACAGCCCTTCCACTTGGACACCTCCCAAACTACTTGTCATAAGCCACTCCCACCTGAAGGTCTCTTGTGGTATAAGTCCCTCCCACTTGGACATCTAACAACCTACTTGTGGCCTAAGCCCCTCCCATTCAGCTACATCTTGCAACACTGGTTCTCAGAAGTAAACAAACAGCTGGCAGTCAGCTCACGTGTGATTTCTCGGCCGCGAATACATATTACACGAAGACAGAAATTACATATTTGGGTGAATTATAGTTTATAAATACAATATGTGACACTTTTAACGCCATTCGAAGGTGTCAATGTTGCTGTGGAGATCAGTGCGAGTGACTTGCTTCTCTCCTGACCTTGAAAATATAATTAGCTGAATCATAGAAAAAGCTAAATTAAGATTGTGCGTAGAGTCAAATCAAGATCGTGATCTTTTTTCGAATAATCGTGCAGCCCTAAACAAAATCATTCACAAATACAATCATTCGTTTTTCTTTACGGCTTAGTCCCTCTATTAATTAGGGGTCACCACAGCGGAATCTTATCCAGCATATATTTTACGCAGCGGATACCCTTCCAGCTGCAACCCTATTCACAATCAAGTAACATAAACATATCAAACAAAACATCCTCATCCACCATGCAAACTAATTATCCTCGTCAAACAACCATCTTTTAAACCTCCTGCAGTCTTTTATTTCCTTGATCATACCGTCCATTCATACTTTTATTTCCTTGATCCTTTAACATACCCACTAGACTTCGAAATTTAAATAAACAAATATTAAAATCCCAACCCCTAGTACTGTATGAATACTGTTGCTTCACCATTTGAAAATTGTTCACCAAATAACTAGGAACCACATTATTATTGATCATTTTACGTACCATTCCCAGTTTTAAAAAACATAGTCCATTACTAACAGTTAACATAGCTAATTCTTTAAAAAAAACTCTGTGCAAATGTGCTCTAGGACAGTGGTTCTCAAACTGTGGTATGTGTACCATTAGTGGTTCCTTCTAGTGGTACGCAGAGGAATCAAATATGTCATATGTACACGCTACATATATTTCAAAACTGATCAAAGATGATTTGTATATGAATATGATGACATACAGCCTATATTTCTGAGGTCCAGGCAACATTTCCAGGTGTTGATGAATTTTCTACTATATGTTAATACTTTACATTTAAGTACAGCACTTTTCTTTTTACTTTTTAAGAACATTATCCTCATTTTTTTACTTTTAAAAGCACTTTTTAATTTAAATGTTGACGTTTTTAGTTTGTTTGTTTTTTTACATATAAGCACAGTACAGTGTTACCGTTCAGACTATTTATAATGTTTAAAGTGGCTGACAATAATTAATATTCTTAATAATAGTAATTAATCTGCCTTGTTTTTAAACTGTAAAGAGCTGTAGCTTAAATTGGTCTACTACGCTACTGTATTTCAATACTGCTCTTTATGGTGGTACTTGGAGATAATTTTTTTAGAGGTGGTACTTGATAAAAAAAAGTTTGAAAACCCCTGCTCTAGGATGTGAGGCCACAGTGCTAACCACTGAGCCACTGTGCCGCCCCAATGATGCTATATGTACACTGACAAAAATTATTCAAAGATGATTTATCGGATTTACTCATTATTTTTAAGGTAAATGGTTGTAAACAATTTATATGGGCTGAATTTAAACAAACTTATTAAGTTGAACATTAATCAATTTAATTTGTTTGCTTAAATTCAGACCATAAAGATACTTTGCAACCATTCATTTTCTTCAGTGTAGCAGCAATCATCAGAACTTTGGCCATTTGTTGTGTTTTTTTAATCACGCTGCAAAAATGTCATGTTTTGAGTACAACATGTTCCATCGCCCCGATTCGACTACAAACCGTGAGATGTTTCAGGCATAGGGAAGTGAACAACACGCTCTTTGTCTCAACAACTTTAAACTCTCTTGGAGTTGTTGGTTTTGGAAAGTGCAACCTGTCTCCCTGAGTTGACCTTTTGTGAGTCCTTGTCCAAACAGGATAACGGGTCGACGAGATGCAACAGAAAGTGAGGAAGTGCCTTTTGAAGTCGGTTCAGTGTTAATGACCCTTTAAAAAACACGTGGGCTAATAAAATAAATAAATCAGCATCATTGTGGCAGTCGACAAAGCACTGCGCTATCTATGAATTTCCACCTAATGAAAAGCAACTCAAGAATAAAAGATATATGGATGGAGGGATGGATGGATGGATGGATAGTTGGGTGGGTGGGTGAGTAGATAGATAGATAGATAGATAGATAGATAGATAGATAGATAGATAGATAGATAGATAGATAGATAGATAGATAGATAGATAGATAGATAGATAGATAGACTACATTTAAAGTGAGTCGCAAATGTTGTTATTGTAATTAGCAAATAAATAAAAGTAAACTGGTGTAGTGTTTTTTGTGAGATCATGTAGATTATAGGACGCTGCCACCCAGTGGACAAACAAGGTAAAGCACACATTACAGCCAGATTAAATCATAATAAACACACAAATGGTTCTTCAGCAGTTAATGTCGCAAAGTGTTTCTTTGGTTCGTTATCAACCAATTTGATATAGCTCCAGTAATGATTTTTTAGTAAAACAATGGTACATATTTGTACTTAAACAAATTCAAGAGGTACACTTCTGAACTCTTTAGGAACTCAAACGTTTGTGAGGTAAATATGAACCATTACAGTACAGTACAAATGTGAAGCGTTTGAAAAGGTAAAGCTCTCGTACCTATATTTCTTACCATATTAAGACAAATTTATACCATTTATTTGCAGATATTTAAGAAAAATGCTAAGTGAAAGCAGTAGCTTTTGCCTGGAAATATCCTCACAAATATAAACTCATGATTAAACTTGACTAAAGAAAGTGATAAAGATGTATCGCGTTTTATTTTAAAGCTACAGTCAAAGAAAACACCGCCATATCGACAGATGACGGTTGAGCTCAGTGATTGACACAATTCAGCGGGTCTGTTTGTTGAAACAACATACGCTTCACATTTAACAATAAACATGATAAATTTACAAAATATGTGATATAACATACCTTATGCCTCTTCGGAGTGGAGATGAATGTGTAAATCTTGCATTTCACTCCCATGTGTAATGTGATGATGTCAGGGCACACATTAAACCCAAATTATCATCGATTTATTAGTACCAAATATCATAGTTTTAACAAAGTTATACTGAACAGTGAAGATAAAATAATTATATGTCATAGAAAAGCTGGCGACCCCTGATTAATAAGGAAAATGAATGAATTAACAAAATAAAAGCGCGGTGTTTGGCCATCAGGTGAACGGACGCTGTGTATGACGTCAGTGAGACGAGACGCCTCACCGATCGCGAGTGCCACAATCTCGCTTCAAAGGCAATATAACAACCATCTTTTTTCTAATATGCATAAAAAGCATGTTATAAAATGTTTTAGTGCCTGTATAAATTGTGATTGGGTCATTTTTAGGGCGATGATTGATGACTTGTAAATGACTGTGGATTGTGAGCCCAATGCTGCTTGACCAGTGTATTCAGCAATAAACTCCATAGTGTTATACATTGAATTTTTGTTTCCATTATAATAGGTTTGTTATAAAATAATAACAATAGGTTTGTATGAGGAACTACTTTCTTCCGCATTGGATTCAAATCATAAGCTGACAGTTAAACAGCTGTTAAAACAGTTAAAAACATCTTTAAACTGTAGATCTGTAGTGTCTGCTTTTTGCTGGCTGTATGTGGGCGGAGTAATACACAAAGGGTAAAGAGCCTGTAGGAGTTCTGATATTGTAGAATATAGCACAGCTTTCAGCCAATCAGATTTGAGAACCAGACAGAACTGTTGTGTGTATATATATATATATATATATATATATATAATGGATTAGTTAACATGATTAGAGTTATGTTTTTTATTTATTTTAAAATAAACTAGGAAATTATTCATGGTAACTTTGTATTACAGCTTGATATTTTTACCTTTGGCCCTCAATCAAGTTTGGTTTTGGGCATCCCTGATTTAGATGCTGGAGATGTTCTGGCTAACAAAAGGATTATTTACCAATTTATAAAACAGCTATGTACTGCTAAAGCATCATGAATAGGACTCAAATCAGATGCATCATTAAAATAAATCATTTCCAAATGTTTTCAAACAAAGGATCATCAGAATCAGATTTTTATTTAATTATTTATTGGACATCATTTTCTCAGATCATTGTGGAGGAGTTTAGGAGTTTCTGCATTCCAGTTGGGATGAGTTCTGCACTCATTAAACAGCTTGATGTTTTCTTCTTCATCTGTTTTGTAGATTTGTAGCTGTGTTTAGGTTCATTCTCTTAATCAGGACTCAGTTCTGACTCCAGTTTAGCTGTGTGATGAGTGCATTCACACACAACTAAAGCTGCAGACCGACATACTGATCACACCAGTTCAGGTGACTGATTAGTGTTACCATCCGGAGTAATGTTCAGAAGAAAAGCATAAAGAGCGGATCCAAAAGCAGCATTTAACCATTTAATAAAAGAACTATGACAAAACAAGACAAACTAAAATAAAGCAAAACAAACCAGGACCAAACGAACATCATGGGAGCAACTCAAACAACGAGAGGGACACACAAACTGAAATAAATATTCCTGGCGATCATAGCGAATGAGCCGCAGCTGTAAATGTGTGTGCGTGACAGAGAGAGTGTCTGGATGACGTTCAGCTGGAGCAGGTATTGATTGGTGCAATGAATTCTGGTCATGGTAGTTTATGTGGTGTGTGTGTGTGTAGTTCATGTAAATTTTACCAGAGATCTCTGGATGCTGGATCGTGACGGTGACAGATAAGTATGTCGGTCTGCAGCTTCAGTTAAAATTCATAGAGTGTCTATGATGTTTATTTTTACAGATGTTTTTCTCCAGATAACTCAAATTATAATTCAATGCCTTTGGCCTTTAACTGATCTTTCACTCTCTTCAGGTAGTCTGGGTCTGGATAACCATTACTGTGAAAGTGAAAAATAAAATCAAACACAGTAATACAGTATTTGCTTTTTAATGAGTAGTTCTGCATAGAAGCAGACTTCAGATGAACTCATACCGTTCAGGTCCACCAGATATATTGGTCTTGTGATGGATATCATTCCAGGTAACAGCGTTCTGCACACTGGTTGTTGAGGTCCTGACTGTAAAGATCAGCTTCTGATCAAAAGCTCTCTGCAGCAGTGCAAGCACTTCTCTTCCTTCATGGTTGTCTGGTAAGTAAGCACGACGAGTTGTCCCATAATAAGGCTTCCCTGGGTTTGGATGCTTCGTCTAAAATTATAGAAAAATGTATGTTTTACCATAACCATGATCAAAACATTGTAATAGTAAAGAATGCAGAAGGAGATTATACATTTCAGGGAAATAAATAAATCAGACACTAAATCAGACATTTACACTTACAATAGCGTCTTTAGGTTTTCTAGACAAGAAGAAATGCAAACACACTCTAAAAAGGCTGGGTTTGCACATTATAACCTCATTTTAGGGTAATTATTGACAAAACCAACCATTTGGTTAAAAAGCATCATTTAAATGTATCTGAAATAAATTAACCAAAGTTGTGTTCGTCTGTACTTGAACCAAACGATGGATTAAAACAACCCAACATTTTTGTGTACCTGTGGTTGAAACATGCTTATTAAATACATTCGCTGATAGGCAACAAACGACTCTAAGTAATCGATATAAATTAGACTTTACTTCTAACCAATGGTATTACAAAGATGTGTGAATTCTTGCAATGTGCACATTAATCACCAGTGACTAACATAATATTTTTTAATCAACACTACAAACATACACTTTTTCTCTCTTTCTTTAATCAGTATTATGTTCTTGTGTAGTCTAAAACTTTATGATGTGCATAATGACATAAATTAGTTTGACATATTCTTACTGTTTGAGTACCACTGGGTATGTTGTAGAGGATTTCAATAGAGCCACAGCGTGGATATCCGGGGAGACTGATCCTGCTCATTGTAACTCTCATTGTTCCGTCTGGTTGGTTTCCCTCCAGTTTCCCAAACACTTCTTTACACACAGGACAGATGGATCCCACTAACATCACTGACATCCTCAAACAGTCCCGACAGAACTCATGACCACACTTCAGTTTATGTTTATCAGTGAAGCTGTCCATGCAGATAACACACGTCTCATCTTTACTGTTGTGTCCAGAGTTTCCTTTAGAATCTTTATTGAAACAAACTTCTTTTTTAATTTGCCCTTTAAAGTTCACTCGCTCATCTTGTTCTGGTCCTCCCGCTGCTCCTGCTCCATAATCAGACATTAAATTGATTCCTCGAGTCTTCTTCATCTTGTCATCAAACATTTCTTTCTGAAGTTCATACTTTATTGGGCTTTCCAGTGTTCTTTTCTCTCTTTCAATGCCTTTGACCTTTAACTCATATTTCACTCTCTTCAGGTAGGCAGGATCTGGATAACCATTACTGTGGACAGAGAGTGAAAAAAAGTTCAAACACAGAAATATTTCACATTTAATTCCTAATTTACATTTTACATTACAAAACTAACAGTAGTGATTTCGTTAGCTCATACTGCATTTACATTTAGTCATTTAGCAGTAGCTTTTATCCAAAGCGACTTACAAATGAGGACAAGGAAGCAATTTACACAACTATAAGAGCAACAATGAATAAGTGCTGTAGGCAAGTTTCAGGTGTGTACAGTCTAAGAAGGAAAACATTAGTAATGTAAGTTTTATTTTATTATTATTTTTTTTTTGAGAACAGTTAGTGGTATATCCAGAGAGGCAATTGCAGATTAGGAAGGAAAGTTGAGACTAAATACTTGAGTTGTTAGTATTTAGCAGACTTTAAATGAACTCATACCGTTCAGGTCCACCAGATGTATTGGTCTTATGATGGATATCATTCCAGGTAACAGCGTTCTGCGCATCGGTGGTTGTTGAGGTCCCGACTGTAAAGATCAGCTTCTGATTAAAAGCTCTCTGCAGCAGTGCAAGCACTTCTCTTCCTTCATGGTTGTCTGGTAAGTAAGCACGACGAGTTGTCCCATAATAAGGCTTCCCTGGGTTTGGATGCTTCTTCTAAATTTATAGAAAAATGTATGTTTTACCATAACCGTGATCAAAACATTGTAATAGTAAAGAATGCAGAAGGAGATTATACATTTCAGGGAAATAAATAAATCAGACATTTATACATTTCAAGAGTTCACACTTTTGATGATTGATTATAAGCAAGTTTGGCATGCTGTCCCAGGAGAGAGCCCTGAGCCCAAAAGGTCCTTGAGCCCTGGGCTCCCTCCCTTTTGTAGGGCAAGAGGAGAGCTTTGAGCTCAGGTAGATCTCGACAACTCCTCCCTTGATAAGAGCTGATGACTAAAGTGCTAACTTTAGATTGATCAATTCACTTGTTGTGCATGTTTTTGGAATGATGGAGGAAACCAGAGAACCCGGGGGAAACCCATGCGAGCACGGGAAGAACATGCAAACTACGCGCAGAAACAACAACAGCCGGCCTTTTAAAGGATATGAACCGGTGACGTTCTGGCTGTGAGGCAACAGTGCTAACCATTGGGCCACCGTGCCGCCCTATGAAGGGAAAGGAGGAGGAGTAGGGGTGAAAGGAGAGATTCTTCAAACTGAAGGTGACTGTAGTGAGAAACCCTGGCTCTTTATAGTGGGTTAGGACAGGCCTGATTGGTGGATCATACTTCATCATACTACGTATTCAATCATAATCATGTGATCCTCCCGAAATTAGTTTATAGATAAACTTCACATAGCATCTTTGGGTTTTCTAGACAAGGAAAAAAGCAAACACGCTCTATTTATGCTCTAATTACGCTTTAATTATTGACAAAACCAACCCGCTTGCTTCAAAAGAATCATTTAAATGAAACTGAAATAAATTAACCAAATGCTGTGTTTGTCTGTGTTTGAAAGTAATGTTGGATTAAAACAACCCAACATTTTTGTGTACCTGCGGTTGAAACATGCTTATTAAATACATTCGCTGATAGGCAACAAACGACTCTAAGTAATCAATATAAATTAGACTTTACTTCTAACCAATGGTATTACAAAGATGTGTGAATTCTTGCAATGTGCACATTAATCACCAGTGACTAACATAATATTTTTTAATCAACACTACAAACATACACTTTTTCTCTCTTTCTTTAATCAGTATTATGTTCTTGTGTAGTCTAAAACTTTATGATGTGCATAATTACATTAATTAATTTAGCATATTCTTACTGTTTGAGTACCACTGGGTATGTTGTAGAGGATTTCAATCATGCCACAGTGTGGATATCCAGGCAGACTGAATAATCTCTTTGTTACCTGCATTGTTCCTTTCGGCTGGTTTCCCTCCAGTTTCCCAAACACTTCTTTACACACAGGACAGATGGATCCCACTAACATCACTGACATCCTCAAACAGTCCCGACAGAACTCATGACCACACTTCAGTTTATGTTTATCAGTGAAGCTGTCCATGCAGATAACACACGTATCCTCTTTAGCATCAGCATCTTTACTGTCATGTCCAGATTTTTCTTTTGAATCTTCACTGAAACCTGTGTCTGTTTTAATTTGCTCTCTAAAGTTCACTCGCTCATCCAGATCTGCTCCTCCCGCCGCTCCTGCTCCATAATCAGGCATCAGTTTCTTCCGTCTTGTCTTCTTGTCATTAAACACATTCTTCTTAAGTTTGTCTTTGAACTGTCGTTCCACTCTTGTTGATTCTTTTTTAATCAAATCTGTGTATTTCTTTGGTCCAAACAGCAGGCAGTCTCTGGCAGTCATGGTGAACATCATCCTTTCCTCCTCTGATTGGACAGTATACAGAGTTTCCTTCACAATATCTGAATCCATGTCATGACTAATGACGGCCTGACTAAACCCACCAACACATCCCTGAACAAGTTTCTGAAAATCCTCTGAGGTTTTAGACACAGAATCAGAGCTCGAGCTTTGGGTATGTTTAATTGAGACCGACACTTCTGCACAAATAGACACTCCATGCTGTTTCTCAAATTGCTCCAGCTCCTTTCTGTAGGCATGATGCATGTACCAGAACTCATATAGGGGTACAGTGAGTCCATCTGATCTCTCAGGGGTCGTTTCAGTGGTTTTGATATTATTAGTGTCATTTAGAGCAATATTAGATGCTGCACTTCCTTCATTACTTGCTGCAGAAGTCTGAGGTAATGAGGTAATCACCTAAAACCAGATGATAAACCATATTATTTAAGGATTTTATGCATACAGTGAAATAACATCTATTACAGTAAACACACGTCATAAATTAATAGCATCATTATTAAAATTATTACTAACACAACAACTAATGCATTTGGAGTCAGAAATGGTTAATTTATCCTTTGGTAATATATAAACATCAATACATGATGAATAAACTGATTAACAGCATGACTATGTATTTTGCCATACATAAAATAAACTTGATACCTCTGGTGACGGAGGCTTGTTCTCCTCCTGCAAGGACTTTTGTGGTATATTCACATAATCCGCTCCATCCTGACAGATCCATGCAGTCACTTCTTTATTTTCATTTTTAAACCTCAACGGTATAAACTTCAGCTTTTTTAAAGCTTCTAGAGCTGTAGAGAAGTGAAATGTAGGTAATGCACAACTCTAAAACATTTATTAATAATAATAATATGGCAAACAAATAAAGTAAAAACAGTGCAATTTGTATGGTTGTTATAACACTAGTGTTGCTTAAGGCACCATATAATGAAAATCTGGATATACCTAGGCATAGCTGGATAATAAAATTTCAGTACATGGAAATAACATACAGTGAGCCTGAAACAACGTTATTTCCTAGTTCTAATGTAAATCTCATGAGTATAAAAGCTTGGTAAAAAAAAACAGACGAATTAAAACAAAACACAAGACTCCGACAATTCATATGATGATCATTAATTTACATGACTCATGTTGTGTTTGATTGGCTTGTTGGTTTTCTCAATGACATTATAACAATTATAACTTTTCCCTTTTTTACAACTTATCTAAGCTTGTGTTTATACATACCATATATGCAGGACTCTTATTTAAAAAAAGGACAGGCTTCAAGGAATAAAGTAACAGTTTTGTGAGTGTGATCACATCACAACTCATTGTCAGAAAGCAAAATGCAGATTGTAAATATATTCAACACCACCCCAAAGAGGCATGAGGTCAACAAACACGTGTTCAGTGCATATTTATGCATTGTGTCATATCGCTCCGCTCTTACTGTCATTTTTCTGGTGTGAAAAGATGCCAATAAACATCATAAAAGTCATCTGTTTATGCAGAAGTTGATATTAATTCCTGCCTGTGCTTTTTTATGTTAAAACCACAAAATACAACTCTAAATACCTCTCTGTCTATCCCTTTTGTTGAGTTTATTTTTCATATAGCATATATTTAATCCAATACACAACTCCAAACAGAGCAAAGTAGGTCACTTTGGTCACTCCTTCGAAAATAATCCTCTCTACAGTTGAAGAATTATGTTTAATTAAGTTATTTGTTGATGAATTAAGTTAATTTATTCATTTCCATTCAACCTAGTTCCTTTATTCATCAGGGGTCGCCACAGCAGAATGAACCGCCAACTTATCCAATATATGTTTTACGCTGCAGATGCCCTTCCAGCTGCAACCCAGTACTGGGAAACATCAATACACAGGACACCCACGCCAACACGGGGAGAACATGCAAACTCCACACAGAAATGCCAACTGGCCCAGCCGGGACTTAAACCAGCGACCTTCTTGCTGTGAGGCCACAGTGCTAACCACCGAGCCACCGTGTCTCCTGAATTAATTTGAATGATTTTAATGTGTGCGTTTCAGAGTACATCATGCTTTGTGTTTGTATGCGTGAGCGCCAGGACGAGCTCATTAATATTCACGACCCTTCCAAATATGGTCAAAACGAACCATATCATATATGGGAAAATTCCAAGGGTTGGAAATGGACCTGTAAAATCGTTTCTGGGGAACTTGTGTATTCATCTAAGCAATATGCACTCTATTTAGATATCAGAGAACAAGTTAACATATTGTATTAGTGCATTCTATGGCAACATTAAAATATGGTCACATTAAGACTGTAAGTAGGTGTGTATGTTAGCAGCAGTTAACCGTTTTGTTTTGTGAATTTTACTGGAATAGCTAGTGAACACCCTTAGTTAACAGAACTGAAAATGCATTTCAATTGTATTTGTGAAATGTAAGTGAATCACCATCACCTGTTGATGGAGTTATCTGCACTTCTGCAAATGACGGATCGTTCATGAGCTTAATAGTGTGAACCGTTGCATTTTCTTCTAGTTTTGACAACCACGACTGAAGGGCGATCTGTAATCTTGCTCTCCATCTGTCTGGAAATGCTTCAGTCCAGTCCACTTTGATCATTAATTTACTGATATCCAGTGGTGCTGAAGGTTTGGGCTCTTCATTATCAGCCATATAAAGATCCTCCTATAGGGAAAGTAGTCCATTATTTCCAATTTTATGTAAAGGAATCAAATGCAATCCAAACACTAAATTAGTTTCTAGTAATAGTATGTTCTGATCATTTTATTTTGTAATAATAGTTCATAAATACTGATGATATTATTTGCAATCCCCTCAGAAAACATGTCTCAAGCTCTACTCTTCAGCTCATACCTCTTCCAGTAGTATCTCAGACTGATTCATTGTGATGAATCCTGAAGTCCTGTATTTAAGTCCTAACATTCAGAAGATAATTAAACAGTTCTTTAAAATATATTTTAAACATGAACGAATAAATAAATAATAATAATATATTAACCCTCCTGTTGTTCTAGAATTCTGAATACACCAGTCAACCTTTTGGTCAACATGAACTGCCTTAACTAAACTAAAAAAGCAGCTAATTTGAAATATATTTTGCCTGAAGAAACAACCCCATCTTCATCACAAATTCTGATTGTCCAGATTTTCCCTCATCAGTGTGCAGTATTTCATCAATCTCATTTTTGATGACCGTAAAGGGTGTACACTCACCGGCCACTTTATTAGGTACACCTGTCCAACTGCTCGTTAACACAAATTTCTAATCAGCCAATCACATGGCAGCAACTCAATGCATTTAGGCATGTAGACATGGTCAAGACGATCTGCTGCAGTTCAAAGTGAGCATCAGAATGTGGAAGAAAGGGGATTTAAGTGACTTTGAACGTGGCATGTTTGTTGCTGCCAGACGGGCTGCTCTGAGTATTTCAGAAACTGCTGATCTACTGGGATTTTCATGCACAACCATCTCTAGGGTTTACAGAGAATGGTCTGAAAAAGAAAATATCCAGATAACAGTATTCGAAAAGGTTAAAGCAGAATATTCTTATTGTGTGTGTGCTGTATTTTGCATGTCTGTGCCAGTAGTTTTTGTGGTATAAAAATTGCCAGTCAAAATTTTACTTGAAAGAAGCCTGTTGCACCCTAAATGTGTGCAGCCTTCATGAAAATATGGAAACAGAAAAATATTCCTTTTTTTCTAACTATTAGTCATTTTAGAAAAATTCCCCAAACTTTAAAAATAAAAAAATACATTGCTTAATATTTTTCTGCTGCTAAAATATTGGTTTGGCAAGGTCATTTTTGACCCATAAGTGAACAACAGGAGGAATAAAAACCTCATGACAACAACAGTGTGTATTTCAACCCAGTGTGTATATACACATTTTTGACCAGTTGTCATTTGTGGCCCTGGGTCAATAAACTAGTCATATATGTATATATACATTTTGATTTTTGGAATTTACAAGATTACTTAATTATCTTTCCATTGACGTATGGTTTATTAGGACAATATTTAGGTGAGATACAACTGAACATCAGGAATCTGGAAAAAAATTGCTAAAGTTGACAAAAAATTACACTTTATATATATTTACAAAAAATAAATTTACCAAATGTCTTCATGGAATATGATCTTTGACCATTTTTGCCATTAATGGACAAGATGTAATTTGGACTCCATATTCCCACAAATTCACACTCGTGGGTGTGTGTGTGTGTGTGTGTGGTAATGACTGGATCAAGCGCACAGTCGTTACTCAATATGTACATCTGGAAAAATGAATTCATAACCAACAAAAATAAATCATAGTTTAATTGTCATTTATGTTTTTCCTTACTGGCTGGATTTTATGCAGTAGTCTAAAGTTTTATTAAAGAATACTTAAGAGTTTTTAAGTTATTATTTTTTAAGCAACTGGTGGTCGTTCATAAAAGTATTCCTTGCTAATCTAAATAATGATATATATTTGCAGCCAATGGCCATCAAAGTACATGTCCAGTAAATTAGTGCTTATGTTGTTTGGATATGTCACTTCAGAATGAATATTCAAAGTTTTGTAGCCTAATATACAGAGACTGTGTCAATTTGTCACTGTTCAAACGTGAACGAATGAGTGAACCAACTTTACCTCAAGTAGCTAACTACTGACGGTCGACCGCGTATTTCCAGAATTATACATAAGTATTTAAAAATTAATATAACACAATAATAAACAAATAGCTAGACAATTACTTACCGAAAACCGTATGTGTGTACTGTATACGAGCTGAGCTGTCAGTCGTCTGGTTTGACTTGTATGTAGCCTACGTGTTAACACTTGAGTTTACCTGTAGGCTAAAGGGTTAGCATCTAGCTCCTTGAAGCTTTTGTTTCGTTTCCCACCTTTGCTCTGTTCTTTCGTTTCATGAGATGGCCAACAAGCTGTTTGCATTTCATCACAAACATGCAAAAAGTGCACTACAAGAGGCGAAGGCATGAACGCTATAGCAATTTTATTATTTTAGGTTTTAGTTTTCCTCAGTCATAATCTTGTCTGAGGTGTAAAAACACTCTAAAATAATAATAATAATAATAATAATAATAATAATAAGGGAGAGTGGGGTAATGTGAGACAAATTTTTTTTTACATTTGCTCCCCTCTGAGTGGGCTAAAATTATATCAGTAAAATTTACACATTTCTCACCTAATTAATTCAGAATGTTTCCTAGTAATGGAATTTATCAGACTGTATTTAGGATAAAAGAAAGTGATGATTGTTTTAAAATGTTGTCTTGTGTCTCACTTTACCCCAGCCTGACTTGTCAATTATGGATTGGGGATTGGTCAATTAAGCACATTTGTTTTTCTAAACACTTGAAAATACTCTGAGCAAAATCAAATCCAACAATCTAATTCAAACTAATGAATTTATATTCTAATGACAGATAGAACCAGTTAGATTAGATCCCAACTCCAGGGGTCAGAACACAGGACCCTTAGAGCCAACTATAGTGCATGGGAGTCAGAGAAAAGGACAATCAGAACCAAATAGAAAAGCTTGGGACTCAGAACACAGACCCACCGGGATTAGAACATCAGCCTACTGCCATACTGCCACTCAGACAGATCTGTGTTTCTTGGATCACTACTCTCATCCTCAGAGCTCTCTTCGTCAGATACAGTGATTTCCTTTTGGGTTGCTTTCTTTTTCGCTTTTTCCTTTATTATTTTTGTTGTTGTTCTTAAGGAACCGGCCAGTTACTATAACTGAAATTAATCGTCCTTTTATGTAGAAGGTAATGAGATTATGTCAGGTGTGTTGATCAGGAACTAGGTGTGGGTGAGGGGAATGCTGGGAAATGCAGTCCTAAAAGTGATTGGTGCATTGTCTACTTGTAAATTTACCAAACTCTTAAACAAAAATGCTTAAAATATTGATTTATTTGTGGCAATTTGTTTACAATTTCCAACAAAAACCCTCTCCAACAGTTATAAATTGAAATCATTGATCATTAGTGCAATAAAAGAAGAAGGAGAGGCATGAAGAGATTTACTGCAGAAAATAACAAAAAAAAGACAAAAATGGCAGATTGAAAATAATAAACATCAGAAATACCCTTAACTTTATCTTCAAGCTCTAATATGTGCTTTTTATAGTTCCACAGTTGCTTATTTGTACATACATGTACTATATTTGCTCACATTTGCAATATATAATCACTGTACGCTTAAACATTTCGACACAATTATTATTACCATCATTTAAGCCCATCACCGTATTTAAAAGCATACATATGCTGTAAGTGCCTGGCAAAAGTATTTAGCCCCATGGAAAACTATTCCTTGCACTTTTAATTGCAGATTGCACACATTATACCATTTTTTTTTATTGCATATGTATCTAAAGTAAGTGAATGAGAGAACATATTTTTTTTTAAAAGGCATAATATTTGTAATATTTAGCCTCAGTTGTTTGGTAAGCATTCATCAGCTTTGCACTGTGAATATAAATAATATGTTTTCCATTCTTCTAGTTTAGAGGCACTTGTGAGACACACTTGTAAACTAAACTTTCATAACAGCACCACATATCCTCAGCAGGCATCCTTATAAAATGTCTGGGTAATGTATAACGGGTTTAAGATATTTGCTTTTGGTTTATCCATTCACTGCTGTTTTTGCATTGCACATTCTCACTCTCAAATCATCACACATTTACACTTGGTCACTTTCGCATCACATTTCAACATGCAAGGTAAAGTTGTTATTTGTAGGTCTATGTGATTAGGGTAGTGATTCTCAACCACCTTCTTGCATTGCTGCCAGCGCTGCATGTTTTGGATGTCTCCTTTGTCTGTCACACCTATTACAGGTCTTTCAGTCTCTGCTAATGAGCTGATTATCTGAATCAGGTGTGTTTGGTTAAAGAGATACCGTAAATCTGCAGAGCTGGTGGTCTTCTATGAATGTGGTTGAGAACCACAGTCCTAATCACATAGGCCTAAAAAATAACAACTTTTCCTTTACTGTCTAAGTAAAGGAATACAACTACTGAAGAATCAAAACTTATAAAGACTCTTTGGTCATTCTTGACCAAGATGCTAATGGTCTAATCCGATTAAATGATTTATGCTAAGCTAAGCTAAAAGTGGTAAAACTCAACTATTTAACTCTAGGGGAGCTGTGATTTTTGTAATTCTCTAAAAACTGTGGAGCCTTCCTTTACGAATGTTGACTATTAACCATTTCTCCAGTGTCTAGGTCAGGGGTGGCCAACCCTGTTCCTGGAGAGCCACCTTCCTGCAGATTTCAGTTGCTACCCAAATCATGTGTTTGATATGGGTGGCAACTGAAATCTGCAGGAAGGGGGCTCTCCAGGAACAGGGTTGGCCACCCCTGACCTAGGTAATGTAATTCACAATGAAGTCACAATTTTACAATCAACAGATGCAAACGGTTTAATACTTCTCTGTTGTCTCTTGAAGCTTTAGATTGACGTTTTCCAAAGTTTGTGGTGTCTCAAATCAGGCCTTTTTTTTCCAATGAATGTAGTGTGCTCTTTAGATGTAGTTGTATTAATACAATACCAAACACCTTACATGTATAATGAACACAGTTACATTGCCAGGAAAGAAACTACTTGTGATTTGATGCTATATATCAATGGTGTAAACATGGAGCTCCAGTGCAGGGGTGTTGCATTTTTACCACATTGTTTATTCAATGCCTTTGGCCTTTAACTCATCTTTCACTCTCTTCAGATAGTCTGGGTCTGGATAACCATAACTGTGCAAATAAAAAATGAGGAATACAAGTTTAAGTTCACTTGATTTCTGGTTAAGCATGCAAGCAGATTTTAGAGATGAACTCATACCTTTGAGCTCCACCAAATTGACTGGTCTTATGATGGATATCATTCCAGGTAACTGTATTTTCCAAACCGGAGGTTGTTGAGGTCCCGACTGTAAAGATCAGCTTCTGGTCAAAAGCTCTCTGCAGCAGTGCAAGCACTTCTTTTCCTTCATGGTTGTCTGGTAAGTAAGCACGACGAGTTGTCCCATAATAAGGCTTCCCTGGGTTTGGATGCTTATTCTAAAAAATACATTTTAAAATTATGCATTACTGTACCACAATATTAGGACTCACTTCATTTTCTATAGGTTATTTTCTTCTTTATCACATCTCTGGCATATGTTTACTGTGCACTGGCTCAACCCCAGTGCTGGGAAACACCCACACACTCTAAACTTACAACTTTTTTATTTTTTTAAAAGAGCTACAAGGAAATCACAAATAAAGTGCTTTGATTATTTTATACTGTGATTTATCATTAATTAGATAGTTTTAATTAGGTGTTACAAACTCTTACCGTTTGAGTACCGCTGGGTATGTTGTAGAGGATTTCAATAGAGCCGCAGTGTGGATATCCGGGGAGACTCAAACTGCTTTTGTTGACCTGCATTGTTCCTTTTGGTTGGTTTCCCTCCAGTTTCCCAAACACTTCTTTACACACAGGACAGATGGATCCCATACTCTCCACTGACTGCTTTAAACAGTCCCGACAGAACTCATGACCACACTTCAGTTTTTCCTTATCAGTGAAGCTGTCCATGCAGATAACACACTTGTCCTCTTCAGCAGCAGCATCTTTACTGTCATGTCCAGAATTTCCTTTTGAATCTTCACTGAAACTGCTTTCTCTTTTAATTTGCTCTCTAAAGTTCACTCGCTCATCCAGATCTGCTCCTCCTGCCGCTCCTGCTCCATAATCAGGGATCTGATTGAGTTTGATTCTTCTAGCATAAGGAATGTCCTCTGAGTAACCAATCAGTTTCTTCATCTTGTCATCAAACACTTTCCTCTGAAGGATCTTCTCAGTTTCAGCAATAGCAGGACCGAGGTGTTCTGGCAGTCCAGTGAGTGTCCAGCGGCTCAATCTCTCTGCTGCTACAACACAATAACGCTGCTGAAGCTTCTCCATCGCTGATCTCACGTCAGTTTGATCTGCAGGCTTTCTGAGTTCACAGCTCACTGCTGCTGATGCCAGTTTCTGGTAGAGGTGTGTTAAAGCTCTGACCGCGTGACCTTCGAGATTCACATGCTGATCACCTTTAGATCGAGCCTGAACCTTAACTACATTCTTCTGAAGATCTGCAGTAAATGACACTCCATATTTGGCTTCAAGTTCTGATAGTTGTTCCTCATAGGAAAGCTTCATCAGATCCCAGTGAACCTCGTCCATCTCAAGTTGAGTTGGAAGATCTCGTGTGTTCATGTCCAGTGTAGGTCTGCTTTGAGGTGGAAAACTGCTGTCTACTCCCATTAGATAAGCGTTGCTGTCTATATTCATTGGGATTGATCTACTATTGGACTGACCTTCTCCTCTTCTTGTTTCTTCTTTAATCATGTCTGTAAATTTCTTTGGTCCTAAAAACAGGCCATCACTGTCAGTCAGAGTGAACATCAGCTTTGTCTTCTGTGACTTGATGGAATCAATGGCATTTTTCACTATATCTGCATCCATGTCATTATGATGAACTGTAGCATCACTAAAACTACTCATACATCCCTGAACAAGTTCCTCAAATTCATCAGTGGCTTTAGACACTGAATCAGGTCTTGGGTTCTCTGTAGCATTAACTGAGATTAACACTTGTGCAGAAAAAATAACTCCATGGCGTTTCCCAATTGTTTCCAACTCTTTTTTGTAAGCATTATAGATGTACCAGGACAGATGGAGTGGAAGAATCAATGGAGATTTATCAGATGGAGCAACATTCTCAACATTGTTTGTTGTGTCTGTGTCTGCAGAAGTTACGGACATAGGGTTGTTCACCTAAAACATAACATGGTATTGGATTTTAAATGTATTATACCATATTACTGATACAAGTCATGGTTATTTCAACCCAAAATTAGAAAAAATTGGGACAGTATGGAAAATGCAAATGCAAAAACCCCACTTTACGACTTGTTTGCAGATAGAATGGGACAAAATTACACCTGAATTACTTCTTCACTTTATTTAAATGTGTTGCAAGAACTAAAATTGGAATGTGTTTATTTCAGAAAAAAACTATAAAAATCACGAGGAACATAAAAATAATGTTTGTTTTAATGTATTATCTTTTTTTTATTAGTGTTTCTTTATACTGTCTCAACCTTTTCTGATTTGGGGTTGTAGTAGTAGTATCAAGTCTACCACTACTGTACTGGCTGTGTCTTTATTAGGATTCTAGAAAAGTAAACATGATACCTGTGGTGATGAAGCTCTGCTCTCCTTCATTGTGGACTTTTGTGGAACAGGCTTAGATTTTGGGCAATCCAGACAAATCGTTGCCGTCACTTCCTTGTCTTTTTTATCTTTACCATCCTTAATATCTTTAATCTTTAAAGATGCTTTTGGGTGGTTTTTTAAAACTCCTAGAGCTGTAAGAAAATTTTTTTTTTAAATAATTCACTGTAATTATTAAAAAAAAAAAACTGCAACAGACAGTGTTGGGGATTAATTACTTAATCATACATACTACATTTATGTGGAATGAATGCATCTTTAATTTATTAAAAAATATAAAAGGGCAACGAATCAAACTGGATGTCAGAAATTTTCTTGGCAATGACTACATTCAGTTGGTAACACAAAAACACATGACAGATCACATACCTGTGTACAGGTATATATGGTTTACAGAGACACACAGCTGTATAATGGCATGGGTATGACTTCTTTTTCTTTTCTTAATTACTTTCCTCAAACAACAAAAACAAACAAACAAAAAAAACACGTATACTGGTGGCGAGGCAGTGGCGCAGTAGGTAGTGCTGTCGCCTCATAGCAAGAAGGTCACTGGTTCGAGCCTTGGCTGGCTCAGTTGGCATTTCTGTGTGTAGTTTGCATGTTCTCCCTGCGTTAGCGTGGGTTTCCTCCAGGTGCTCCGCTTTCCCCCACAGTCCAAACACATGCAGTACAGGTGAATTGGGTAGGCTAAATTGTCCATAGTGTATGACTGTGAATGAGTGTGTGTGGGTGTTTCCCAGAGATGGGTTGCGGCTGAAAGGGCATCCTCTGCATAAAAATGTGCTGGATAAGTTGGTGGTTCATTCTGCTTTGGTGACCCCAGATCAATAAAGCCGACAAGAAAATGAATGAATGAATGAATACTGGTAATTATTGTATTTGTCCACAGTAAAATGTTTCCGCAACACTAGCATTTGCCTTTTTATAATAATATTAAAGGAAAATACTGTACATATTTAAACTATCAAAAATATTAGCATCCACAAAAAGAGTTAAATAGAAAAATGTACTGTGTGTGAATCATCATAAATCATATCACCTGATGATGGAGTTATCTGCACCTCTGCACAGCTTTGATCTTTCTTGAGTTCAACACTATGGGCAGTGAATGTACCATCCAGGCTACCCAACCATGTCTGAATGGCTTTCTGTAATTTTGCTCTCCATCTCTCTGGAAATGGTTCTGTCCAGTCCACTTTGATTTGAAATTCACCAATATCCTGTGTTTCTGGAGGTTCATCAGCATCCTGTTATAGGCACAATAGTTATGAATGCAGAATCATACACCTGAGCTTCTCTGTGAAAAGATTTTTGCACTTTCCCTAATTTGTGTAGACATGTTGTAACCACTGTAGTGACAAGAACAATTAAACAGCATTAATTCTGAATATTTTTTATTTATATTTATATTCACATTTTATATTATTTGTATACATAGTGCAGTCACATATAGTTTGACAAATGACTGCAATATTCATGAAAAGCATAATCTTACCAGCTTATAAAATACCAAACTGGTGTAAATGCTGTAAATTTACTGGATAAACACCAGATTGGGAGTAAACAATATCTAAAATGGTATTGTCTCATTTTATTAGTTCAAATGTTTTTAAAAAAAAATATTTGCAAAGCTTTATGATAAACAGTTGGATATGTATAATCTAAAAAACATTTAGATTATAGCTTAATTCACCAGAGTTTGGCCTATGGGAAAACCAGAGCACCCAGTACAAACCCATGCCAGGGCCGGATTAACCAATGGGCATTATGGGCATAGGTCCAGGGGCCCGTGCACACTTGGGTCCCTTCAAGGGCCGATTTTGTAGTATGTATTTTGTCTAAGAGCAAATAGCGCACCTCGTTGGAATACGCTAGTAGAGTTACCGTTTGATTGACAGAGACAACATAAGAGAGCGACAAATAGCAGCGTGAGTGGTGTAGCTCGTAAAGCGCATGGCAACATGTTTTGACGCGACTGATCATGAACACGATTCGAATCCAGCGTCTGATGAACACGATCTTTTTTTCCCACGAGGAAGACAAGTAGGAATCATGAATAAGTGAGTATATTATGGAGGACTCGGATTCATAGAACTGGATTGGAGAGGTGTTATATTCAAATCATGTGCATTAAATATAAATTTTAGTAATGCTTCTGTGAACCTGAACAAGTATATTAAAATCCATTAATTTTCACTAGTTGTATTAGTATTTTTATTTTTTTCAAAGTGTGCTTTAAATGCTTTAAAAAATAAGTTAAATCTGTGTAGGCTAGAAATATATGTACTGTATATAATTTATTTAAAAATGCGGGTAATACATTTTAAATTACATTTATTTTTTAAATGTTATATGAATCTTCAACTATATTCAACTATAGGGGTGGTGCCAGGTAGGGGGCCTACAAGACATTGTGCCCAGGGGCCTCTGAGTTCTTAATCCGGGCCTGACCCATGGTCATGAGAACATGCACAATTTACAGAGAAAGTTGCCAATATTATACTAGTTATGTTAACTGTTCCATGAAAAGCTGTGACCTTCATTTGTTTTGGGTTCATTTTCTCTATTCTGTTCTACTTCACCTTGCCAAGTTTCCTCTTGCCTTGGTTGTTCCAGATGGCGCTCTAGGCTAGTTTTTAACGAATTTCTTGATCCATTTTTCAGATCAGCTCTACTCTACAGTTTACAAAAATGTGGAGAGTGAGTATACCGCACAATGTGAGCACTTACGTGATCATCAGAAACATGATTCGCTTGCTGACCATCACTGCTTGATGAAGCCGCATCCTTTAGAATGAAGAACACCAAAACATGAATGAATGAATGGATGAATGAATGAATGAATGAATGAATGGATGAATGAATAAATGAATGGATGGATGGATGAATGAATGAATGGATGGATGAATGAATGAATGGATGAATGAATGAATGAATGAATGGATGGATGGATTGATGGATGGATGGCTGGATGGATGGATGAATGAATGAATGAATGGATGAATTAATAAATGGATGGATGGATGAATGAATGAATGAATGAATGAATGAATGAAATTTAAAAGTTTAGGAAATCTCTGTCTCAAGCTACATTCTACAGTCAGTCTCTTTACCTGTGAGTCTGAACGCTGTCTTTGAAACCCTTGCTGCTTCTTGTTATTCAGAGATGGGTCAGAGTCCTATTATTCAGCAAAAAACACCCAAACATACAAATGAATCACTCACTATTGATCGTATCAGTAAAACAGATCAAAAATTGTTCACTCAGATCAGTTGATTTAAAATATTGCAGTGTTCATGGTGTGTATTCAAATTATTCATTGTGTGTTGTTGTGGTTTGGAGTACTTAATTTAACACTAAGCACTCCAAGATATGCTGCATTGTATTGAACCAATTGTTAATTGTTTACATTAAAGGGGACCTATTACGCAAAAAAGCACTTTAAAAGGGATTTAAACACAGTTGTGTGTCAGCAGTGTGTGAATATTTCCAGCTTTTAAAATTATTAATTGTGTTGTTTATAATCAGACTTGATAAACACAGTCTGCACAAACACTTTGATCGACATTCTCCCTTTGTACGTGTCATCAGAGGGAGAAAGCCCCTCCCATTAGTGACTTGCAAATCTGCCACTATGCTGACACACAGGCATCCGTAGCTCCGCCCTCTTCTGAAAAGAGCACGATCTCATTTGAATTTAAAGCGACCGTCACCAAAACAACACAATTAGGATCCAAAGGGTCAACTTCAGAGAGTTATAAAACATTATCTGTGTGGTATTTTAAGCTGAAGCTTCACACACACACACACTCTAGGGACATCAGAGACTTACTTTACATCATGTAAAAGGAGCATAATAGGTTTATTTTAAATTTAAATGAGAATTTTTAACCCAACTGTTGGATTTTATAAAAGCCAGCAGTTTAAGTGTATGACTTAATAATCCACAGCTAGCTGTACATTAAACATTGCAATTCAGCTCATTTAACACACAGCTAATCATGATTATTCATCAATGCTCAGCCTGCAGAATGATACACATGTAATGAACTGCTGTCAGCAGATTGGCACACGTTTTATTCTTCAGTCATTGCCTTCTTTACCTGTGAGTCTGCTCTATCGCGTCTTTTACCCATTTCATTAGTAGGAGGTCCGGAATCTTGACCTCTAGCGCCTTTTGGATCTCCCGAGTCCTACAATTCGGTAAAAAAACACCCAAAACATGCAAATAAATCACTCTCGATCAAATCAATCAAGCATGTTTTGCAAAAAGGTCTACTGAGTTTGCCTCATTTTAACTATCAGAGTGGTTCCTCTCAGTATTGTTGTGTAAAAATATTAATTGTATGCAGTTGTGAATGCCAGTATTTTTGGTTTTCCTTAACCCTTTGACTGCTTGGTCGGTTGACCAAGTTTTTACTGTTTTAAATGACTGTTAAAGTCATTTAAAGAATGACTGATTTAAATAATTGTTTACACACACAGCATTGTTGGTTTACAAAAAAAATTTAAATAAATGAAACAACCTAATCAAATCAAACTGTTGCACTATTACACTTTATTTTGATTTTATTGTTAAAAAAACTAGAAAGCATGTTGAATTAAATATTTTATGGCATACTTTAAAGATGATTCAGTCATGAAAAATGTTTTATTTTGAATATCTTTTGAAATAAATTGGTCTTAAATTTCATATTTCCAGATTTTTTCATAGTATATGTATTAATTTGGGTACTTTTACCTTAAAACGACATATCAACCATTTGGCAGAGGCTGATATTTTATAAATTATGGGACGTGTTGAAAAAAATGCATTGAGTGTGTAAACTAGCGGCATTAGGAGTTACGCAATCCAACCTTTTTTTTTCTTGGTGGGGTGGTTAAAGGGTTAATTAAGGGATAATCCACACCTAGCTGTGCATTAAGTGAAGTTTTTAAACTAATTTCGAGAGGAGCACGTGATATAATTGACTGCAGCTGGCCGCCTATCTACACTCATTAGTTAGCCAATCAGATCTATCCCTACTTACTATAAATAACCTAGCTAGATATTACTCCCCTACCTTCGTTTTCCGAAGAAACCCCCCATCCACCCCCTTTCTCCTCCTTTCCTCCTAAAAAAAAAAAGGGGAGCTCTCGAGAACCACCTGATCTCGTACTCCCCTTACATGCTCTATGGACCTGGCGGGAGCCCTGGGCTCAACTATCTCCGAGCTCAGGGTTCTCTCCCGGGACAGCATGCCAAACCTGCTTACAGTTGTCAAGCAATATCTAAGTGTGAACTCTTGAAACAATTTTAATGCATGACATGGAGAAAAAAAAACACCCAACAGGATCATCTTAAAATCAATTCACTCTTCAGTCAGTACCTGCGTGGACTGTGATTTTGAAGTGTTATCCTGGGGTCCAGAGTATTTATCCTTAGAGTCTGAGGGATGCCCTGAGTCCTAACATTGAGGTGGAAAAAACATGCAAATTAGCTTAAAATAATCAAACAGATTTACATAAAGGTCTGAAATTGGTCAAGCGGTTTGATTCACTTAGACCAGGGATGCCCAAACTGGGTCCTGGAGGGCAGGTGTCCTGCAGATTTTAGCTCCAACCCCAATCAGACCCACCTGGGCTAGCTAATCAAGCTTTTACTAGGCTTTCTAGAAACATCCATGCAGGTGTGTTAAGGCAAGTTGGAGCAAAATTCTGCAAGACACCGGCCCTCCAGGACCGAGTTTGGACACCCTGATTTAGACAGTAAACTCATGCACTGGTTTCTCAGGTATGAGCTGTATTATGTGCAAAATGTTAATTGGGTGCAATTGTAATTTGTCATCTTTAGTTTTGAATATTTGTAATTACTGCACTCTAAGGAATGTTGATTTGTATTATTAATTCAATGTTGGGTCATATATGGCGAGTATTTTTCCTCGCCACTGGCTTGCATTGTTCGGGACCTGTAGAGCTGCTCATGGATTGATTTGGTCTTCAGTATTGAACATTAAACCACACTGCACTGAGCTGAACTGAACTTAAACTCTGAAAACTGAACTACACTGTTTTGATTTCCTATAATATTCTATGTGAAGCTGCTTTGACACAATCTACATTGTAAAAGCGCAAAATAGAAATAAAGGTGAATTGAAAATCGAATTGAATATGGCCAAACCCAATGTTGGGCTCATTTAATGCACAGCTAACCAGTACCTGTAACTGTTCCTCAAAGCCTGCAGAATGATTTGCATGTAATGGACTCCTGTGAGAAAATCTATGGCACAAGCTCTAGTCTAGTCATTTCCTTCTTTACCTCTGAGTCTGAAGCGCGTCTTTGACCCAATTCATTCCTAGGTGGTCCAGAGTCTTTATCTCTAGCGCCTTTTGGATCTCCTGAGTCCTAAGATAATTAAAAAAAAACACTCAAAACACGCAAATAAATCCCTCTCGATCAAATCAGCCATGCAGGTTTTACAAAAAGGTCCCTCAGTTTGAAAGTTTAAACTTTTCCAGTGGTTCTCACGGTGATTCTCTTTGTATTACATGTAAAATCTTAAGTGTATGCGTTTGTGAGCTGCAATGTTTTTGGTTTTCCTTAAAGGGATAGTTACCTTCTTTAACTGTGAGTCTGATTTGGGATTCAGATCTGGTCTAGAGTCTTTGCTTTCAGCATCTGATGGATCTCCTGAGTCCTAACATTGTGGAAAAAACCCATCTTGAGACCTTTAAAACATCTATTTAATCATAAATGTATGTATTTGAAAGATGTTTTTAACTCGTATTGCCCAAAAGAAAACCTTCAAATCAACTTTTAATGATTGTTTTGTTCATTTCAAAGTTTATTAATGAACTATTAAAATTATGCACAAAAAATTAAATAAATGTGTCTTTAATGAAAAATGAGCTTTGGATAAAACTGTCTCTTGCATTCACACACATTTACACCAATAACCCTGCTGTTTGTACTGTTGTTTTTAATGCAGAAATATGAGCTCTGTCTAAGACAAGACAATCATTTTTACTTGTCTAAAAATGCTTCTTGATTTGAGATAATTTTAATATCTAGGCAAAATCTCAAAGTAAGAAAAGCCTTTTTTGCAGATTTGACTTAGCAACTGGGAGCGATTCTGTTATATATAAGCCGCTGTGCATCTCCTTGCAATCACAGCAATGTTTTGTTGATGAAAAAAATCTGTGTTTTTCTATGAATTAATGATCCAAATTCATAAAACAGACACAAACACCATGCCTGGATGAGTCGGTAGCTTGGAATGAATCAATTGAATATATTATCCAGTAAAAAGTGCCTTTTTAAAGTATAATTTTAATTATTTCAGTCATGTAAAATGTAATAATTAGTAAATACATTTAAAATAATTTGGTTGTAACAAAGAACAGAATTTATTTATTATTATTTTTTTTTTATAAATTATTTTTTCGGGGTTTTCACCTTTATTTTTGATAGGACAGTATAGATAATTGACAGGAAAGCATGGGGAGCAGAGAGAGGGGAAGGATCGGCATAGGATCGCGAGGCGGAATCGAACCTGGGTCACCGCGAGCACCGGAGTGCATGTGTCGACGCACTAACCACCACACCACTAGCGCCGACACAAAGAACAGAATTTTAAAAAGTAATATTTAATTCACCTCTAAAGCCTGAAACCACAAAGCAAATCCCAATTTAACCCCAGGGTATAAGTAATGTGGCAAATATGTTAATTTATTCTATTAGCCCTAACCTAACAGTCTACTACTATTTCACTAATACTCTAACAAAGAATTATCTGACATGTACAAGTAGTAAAGTTACTAGTGTAGTTAACACAAAGTCCAAAAGAATCTCAAAATAAAACATTTTTTTTAATTAATATTTTTCCTTATTATCAAAACAAAATCTTAAAAAGCATGTAAAATAAACTACACATTTGCAATTAAATATTTATAAGCGAAATAAGGATTGGATGTGATAAGCTGTATGTTTCTGGCACTAACTTGATCTCTGGAAGTGTGATTATTTTGCTGATCGTCACTGGATGATGAAGACGTGTCCTGCAGAATCAAGAAGAAAGTTCCCTGCTTTAATTTCAATGCAGTCAGTCATTTATTATTTCTTCTTTCCACTCTTCAGTCACAGTACCTTCGCTGGCCCTGTTGAGTCTGGATTGTCCGCTAGTTTAAGTGCGTTTACTTTATCAGGAAGTGATCTGGAGTCTCGAGTTTCAGTGCCTGCTGTATGCGAGTCCTGACATTCAGAAAGACACCATCTTGAGAATATTCACATTTCGCGTTTCAAAGCAGTGTGCACGGACAATATGCTTTCATTCAGGTGATGCAAGACCGGTTTACATGATTTATGAGGACGTAATTATAATGACGTAAGCATTGTGAATGTGGATTACGAGGACATTTTATTTGTGCTCATAAATCAGAAGGTGATAAAAAATCTATAAATTCATTTTCTTTTCAGCTTAGTCTTTTTATTAATCTGGGGTTGCCACAGCGAAATGAACTGCCAACCAGCATATGTTTTATGCAGCGGATGCCCCTCCAGCTGCAACCCATCTCTGGGAAACATAGACACACACTCATTCACACACATACACTACGGCCAATTTAGCTTACCCAATTCACCTGTACCGGATGTGTTTGGACTGTGGCGGGACCGGAGCACCCAAAGGAAAACCACTTGAACGGAGGGAGAACATGCAAACTCCACAAAGAGACACCAACTGACCCAGCCGAGGCTCGAACCAGCGACCTTCTTGCTGTGAGCCGACAGCACTACCTACTGCGCCACTGTGTCACCGTGATAAATAATCTATGGAGAGTCACCATAAACAACAACAAAAAAAGTGTGTGTGTACTTGTTTTAATAACCTGGTGGGGACTTAAATGCATACAGACTTTTAGGGAATTGTGTCACAGTGGGAGCTAAATTTAGGATCCCAATAACGTGTGTGTTTGTGTGTGTGTGTGTGTGTGTGTGTGTGTGTGTGTGTGAATAGTACTCACCTGACCATTTGAAACATTATCTTTATCATCATCATCATCTCTGCTTGATGACAATGAGGTCTATGAAATGAAGACAAAATTCACACGTTAATATCAATAATACTATCAAAGACTGCTTTCTGCGAGCAAATTATCATCATTAACAACAAAATTACTCATTTAAAATACACAGTGATGTTTTCAGCTGTTTCCGTAACACTTTAGGGTTATATTCACGGTATTAACAAATCATTAACTAACACTACTGGCCAAATAAGAGTATTTACAAGAATCAGAGATTGAAATTCAATACATTCGAAGACCTTTGTTAAGTCTCCTTGCCTACATTTTAAGACCTCATCGCCACTTCAGGTTTCAACCAGTAACATTGCCGACATTTTAACTTGCAGTATTTTTACTAAATACTGATTGCAAGAAATTAATCCTAAACTAAACTGTATTTATATACTGAACAAAAATGTAAATCCAGCAGGTGGCGCCTTTACAGCAGCAGGAATACCAGTGTTTCTGCAGTAAACAAAGCAGCGTGATGTCAAATCTAGCAGGATTGGTTTTGATTTCGTAAACTACACAGCATCCCGATATTTAAAGATTAAATTCAGGTAAACTTCAGCATACAGATACTAAATTTAATACCTTATAAAATAGCATTTAAGACTTTTCAAGGGCCTTAAATTTCTATAAATTGATTTATCAATTTCTAATACTTTTTAAGACCACGCAAACACCCTTAATAAACTACTAATTACTAATTAGCTGCTTATTAATAGTTAGTAAGGTAGAAGTTAGGGGGAGGGGGGGGGGTTAGGAATGCAGCATAAGATCATACTTTATAACTACTAATAAACATAATAAGCAGGTAATAAGCCAGTAGTAGTTATTAGCATGATTAGTGACCTAAACTAAAGTGCTACCGCTGTTTCTACCACAGTGTTCAGTGAAAAACAAACTGCATCAAGAAAACAGGGAACAAACCTCAAGATATTAGGACACAGAAACAGTGGGATGAACTAAAGACAAAAACAGGACATCAGCCTGACAATTTGCCACAAATGACCAAAAAAAAATTTGCAAAAAAAGACGGCATTAAAAAAGGAAACACGTTGCACTACCGGATTACAATGTGGATAATAATCTTGTATAGTGTTTATTAATCATAGTTCAACATTTAATGATCCATTATTGAAGGCCCCTTAAAGCTTTTTAGATGATAGCATCAGATTTAAGTATATCTATAGGACAGGGGTTTTCAAACTTTTTCAGCTGAGGGCCCCTTTGTGTAGGGCGAATTCTTTCGGGGACCCCCAAAAAATAAATATCACGTCACCCCCTCAAATTACCAACTGTACTTAATTTTTTTAAATTGTATTATTCAATACTAGGGATGTAACGGTATCAGAATTTCACGGTACGGTAATACCTCGGTATGAATGTCACGGTACGGTATTTATTGAATCATTTACAGGAAAAAACAAAACTTATGAAAATACTCCAAAAAAGTGCCAAAAGTGTCAATGACATACAAATTAGCCATCTATCTGTAAGCTTTGAAACAGGAACTTCAATTTTAATAACAAAAAATTATTAAACCATGTAAAAAAATAAAGTTTCAGTTTAGTATTGTTGAAAACTCATCACATTCAACATTTAATCACACTCAGCCCATTTACCCAGATGAGAGCTCTGCTAGTCGGACTTCTCATCAAGCATCTCCCGCTGGATCTAATCTCACTATATTTATTAAACGGGATATTTCATTTATCTTGTTGTCTTTATCTAACGACATATTCCCTGACTTTGGTCATTGGAATCTATTACTTGTTCTCAGGTAACGTGTTTTGGCTGAGCGCAAAGATAAGTTAATGATTAATGTAACCACGTACATTCTGTATATTGACTGATCGCTTGCCTTTATTTCCTATAATGTAAAAACTTATTGTATGTTATACTTTTAAAATGGCCATTATCGATTCTTAAAACTGATACTCAGCAAAAGAGAGGCTGTGTTTCGTATTTTCACTGAAATTGAAAGGAGGCAGTTGTTATCGGCTCCGTTTTGTTATAAATATCCACACAGTGAAGATAACGCTCATATATGAAGCACGGCGCCTCAACATTTCTGCTGTCTGTTAAGTTGCTAATATTAAAATGAAAATAGGCAGTTCCTTAAATCATGTTTACATTTTATTGTTGAGAAAGTGAAACAACGAAACCAGGGTGATGTGAACGAAGTTATAAAGTACACTGTTCCCTTTGAAGATTTACCCGTGTCCTCGGTATAATCTGCTTTTCCATATCAAACTGAGAAGAAGAGACTGCAGCCTTGATCAAACTTGCGAAGTCTGAACTTACACGGAGATAATGCAGGACTGAACTGTGCGTGTAAAGCAGGTCGCACACCAGAAGCGACGCTCGGCGGCGCGCCGCGCAGCGCCACGTATTTTAGAATTCTAATCATAGGTTTCTATCAGGATACACACACCGGCGCCGCAAGTCGGCGGCTGTCGGCGGCGCCCGGCGACGGCTCAGGACGCAGTTCATTTTTCAGCCGCGCCACAGAGCGCCATCTGATTAGTTTCATGTTAAATATCATTCGAATGTGCGCGTCTGGTGTGCGATACTTTAATCTGTCATGTACGCGCCGTGTCGCGGCGCTTCTGGTGTGCGACCTGCTTTAGAGTTTTCCAGCTCTTTTCATCCCCGCTTCTAGCAGCACACTCCATTTCCGCATTACTGGATCTGTAGCAACAACAGACCGCAAGGGATGATGGTCAAGCATGGGCTGATGGCAATTGTAGTTTCCGCTACCTCCCGTTCGCTTCATTCGCCTGAGCAAATTTTCTCAGAAGACCTATAGTTTTACCGAGTCATGCGACTTCGGTAATATCGAAAAAAATTAATATTGCGGTATGACGGTATTTACAATACCGTTACATCCCTATTCAATACATTTATATTATTATATATTATTCAATACATTTATATTATTCATTATCTGGATTCATTTTTGTAAGATGTCAGTTGAGTTGACATGGTTTCAGTGCTTCAATCTATTGATCAAATCTTGATGCGCAGTGTTCATTGTGGTCTGCTCTCACTGGATTCCATCAAGCCATATTTTGTGTTCGAGTCATCACGTTTACACGGTTTTTATGCCATTTTTATGCTTTTTTATGCACAGCTAGACTCTTCTGTATTTACCCTTATAGCTGAGACTCTAAATGTATCTAAAGATTTAAAGCTTTAAAGAGTTTTGTCATTCATCAGCCTGTTGACAGTTAACTGTACTGTTGTAACTAGCAATACTACAATAGAGGCTGTAGTGGTTCAGTGTGTTTTGTTTATTTTTATTCCTTTTTTTTTTGTGCACATCATAATTTACTCAGGTCGACAATCCTGACTTACACTGATAAAAAATAATTTCCTAAATGCGATCTAGAATTGGGTATTCAAGTTCAAAGAGCCACAAGTTTTACTTTGCTTAATTTAAAAAGCTTTGCTGACTTTAAAATGTTCATACCAGTTTGTTCTATTAATAATAACACTGAACATTACATTTAAATTAATTACACAAATAAATATGGGAAAAAGTGGAACATCTTGAAAAAATGCATTTACATTCAGAGTATTAAAATTTGATCAGATATGTTGAGCTCCATTAAATACAGAGCACTAATGCATTTTAATATTTAATAATTAATTAGCCCTATAATATAACACAAACAGATGCATTATAATTTTTATAGGCTATAGTGGTTTTATTCAGGGTGTATACAATTTAGTTTTTTTAATCATCCAGTTATGAACCAATGTGAGTAAGAGGTCCACTGCAGAGCTCATCCAGCTGTCATTAGTGTAACAGGGGTGAAACTCTGAGCACTCGCTGATGTGAAGACAGCTCCATTCATTGTTATTGCAGCACTTTTTGCTTTACAATTTTAATATGTTTGTTTGCCATGCTGCAAAGAGGACCGTCTGATATTTGTACAATGCAAAGTGTAAAGCCTGTCGCACTTTGGACGAGGTGCAATGTTGTGCCGTGTCTTTAAAATGCTATTTGTTCCCCATGAGTGAAGCCTGCGCAGAGAGGCGCGCACTCCGCAGCACCCAGCTGATCAATTACTTAGGAACGCAAGCCATAAACAGAGTAGTGCTTTCAGCCTTCGATAATGTTCTTATTGATCATGTATCTTAACTGAAATATTGTCAGTAAATAGACCTGAGCATTCATTTAGTTGTTTAGTGTAAAAGAGGTAAGCGTAAGTGCAAGGTAAACGCCATCAGGTGCAGCAGACAAGCGCCAAAAATCACAGGAAGTGCTCGGCCAGAAGCGCTTATTCAATAAAAGTCCCCGTGCACAGAGGCGAGCCGCTGCGCTTCATTTCCTGTTTCACGAAAGTGTCAACTGCATTTAAATGACATAAGCATAAAGCTTAATTTTTGCAGTACTTTTAAGCTCAAATTATTATAAAAAATATATTAACCTTCAGAATGATGCGGGACACAAAATTCATCCATGTGGGCCCATTGATTACCCCTTATCTAAACATTTTTTGCGGCCCCCAGTTTGAAAACCCCTGCTATAGGATACGTTTCAGATTGTGACTGGTACTTACTCGACATTTCAAAACCAGATTAATCTTTTGCCCATCACTGCTGGCTGGAGATGAGGCCTGCAGATTGAACAATGCCAACATAGCTTTGACATACAATCACAAACTGTCTACTCAAAATACAGGTAAACTGCAAACTAATGAGAAATCACAATCACAGTACACATATTAACTCATTACCTGTAAACGACATACTGTATTAATATTAATTGTTGACTTTTCATCAGGGGTCACCACAGTGGAATGAACCGCCAACTTATCCAGCATATGTTTTACACAGAGATGTCCTTCCAGCTGCAACCCAGTACTAGGAAACACCCATACACCCATCCACACTCATACACTACAGCCAATTTAGTTCATCAATTCCCCTATAGCACATGTGTTTGGACTGTAGGGGAAATCTGAGCACCCAGAGGAAACCCACGCCAACACGGGGAGAACATGCAAACTCCACACAGAAATGCCAACTGGCATAACCGGGACTTGAACCAGCGACCTTCTTGCTGTGAGGCCACAGTGCTAACCACTGAGACACCGCGCCGCCCCTCTCCAACATATTTTAAAACACAATCTGTGTTACCAAATATAGCTGACTTTTTCCAGGCAAAAAGCTGTCCAAAACCAGCACAAACGAAAAAGTGCACAGAATATTAGATTAATATTAATTTAATTTCAAATAAATTGCATATAAAATGTATGTTCCATAACCTCCCAAATTTTGTCAAACCTGCCAATGCCATTTTTACCTGCATAATAAAATTCAAAACTGCCCAATTGGGTGGGAAACCGCCCAATCTGGCAACACTGAACACAATGGTTTTAATAACTAATTTCTATTACTATTTTGTCTTTGCCATGGTAACAGTAGATATTTTACTTTTTTTGTTGGCAAGATACTAGTATTCAGCTTAAAGACTTTTAAAGGCTTAACTAGGTTAATTAGGTTAACTATGCAAGTTAGGGTAATTAGGAAAATCATAGGACAACATTGGTTTATTCTGTAGACAATCTAAAAAAAACCTCTTAAAGGGGAATAATAATATTCACCTTTGCAATTTTTAACATTTCAAAAAAATATTTTTATTTTTAGCCAAACTATGAGAAATAAGACTTTCTTCAGAGAGAAAAAACAATCTGTGAATATGCCTTGCTTTGTTAAACTTAACTTGAGTAGACCTTTAAAAATTCGTATTTCTGAACATCGATGCGCTATTCGACACCATGATCCCAGAAGTCCGGTTGCGCAACACTTTTCAGTTATGAGACATTCCGTCTCTACTCTACAATATATAGGGATTGAAGTTGTGAAGTGTCCACGTCGGGGCGGTGATCTTAATAAATTGCTGTTGCAACGCGAACCTTTCTGGATTTTCACTTTAGACACATTGTCTCCAAAAGGTTCAAATGAGGAGTTTGACATTCGTCCTTTTCTGTAATAATTTTTGAATAAGTCTTTATTATGTAATAGTGTCCCAGAGAGGAGTTGCCGCTGGAGGGACGTCCGCTGCGAGGAAGTGTGTGGGATGAGTTGGCGGTTTATTCCGCTGTGGTAGCCCCGACTAATAAAGAGATTAAGCCGAAAAGACAATGAATGAATGATGAATGAATGAATGAAGGTTTAATAGGGGTTTGGTTTAAAGGTTTTTTGGCTATATTTTGTTGTATAGTCTGGTGTATCATATATATATATATATATATAATTTTTTCCTTATTTATTTGTTTTTCTTTATTATAATTTGTGATGTAATATTATAGTTTATTTATGCATTTATATATATTTTTTGTAATTTGATTTATAATATCAAAGCTATAGACTATATGTGAATGTGTATACGTATTCATGTGTATGTATATGTATATGTGAACAACTGTGTATGTATACATATGCATGTATGTATATGTTGGCATATATGCGAGAGGAGATCATGTGATCCGGAAGTGTATAAAAAGAAGCACTTGATTGTGATAAACATTGTCTGATGAACACCCGGCGGCTCGAAACGTTACACGCTCTGTGTCAGCCTTTTTAATTTAATAAATTTGTATTTTTGGAGCATTGGTGTTGCCGCCTTTGATTTACATTAAACTTAACTTGATAAATATATAAAAAAGAATTAAAATTTCACAAAGAGCTAATTATATTGCCTTCAACTATATATTATTTATTTATTAATCAAGGTTATTATTTCTCATAACTATTTTACTCTAGAAACATTTAAAAAATTTACCTGAATAGGAGAATTTTTAATGCTGGTCGGTTGTGTTTGGATCACATTTTGATAAATCTGGAAGAGCAAGAATGCAACTCAGTTTGTGATAGTAAAAGTGCACATAATTTAATTTCAATAAAGTTCCCTCTTATACATGACATGGATTGTTTCCAGGCATGAACTGTATATATCAGTTGAATATGTGTCTGGTGCTCACCGGATCATCAGGTGTCAGATGTTTTAGCCATGTATCGCGTGCAGCATGTGAAGATGGACCCTGCTGAATTAAGTTAAAGTATTTTAAAAGTGCTGTTTTACAGAGCAAGCTCGTTTTTCACAGTGCTACTATATTTTTCTTCTGCTGTCTTTTTTATTCTAGCTAAACTGAACTAAATATTTTATACATTTTATAGACTGCTAAGGTCAATCTTATTAGCTAAATAAATAAATTATTACAATTAATTCATTATTATTGTATTCGACTGGCTACAGAACAAACCACTGTAGTTCATTGCTTTTCCTAATTACGCTAACTTGTATATTTAACCTAATTAGCCTAGTTAGGACTTTAAATTGAACTTTAAGATGAATACTAGTATGTTGAAAAAATAGTAAAATATTATGTAATCTAATCATGGTAAAGACAAAAATATATATATCTTTAAGAAATTACATTGAAAAACATGTTGAATAAAATCTTCTCTCCATTAAACAGCACTTCATCAATATCAAATCGAAAATCAAGAATATTGATATAACCTTTAATTACAAATTGTCTACTGAAAGTGCAAGCAAATTGCCAAAAAAAAAGAAATCACAATCCCAGTGTGTAGTTAAATTAATTGAATGTGTAGGAAATAATATATTAATATTCATTGTTGTCATTAGTCTGATAGTAGACTGAACAGTTCGAATAGCTTCCTATTTTCTGCCATGTTAGTAAAAAATAAAAATTACATTCTTGATCACAGTTATTAGAAATGAGTTATTAAAACTATCATGTTTAAGATGGGTTGCAGCTGGAAGGGCATCCGCTGCGTAAAACATATGCTGGATAAGTTGGCGGTTCATTCCGCTGTGGCGACCCCTGATTAATAAAGGGACTAAGCCGAAAAGAAAATGAATGAATGAATGTTTAAGATTGCATTGGGAAAAAAAACTTCTCTCTAAAGTCACTTGAGAAATATTAGAAAATTATAAAAAATTTCAGAGTTCAACTGTGTGTCAATATATGCCAGTTCTTCACTGTAAATATCAGTGAATATGACATATCTGGAGAGTATTGTTTAGGCTATCTATATATAGAAACCCCCCCCCCCCCCAAAAAAAAATTGCATAAACCCCCTTAATACAGCAGGAGTACTATGATACTGCATTAATGATTATAATTATAGCATTTAAAATCACTGCTGCCGTTTTACAACTCATCATTAACAGTCACCATATAAATTTAAATGTTTTAATAACATTTCTGTGGAAATAAAAGCACATTAAAACCTACATAACTTACGAATATATATAAAATAGGCCTATAAATCCCATTTACTGTATGTCATCATGTATATCACTTCATGTAGTGATGAATAGTAAATTAATACTCACAGCATGATCGTCTGGGTCTTTTCCTGACATCCTGGCAAAAACTGAAAGCAGATTTTGTCTTTGATTAATATTAATCTACAAAAACACATGACAAACGACAGTCTGGCGTTTACTTTAAACATGTCAGACAATGTAAACAAGACACTCCAACAGTAAAAAAACAATGGCGGACATCATCAGGTAAACTCATCAAACACCAGTTAAACGGTTGTTCGTGATTAAATTGTTCTTAAATGCTTCATTTGACAGTATGATTTCATTTAGGTAAAGCAATGTTTTTTCTTCTCTAAGTGTGCCTTAAGTTTCGCTTTCGTTTTTGTGAATTAGCCTAACGTTAGCCTACAACTGTAAAAAATAGACATTTTCAACTATATATTTCCCTTTCGGTGGTTTTTATTGTTTGTTTTCGCACGTTAAGAGATTAGTATTATATTCTTTTAGACTTCAAACACCCGCGCTAGTCGATGACGGTGTATTCAGGTATTAATTTTACAGCACAGCCTCAGATTTGACCACAGCTCGTCGCCGACTGAACTATCGACGCATTAGCTAAAGAACAAATAAAGCTGTAAATGTGTGTATTAATCTCGTACTTACCGAAATCTGTGTGCTGTGTAAGGATCTGTCAACCTCTGGACTGCAGGAATCCGCCTGATCAACTGGTTTAACACTCAAGAGCGAAAGCGAAAGAAGCAGCACGTGACAACAAGATGATGATCTGAATTTTACACCTGTGCAAACTAGGGATGGGAAGATTAACCGATATGTATCGATACGCGGTCATGCGCGTGCACGATGCGAGTGCATCGGTTGAGCAGCAGAGAATGAATGAAATTTTGGAAGCAAATCGAGATGCATCGGTTTTTGCGAGATGCATCGATTTTTCCGAGATACAGCTTTTATTTTTAATATAGAATGTATTTTTTATTTATTAACAAGTGTTGTCAACCTGTTTTGGCGCATAATTTAATCGACCTACATAAAGTAAGCCTTAGCAACGGATTTGCGGATGTGCACACACTACAACTCAGTGTATCAGGTGTGCGGATGAAGCTAGTGGAGCGCCCTCAGAAAGCGCGAGAAGCAAAACAAACATTTTATTCCCCACTGAGTTTTAAATCTAAAGTATGGCAAGCAACATTATGGATTTAAGGATGGACGACATGACAGGACAGATGCAATTTGCAAAATGTGCCGCGCATCTATAAAATACGCGGGCAGTACGACTAATCATATCTCACTTGAAGCGGCGCCACGGTGTTGTTGTGAAAGCATCTTCCAGTGTTTCTGCATCCCCGGCTTTCGCACTGCTTCAACCAGCTCCAAAAGTGGTGAGAAAAGCATTGAAAGTTTTTTTTTTTCCATGCGCAACAGTTCTGCTCGCTCTACGCCAATAACGAATGCTATTGCATTGTTCATCTGCAAAGATATTCAGCCTAGTGTCACGGAGAACGAAGGTTTTAAACACCTCCTCCTGTTAATTTTTATTTAATAATAATAATAATAATATTAATAATAATAATGATAAAAATAATTGGGTGTCACGGTGGCACAGTGGGTAGTTTGACCACCTCACAGCTAGAAGATTGCTGGTTTGTTATATTTTTATTAGCCTGTTGTTTACAGTGACAGTGATGTTTCAAAGCAGCATAACACTGCTAGTTCACCACCTTAAGTTTTGAATAATCAGTGGCAAAATATATCTTTGTAAAACTTGTTTTCATAGTTGAAAAGTTAAATCACAATTCTTATTGTGCAATGCTAACCTTTATGTTGAAAGAGTGCAAATATATATATATTTTAATATATATTGCACTTATACATTCTGTTTATCTTGAAAATACTTAAATAATATGTGCTATAGGTTCCAAAATGGCCCTCTACTGTAAACTGACACTCTGGCTCTGAGAGAAGAGCCAGTTTGTAAAAAAGTCTTGGTTTTGCTTGGTTAATAAATAATCAAACTCATTCAATGGCACAGCATCCTCTTTCACATCATCTCATAAACTTGATCTAATTAGTTAGTGCTGAATTATCGCATCGTATCGTGATATGGGTGTGAATCGTATCGTGTTGCATCGCAATATGTCACAAATGTATCGCTAATATATCGGATCGTATTCTTTGTATCGAGATGCATATCGGATCGGCATTATAGCTTAGATGCCCAACCCTAGTGCAAACACATCTCTAGCGTATTTATCTTATATTAAACTAAATAAAAAATCTAAATGTTATTCTGCAAAATACTAGTATTGCAAGTATTTTTGAACCAAAGTAAATAATCTTATACTGCATACAGTTGAAGTCAAAATTATTAGAAATTAGACTTTTTTTTTAAATTTCTCCAAATGATGTTGAACAGATTCAGGAATTTCTCAAAGTATTTCCTATAATGTTTTTTGTTCTTCTGGAGAAAGTCTTATTTGTTTTATTTCGGCTAGAATAAAAGCAGTTTTAATTTTTTTAAGCCATTTTAAGGTCAATATTATTAGCCCTCTTAAGCAATATATGTTTTGGATTGTCTACAGAACAAACTATCTTACTATACAACCAACTATACAATGACTTGCCTTATTACCCTAACTTTACCCTAATTAACCTAGTTAATTAAATATACTATTTTTAAACCTGTTTAAAATGTGTATTTAGAGAATAAACTGGGTCAATACAAGCAGTTAGATGCTTTTATTAGGGGAAAAAGGTCTAAACAGAGCTCAGAATGTAAACTGTACACTCCTGCCTACAGCAGACCTGAACTGAGGAGTGATCTTTGGACAGTTCAACTGCTGTTATCACACTGAGCTGCTGTAAAACCCAGCAATAATAGATTTGAAAGTAACTTATATAGCCAAAGATGACTGTGGAAATAAGCTGAATTTAAGCTGTATTTCACAGGTGCAAAGATACTACTAAAGATACAATGTGTATTTGCGCTTTATCCAATCTGTTGCACTATATGCACACACACACACGCACGCACGCACTCACGCACACACACACACAAATAAATAAATGCAGGGTTTCACACAATTTATTTATGTTGTTCCAATACAAATCATTTAAGTTAACAACAAATTTGAGTTGATTAAACATAAATCAAATAAAAATCATGTTTCAGCTCATTTTAAATAAGTAGTTTGAACAAGCAGCCAAAAAATCCACCTACAACCCAGTACTGGGAAAGCAGCAGAAGAGCACACCGGGTGCCGCTCCTGTCAGCTGAGAACAGGAAACTGAGGCTACAATTCACACAGACTCACCAAAACTGGACAATAGAAGATTGGAGAAACGTTGCCTGCTCTGATCATGCATCAATCGATCTTGATTCCTCTAGCATAAGGAATATCCTCTGAGTAACCAATCGATGTCTTCATCTTGTCATCAAACACTTTCCTCTGAAGGATCTTCTCAGTTTCAGCAATAGCAGGACCGAGGTGTTCTGGCAGTCCAGTGAGTCTCCAGCGGCTCAATCTCTCTGCTGCTACAACACAACAGCGCTGCTGAAGCTTCTCCATCACTGATCTCACATCAGTTTGATCTGCAGGCTTTCTGAGTTCACAGCTCACTGCTGCTGACGCCAGTTTCTGGTAGAGGTGTGTTAAAGCTCTGACCGCGTGACCTTCGAGATTCACATGCTGATCACCTTTAGATCGAGCCTGAACCTTAACTAAATTCCCCTGATGAAGATCTGCAGTAAATGACACCCCATATTTGGCTTCAAGATCTGATAAATGTTCCTTATAGGAAAGCTTCATCAGATCCCAGTGAACCTCGTCCATCTCAAGTTGAGTTGGAAGGTCTCGTGTGCTCATGAGCAGTGAAGGTCTGCTTTGAGGGGGAAAACTGCTGTCTACATCCATTGGGTAAGCATCTACGTCCATTGGGATTGATCTACTATTGGACTGTCTTTCTCTTCTTCTTGTTTCTTCTTTAATCATGTCTGTGAATTTCTTTGGTCCTAAAAACAGGCCATCACTGTCAGTCAGAGTGAACATCAGCTTTGTCTTCTGTGACTTGATGGAATCAATGGCATTTTTCACTATATCTGAATCCATGTCATTATGATGAACTGTAGCATCACTAAAACCATCCGCACATCTCTGAAGAAGTTTCTGATAGTCCTCAGTGGCTTTAGACACAGAATCAAGCCTTGAGTTCTCTGTAGGTTTGATTGCGATCGATACTTCTGGACAAATAAAGACTCCATGCCGTTTCCCAATTGTTTCCAAGTCCTTTCTATAAGCATTATGCATGTACCAGGACAGATGGAGTGGGAGAATCAATGGAACTGATGTCTCAGGGGCCACCTTAGTAGTTTTATTAGTCTCAGTTTCACTTTGAGATTTAATACATGCAGTGATATTCTCAACATTATTTGCTTTATTTGCTTCCTCAGATGTCCCAGACGTGGCCTTGTTCACCTAGAAATAAAAGTCTGATTTAGATATTTAAAACCCACAGTGCTATAAGCCAGTGGTTACCAAAATAGGCATCAGCAAAGATTTATGAGGGTTCACCAAACTCACTCTAGTAGTAGAAATAAAGTAGATGGCAGTTCGTTAACTACAAATAGTTAAAATGTAAAGTTTTAAAAGGATTAGTTCTCACAAAACTGAAAGTACCGTCATCATTTACTCAAACTTTACTGAAAAACCTTTAACCGTTGACCTCCATTGAGTATTTTGTTTTCATACTATGGAAGTCAGTGATTAAAGGTTTCTAACATTTTATAAAATATCATCTTCTGTGTTCAGCAGAATAAAGAAACTTGAAAAGTCTGAAACCACATGAGTGTGAGTAAACTGTGAGTAATTTTTCAATTTGGGGGGAACTGTCTCTTTAATAATCTTAAATTGAATACAGTAATGAATAAAAATGTAGTTTCAGTACAGTAAATTCTGTCCATCATTAAACAAAGTTAACAACAGTGGCAGCTTGTAGAGGATGTTTTGATTTGTGTACAAATAGGGCTGGGCCGATATTATATCGAATCGCATTAAAATTGATGTCAACAACAACGATCAGCTCTTTTACTCTATATTAGGGTGCTTTAACACCTACACTTTTGTTTCGGAACGTGTCTCGTTTGCCCAGTTAGCGCGGTTCGTTTGGCATATGTGAACAGGGTAATTGCGCTCTGTTCCGCGCCAAAGTAATCGCTCCGGGATCGCTTGAATGAGGTGGTCTCAGCTCGATTGAAACGAACCCTGGAGCGATTCGATTGCAGTGAGAAAGCGATCAGATCCGAGCGCGGTTATATCACAGTGTTTTATGGATATGTAATAGGCTTACGGCTATATGAAGAGAGAATTATGAGTAGGGTGGGAAGTTTCGCAAGTCCCCCGATGCCCGCAAACGAGTGATGATCTCCCGGTAATCTCGCGTCTCCCTCCCGGTCCTCAAATAGGCATCGTCGCGCACCCTTCTCACCCCTCCCCACCGCATCTCTCCTCAGACACGTCACGCGCGCGCACCCTGTCAATCACCACTAAACCACCACCTCTCCTGACAGCTGAGCGGGACGCTGCAAAATAAACCCTGACACTCTGACCAATGTGAGGAGAGTTTACTCACACGTGACTTGTTTTAGCTCTTTTGGTCCGATTAGAAACTTTGCAGTGTGAAAGCGAATCGCTCCAAGAGCAAAGAGCAACAATGTAACATTTGTAATCTCTGTTTCAGAACAACTGAATCCATTCACAGGTGTGAAAGCACCCTAAGTCTAAGAGTCAATCACACAGCACAATGGGAATTCAGCAATGGGAATGTAGAAGTGTATTTATATTAGATGTACCAAATTTTCGGCCACCGAAAATGTATCATCTGTAAATATGTTGTGACATTTAATGGACCCTCTAATATTTGTGGCTTCAGTCCACTTTGATTTTAAATCTACCAAAATCTAGTGATGCTGGAGGTTTTTCATCACCAGCTGTATAATGTCCTGCATTAGGAAATATAGTTATAAATGCAAACTTTATATGTGAATAAATAAAACTGTTACTGAGAATGTGTCGACTTTTCTTTTGCAGATGTCCCCATGAGACACAATTACCATCCAAATTAGGCTGAAGTTGCATATCAGGCTCTGCTTGATCCTATACTGTTCACCGGTGTTTGTTTAGGCTCTCTTTTACTCTTGTGTACATCTAGTTCTAGTTTATTTTCCCTAATTTCATTGCTAGTGTAGTAGCTCAGGAGCTTTATTTGGTTATGAACAGGCTTTGCTGTCAAACTCATTCATTCATGAATTCCCTCGGCAATTCCTTCTCTATTTCAGAGGTTGCCACAGTGGAATGAACCGCCAACTATTCCAGCATATGTTTTACACAGTGAATGCCCTTCCAGCTGCAACCCAGTACTGGGAAACACCTATATACACTCATCCACCATGACCAATATAGTTCATCAATTCCCCCCCTATCGTGCATGTGTTTGGACTGTGGAGGAAACCGGAGCACCGAGAGGAAACCCACGCCAACACGGGGAGAACATGCAAACTCCACACAGAAATGCCAACTGACCCAGCCGGGACTTGAACCAGCGACCTTCTTGCTGTGAGGCCTCAGTGCTAACCACTGAGCTACCATGCTGTCAAACTCAATCATTCATTCATTTTCTTTTCGGCTTAGTCCCTTTATAACCCAAAGTCGCCACAGCTGAATGAACCGCCAACTTATCCAGCACATGTTTTACGCAGCGGATGCCCTTCCAGCTGCAACCCCTCACTGGGAAACATTCACACACACCCATTCACACACATAGACTATGGACAATTTAGCCTACCCAATTCACCTGTACTGCATGTGTTTAGACTTGTGGACCAAGCCGAGGCTCGAACCAGCAACCTTCTTGCTGTGAGGCGAATATCCAACCACTGTGCAACCGCGTCTTCTGCTGTCCAACTTTAATTTAATGACTTTAATGAACTGAATTAATGTAGACTTTGTCATAATTAATCACAAAATTAACACGATACCTCTAGTAAAGTAGCTCTGTTCCCCTCCAGCAAGGACTTGTGTGGTACATTCACATAAGTTGCTCCATCCGGACAGATCCACGCAGTCACTTCCCTGTTTTCATTTTTAAACCTCAAAGGTATAAACTTCAGCTTCTCCAAAGCTTCTAGAGCTGTAGAGAAGTATAGAGAGGTTATGTAATGGAGAGCCCTATGACATTAATACATGTAAACAAATGAAGCAAGAAACAAAATACTATTTCCAATGTCTAAACAAGATGAAACCAAGTGCAGTTTGTTTAAAGGGGAGCTATTTTGCAAAAAACACTTGTATAAGAGGTTTAAACACAGCTGTGTGTGAGCAGTGTGTGAATATATCCAGCTTTTAATGGTAAACATGAATTAAATCTATTGTTTATAATCAGACTTGATCAGAGCAGTCTGCAGGAACACTTTGATTGACATTCTCCCTTAGTATGATGTCATCAGAGGGGGAAAGCCCGCCCACTAGTGCGCATCTCTCCCTCATTAGCATAAACAGCAGCCCTGAGTGAGAAGCAGCCGTCTGTCCATCAGCCATTAGAGTGTTTGAGCTGCTGAAGATAATGTCAGCATAGACTCAGAGCATTATAGATGTGGAGTTTTAGATGAAGCACAGATGAACAGTGAACACTGTACTGTGTATTTGTGAAATGCAAGTGAATCACCGTCACCTGTTGATGGAGTTATCTGCACTTCTGCAAATGACGGATCATCCATGAGCTTAATACTGTGGACCGTAGCATTTTCTTCTAGTTTTGACAACCACGTCTGAAGGGCGATCTGTAATCTTGCTCTCCATCTGTCTGGAAATGCTTCAGTCCAGTCCACTTTAATCCTTAATTTACCGATATCCAGTGGTGCTGAAGGTTTGGGTCTTTCATTACCAGCAGTATAAAGATCCTGTTGTGGGAAAAGTGTTGATGTAAGTAAGCATTATTACCTTATCGCCACGGCGGAATGAACCACCAACTATTCCAGCATATGTTTTACACAGCGGATGCCTTTCCAGCTGCAACCCAGTACTGGAAAACACCCATATACTCTCTAATTTACACACACACTACGGCCAAAATAGTTCAATTGATTCCCTTATATCGCATGTGTTTGGACTGTGGGGGAAACCGAAGCACCCGGAGGAAACCCACGCCAACACAGGGAGCACGTGCAAACTCGATACTCAAATCAGTGACCTTCTTGCTGTGAGGCCACAGTGCTAACCACTAAGTCTCTGCCCTCGCAAGTAAGCAAATACATCAAACCATGCCTTTGTTTGTTGTGAACACACACCCTCTAGTGGCCAAATCTACATATAGATGCCTGCATAATCTCCTGTTAATGACCCTTATGTTGTTTAACAAAATAAATAATCCTATTTATTATTAACAATAATATTCTTACTGCATTATAATGTATGCATAACTGTTTATATTGCGTATCCAAAAGAATCCCTGCTTACTTTCAAGGGAAAAATGCAATATATTGTGAATAACAGTTAGATGCACGCTATAAAACTTGTAAATAAACTTAAAATGGAAATAAACATTTTTTTGGCTTCTGTTTGTGTGACTGATATTAAATGTGTGGCTTATTTATACTCTTCAGCTCATACCTCCTCTAGCAGTAAGCTTGGCCGATCCATAATAAGGTTTAGATGCTTCCAGTCTGACAAACTGGACCTCGAGTCTTCATCACCTGCTGTATATAAGTCCTGCAATTTAGGAAAACAATAATAAAATAAACAGATTTATAAACAATTTCAATTATATTCTAAAAAAATGTAGTTTTAATCATAATATACATTTGAATGTAGCATATACTGTACATGTGAAGCTACAAAGTGTTTTCAGATGGATTGCTTAAGTCATGTGATGCAATTACGATGATATATATATATATATATATATAGTAAGATAAACTAATTAGTAGATTTCTGTAAGTATACAACAATACACCAGTTTACTATTGTAAAAACTAAAGTTTACCACAGTATGCTTAATCATTCACTAACAGTGTGTGTTGTGAATATACATAATATTTCAAAAACACTATAGCCAATACTATACTACTATTCTCTGTGTGGGTAAAAACTACATTATGCAATCAATTGGAAACTTTTTTATCTTATTTTTCTGATGAAATAATACAATAAACCAATTGACAAATACATTTTTGATTTACATGACATCGGAAGAATCATGATTCAAGGGTCTGTTTTGTGACATCAGGACACAAATCTGTATGACATGGGTATTAAAAGAAGATAGTCAAATATAGTAGGATATAGTTGATGTGAAATACAGTTCGTACAGTACAAAAACAATGTAATGTCCCCACAATTCACAAAAACAAACGTGTTTTGTTGAAAATTACTCACATATTCGCCCATCTCCATTGACCTGAATCCCTCTGCCATGTCTGAGACTGACCAACAAACACAACTGAGAGAAAACTTTGGCCTTCAGTACATAGAAATGAAGCAAACAAACAATAAAATCCATAAATTAAAGCTATTGCTGTTGTAGTAGCAGCCTGTAACTCGTTTGGTTTAGTTTTAGCGTCGTACAATGATGTGGGAAAACATTTAGACAAGTCATTTCACATTAAACTGAACATTTATTATGATTATTTACTTGTGTTTTACTCACTGCAGGCGTCAATGTCTGTCGACGTTCAAGTGAAGCCCTTTTTAAACAGTGTTGGAGCTGTAATATCAGTCGACACACACATAACATCACAATATTACTGAAAAAGGAAATAATATTACTGTCAGAAGGACAAAACTAGGCTACTTGTTAATTTTACTCACCGATAAATGCGAGCTGTCAGTGTTTTACCTGAGAAACTGACACTGAAGCGAAAATGAAAGCTAATCTCTGTTTTCATGAGGGAACTGTGGATTTTAACACGCACACATCGACAGATTATAAATAAATGTGAATTATTGTATCAAAAGCCATCTATCATACACTATTATGAATTAAAATATTAGTAAACAATCCTAATCGTAGTTTCAGGCTTTAAGACGCGTAAAAACTAGCCTGGGCGAGTTCTTAACACTTTGGGTTGCCAGGTAATGTTATGAAAACTCCTGTAACATGATAGGCTATGTGAAGTTGATTTTAAAAACTAGCCTACCTGACAAAAGTGTTGTCGCCTATCTAAGTTTTAGGAACAACACATAATAACTTGACTTCTAGTTGATCATTTGGTATCAGAAGTGGCTTATATGAAAGGCAAAGGCCTCTAGATTTGCTTAATTGAGCACAATAAAATCTGATCATGCATTGATTATTAATGATTTGATTAGGACAGTAAGGTCTGACTCTGCTCAGACTAAAGTCTCGTCACTGAACAGAAATAATGTCCAGTATAGAATATAAAGTCCTGCTGCAGTGGAGACAGAATGAATATTGTGTCTGACTCCATCATGAGCTTGGAGGACTGCATCCATACATCTCTGACATGACTGATTAATAAAGTCATCTGGAATGGCAAAGAAAGCCTTCCTGCAGGACTCCCAGAGCTCATCAAGACTCTTTGTGTTCATCTTCAACATCTCCTTCATTTTACCCCAGACATGCTTAATAATGTTCATATCTGGTGACTGGGCTGGCCAATCCTGGAGCAGCTTGACCTTCTATGCTTTCAGGAGCTTTGATGTGGAGGCTGAAGTATGAGGAGCGCTATCCTGCTGGAGAATTGTCCCTCTCCTGTGGTTTGTAATGCAATGGGCAGCACAAATGTCTTACAATTTTTGGGTGAACTAACCCCTTTAACATCTGACTCATGAGCTGGTTCTAGTGAGGAGACGTGTGAATGATAACCAGGGTTTATTTTACAGCAGTGATTCTCCACTGGTGGACAGTAGAAATGTCAGAATAAGCAAACAGACAAAGCACAAAGAACAAAACATGAATCTTAATGAAGTATTCCCAAGCTGAACAATGATAATACAACAGGAGCAAATCTGTTAGCATGGAAATGTACGCAAGCATGGTGAAAACATGTTGAGCACTGATCCTGACTGATCTCTGAACAGTTATATTATGAAAACTACACACAACTGTTCCCATTTCTGTTTACGAAGTTCATCAGCTATTTTCTTTCCTGATATTTGGACATTAGTTTGAGCCAGATAGCACATATTCGTCTGCAAGTCATATTTTAAAGATTGTTTAGTCTGTGTGGATCATCTGATGTGTACAAACATCTGGTAAAGGTCATTAAAAGGTCTATTTAACAAACATTATGAATCATCGACATCTTAAAGACATTCTCTACACATCTACTTAACGTCTACATGAGACGTCTTCCAGATGTAAACACACACAACAAGTAGACGTCTCTGTGAATTACACGTGCTGAAACAAACAGCTTAAACTAGCTCAGCCTGGTATTAGAGGGGGTATGGTCATTTTCACCCTGGTCTTAGCAGGTCAGGCTGTAAAATCACCAGCTAAAACCAGCTTGATCAGCCTGCTTTAAGCTGGACGTAGCTGATTTTGGCTGGGCTTCCAGCGTGTCTAGGCTGGTCAAGCTGGTTTAAGCTGGTCATCTCCCAGCCTGACGCGCTAAAAGCAGGCTGGAAATAGCTGGAACCCCTCTAAAATCAGGCTGGTCGAACAACTAAAGCCAGCCTAGGTTAGTTTAAGCTGATTTTTTCAGCAGGGCTATAAGGCAAGGGTGTCAAACTCAGTCCTGGAGGGCTGGTGTCCTGGAGAGTTTAGCTCCAACCATAGTCAAACACACCGGAAGCAGCTCATCAAGCTCTTACTAGGTATACTAGAAACTTCCAGGCAGGTGTGTTGAAGCAAGTTGGAGCTAAAGTCAGCAGGACACTGGCCCTACAGGACCAACTTTGGACACCCGTCTTACTTGATATACTAGAACAGGGATGTCAAACTCAGTTCCTGGAGGGGCGCAGTTCCACAGTTTAGTTCCAACCGTGCTCCAACACACTTACCTGTAGGTTTCAAACAACTCTGAAGGACTCAATTTGTTTGATCAGGTGTGTTTAATTAGGGTTGGAACCAAAACTGTGCAGGGCTGCAGCGCTCCAGGAATGGAGTTTGACATCCCTGTACAAGAAACTTCCTAACAGGTGTGTTAAAGCAAGTTGGAGCTATACTCAGCAGGACACCGGCCCTCCAGGACTGAGTTTGGACAGCCCTGCTATAAGGTAATGTGCTCATTTCCAGTGTTGCCATTAAGACAACAGACATCTATCCATCTTTTATAGCATTTCTACTTAAAGAAATTAAAGTAACAGCTTCTGTACATTATCAATTAAAGAGAAACGTCATCTCTAAAAATACAAATCATTTACCAGATTCATATTTATGAGTGTCTTTATTCTCTTAAACACTAATATGTGTTTGATGCATGCTGAAAACCGGTAACCATTGACTTTCATAGAAGGAATAATACAAATACAATGGAAGTCAATGGTTACAGGTTTCCAACATTTAAAACATTTATAATATTTAGTGTTTAACAGAACAAAGATGCTTAAACAAGTTTGAAACAAGTCGATGATGACTACATTTTCATTTCTTTGGGGTGAACTGTCCTTTTAAGTCCTCAAAACATCCCATGTGAGGCCCAACAGGCTGTTTTACAAACTCTAATATTTGCAGAAGAGCATGACCAGGTTTACAAAGGCCAGGAAAACAGTCAGCCTTTTCCTGTTTACATCACATGCTGAGTCTTACACAATCCGAGTTCAATTATAAAAACAGAAACCTGATTACGAACTCTTGAGCAGAATACATGTTTGCTGGCATGTCAGGAGCTTGTAGACAGTAGATAAATAAGAGAAAATCTCAGCACTTCTCTATACAGGGTGTTTGAATGCGCTGATGCGCCACAGGAAACAGGACGAGAGCATCATTAGCAGTAAAGTGTCTATTCTGGAACAGTAATTGGGTTCATATTCTACACAACATTTACAATTAGTTTTCCTCCTCCATACACGCATTATGTTTTGTAAATAAAACGTGGCTCAGGACAGGATGAGGGCTCGGTTTGGGGTGTGAGATTTTAAAGAGCGAAGGTATCGTCTGGCTTTCTCCGTCATGAAGAGCTGATCTTTCGTCCGTCCGCAGACAACAGTTTCCCACGCCGCAGACATCTGTCAGAAGAGAAAATTATTAGATAATTAAGACTTTTTTTGTTCTATACATTTTTTTTTAAGTTGCTTTTCTTTAAGTTTTAATGAAAATATTCTCAACTATTTTCTGCTGCAGACAAAACAGCACATTTAATTAATTTATAACAAAACATTAGCAGTTTTTGGCAAAGGCACCTACTTTACCCCCTTTTCAAGATTTAATTAAAGTCTTTCGTGTCTCTAGAATGTGTCTGTAAAGTTTTAGCTTAAAACACCCATCAGTTTATTTATTATAGCTTTCTGAATCTGGGAAATTTGAGCTGTTAGGACACTTTAGATGTTTTTGTTGCCCTTGCCTTTAATGCAAATGAGCTGGTTCTCCCCGCCCACTGTTCCCACATGTGTCAGAGCCAGAGATCTCTCTGTATTGCTCTGATGGATGTAGCCTTCACCTGCTGCGTCTCATGTAGATAAACAGCACAGTGGCAGACACAAATGAAGCAGATCTGCCTTACTACAGTAAGAACTTTTCTAATGGTTATTGGAGGCATTTGTTGTGGAGTTTATTAAAGCCTTTCTGTAATGATGAGTCACACACACAAACGTACACGCACGCACAGCTTTGCACATTAAATGTGACAGGATACACATTAATATCCACTGTTGATGTACAAAATAAACCTGATTAAAGTCCACAAACCGGGACTGAAACGTCTTCTTTTATAAATGTACAGACATGCGGCTATGACGATGAACTACAGCGAAACACAGTTTTTACTTTATTACAAACATGCACGATTTTAAAAGCATTTTAAACTTGTAAAACTCATTCTCGAGGTGCAAATTGTCATAAAAGAGCAGAACAGATCTTTTAATCCCAGTTGTTTTGCGCAAATCCTCTTATATGGATATGATTGTACGCGTTACTATGGAGACATGTTCATATGCAGCTGTCAATCAATTCATGGGTGGGGGAAACCGCAGTGCTATGTCATGTTGCAGTCGGCTTCAAACTTGCAGGATTTGGATGCTATTATAACATTAGGAAGTTAAAAGAGTAAGACTTATTGTCTTTACATCACTCCAGTTTGACTGTGGAAACACTATACCTGCACACAGTTTTGTCTAAAAGGCTTACAAAAAATGATTTTCCTCATAGCTGCCTTTTCAAGTCTCTTTCTACAGTGCTTTTTATTATTTATATTTATTGACATGATGTATGAAGACCTGAAGTGCCAAGAAAGGCACCTTTAACTTAAATGCATTATTTTTTTACTTACAATTGGACTGAAGAAAACGCATCTGAAAACCTAATAAGCACATTCATTTTTCAGATTTTACTTAGTAAAATGTTTTTCCAATTAAAGTTTATTAACATGAGCTCAATTAACACATTGGTTTTATTTAATGACAAATTTCCCATGTGCATTTTCAAATTCCACCCTATTTTTCTATAATATATATAGAAAAATACACATAAAAATGGAAAAGTTTTACAAAAAATACAAAAGTAGGCATTACAAGTTAAATTAATTGCCTAATTTCTTAATTAATTGATTAGAATATGTTGAGCTTATTCTGTATTTGGTGACAACAACCATAGTAATATAAATAATCCAGTTAGAAAAAAAAACAACAACTGGTTTCAGTTTCTGATGTTAGAAACCAGCAGAAAACAAAACAATTAAATGAGCCATGTTTAGTCTTTTAGGAGTACCTCATATCATCTAAAATACTCAGAAATATCTGACATTGGACAACGTTTTCAAGCAGAAATAACCCAGTACACGAGGTGGAGCCGTGTAACTACCCTTTTCCAAACAAACGTACACCTCCTTGATCAGAGCCGGTGTGCATGTTTGAGATCAGCACATGCCTGAAATGATGTCCTGTATGCGTAACATGAGCAGAGTGTGATCTACAGCTACTTACAGGCAGTGGAGAGATAGTTTTGGGTGTTGCCAGCACTGGTTTAGAGGCAGGTCCACTTTCATTAGGACCCAGAATAAAGCCTTGATCCAGAACATTCTCCTCCTTTACAGCACATGAGGACACCGGAGGATCCGGCTGCACCGTCTGAGGCTGTGAATACAGAAACTCTTTCAATAACACTTTACATCTGAAGAGAGGGCCAGGATAAACGCAACACCAGTGTGGTTTTCTGTACCTTCTGACTGGGTTTGACTGTGGCTTTAATCTGCTGCTTTCGTGCAGCAACACTTTCACTGCAGTCGATGACATCCAGAGCCAAAGACTTACGCACTTTCTTCATGGGAGGCCGATACTGTTGAAGAAGACACAGATCATTCAATTTAACAGCAAACCAGCAACAAAACGAGAATTTATCAGGTTTACTCCATATCAGCAGCTCAGATTGCTTTCACTGCAAATCCAGCTACAAAATGAAATAGGATAATCATTGAATACATCAACATTTAATCACTTAAGGCTGCACTTGATATGAATGTAATCAAAGGTTAAACCGGACACACAATCTGATGCATGCAGATCAGGGTTTAAATGTCTCTTTGCTGTCAGATCTTTACTGATTTTTATAAAGTAATCTCAATAATTGCTTTGATTTTGATGAAAATAATTCAAGATTTCGGCGCCAGTGGTGTAGTGGTTAGTGCATCGACACATGCACTCCGGTGCTCACGACGACCCGAGTTCAATTCATCCTCGTGGTCCTATGCAGATCCTTCCCCTCTCTCTGCTCCCTATGCCTTCCTGTTAATACTCTCTACTGTTCTATCGAATAAAGGTAAAAACCCCGAAAAATAATAATATATAAAGACTAAAGCAACAGAGGCTTACTGAATTACTAATAAATAATACTTAAGAAACACTTTAGACAACTTTGAAAGTTCAGCAATATCATGAGTATCACATGATAAGTTGTTTTCTTTCCAGAACCTTTACCTTCTCTGTTCCTCAGCGCTTTGATCATCTTCCTCAAATGATTAGAGATGTTTAGAGGCTTGGGAAGATACATTTGTTCATTTTTATTAGTCGGCTACAAAGTTATAAAGATATTGTTGATTTACAAGCAATTTAAAGAACCTTTAGTGCATGTAAAATACCAGAATCTGCACCAAATTGCATATCATTTAGACCCATTTTCCTCATACTCTCAGTACATATGTAAACTCATATTTTGCATATGCTAATATGTTTTTTTTTTTTATTAAAAATGATTTTAATATTAAATGGGTGCATTAATTAATTTTTTGGGGGGAAAAGTATTTTAAGGTTTATTTTATTTATTTAATCTCAATTGTAAAAATACAGACAGGTTAAGGTAATATAACTAAACAATTAAAACTAAAGATCTTCAGTTAATCAGATAGTTTAATCAGACTTTAAGATCTTCTGTTAATGTAATTCTGGGTTTCAGTAGGTTACACAGAGTTAAATTTAAGACTTTAAGACATTTTTGGACCATTATGAATGAAATTATAGCCCATAAATGGCTAAAGGTTTAATAATTTTCTACATGGCCCAGATGGAAAAGATTGTTATTTGCCAGATCAAAAATATTATAATTTAATAAATTTAATAATACAATAATAATAATGTTTTAAATTGAATTTTTTAGCAAAATATTTTAAATATTGTGTAAAAACAAGCAAGCTCTAGTCGTATCCATACACTTTTTTTACAACATAAACTCCCTTTAAAATAAAATAAAAATGAACAAATGTTTTAAAAACTAGAATAAACTAAATTTATGCACAACAATCTGTCCAGTGTCCTCCGCAGTAAAAACATGGAGAACTTTTAATCAAATGTTATTGTAAGGAATATAATTAAACCACTATGATACATAAATTTTAAAATGACCTTTTTTATAAAGTTTAAAAGGTTTAAAGTTTTATTGAGATGATTGTTGATTACTGTATGGGTTTTGACCAGATTTGGTAACAATGCATGAACAAAGGAAAATTAAGACCAGTTTAAAAAAGATTTAAGACCTACAACACAATATTTGAGTAATTTTAAGACTTTTTAAGGCCTAAAATTTAGATTTTGAGACTTAAGACATTTTAAGACTCTGCAGAAACCCTGTTAATTCTACAAAAATGCAAGGAAAAATTTGGACACCTTAACCCTCAGGCTTTTATAGTGTCCTAATTTGTTTCTTCACAAGACTGGAGTTAAAAGCTGCACTTTTTATTAGATAAAGACAAATGAATAACTTTTAAAAATAAAAGAAGTTATCAGAATTCCTGGTCTTAACCTCCATCAGTAATAGACGGACTAATGATCCACTATGACTGGAAACGGAGCTAATCCTTTTCCCTGTCAGATCTCTCACCACTTGTTTGCGTTTCTTCTCAGCAGGAGCTTCATCTTCTACGATCAGCTCGATTCCTGCTTCACTGCGCAGCACTTCTTTAAGATCCTCCTCCAGATTTGGGGTTGGAGGCTGAAGAAAATAGCCCAAAGCAAAGACAGAAACAATATTTTGTGAAACACAATGGTGGGAGAAAAACATCCAGGATTTAAGCATCTTTTTACGACACAAAAAGGACTAAACTATTTTGTTTTAACACCACAGAGGTTTATAGTAAGACTTTCTGCAGGTTTCATACAGTCAAACTGAAGACTTTTTAAGGTGATCATGAATTAAATGTAAGATATCACTATGTTGGTCTCATTTGTAGCCATAATACATCAATTATATCTGGACTAGCAAAATAAAAAAAAACAAATACACAGGATTCTGTAGCACTGCAGGTATATTTCAATGAGTTCGAGTTAACATTCGAGGTGTAACGGATCACAAATCTCACTGTTCGGATCACATTATGGTTTATTAGTCACGGCTCGGACCATTTTTCAGAAGAGGGGGGAGACAAAAAATGTAATTTGCTTTCCAAATACTATAAAATCAGCACTGCAAGACACTTTTGGTTTTAACAAGCAGAACTTAACACCTGTCATTTAAATAAAAATAACATGAAGAAATAATCAGCTGAATAAAAATAAATTGTAAAATATTCAGTAGACAAATTCACCGTTACTCCTACTGCTGCTGATAACCCTAAATGTAGAAATCTAATTTAATTTGTACAATCCATATTAATTTTAAAGCCTCATCCTCAATAAATGATTGAGTTATTCACTCATTAAACTTCACGTTTCATTGCTAGATGATCATTTCTGAAGAATTATTCAGTGGCGCATTTTTGACGGCTGGTTGTCGCCACCTATTGGTTAAACAGTAGCTCCTTTCACACAGAGATACCAGTAAATATCCAGAACAACTTTACCGGTAAATTCAAAAAAGCGCTGTTCACACAGGCGAGGACGTTACGGAATTTTTCCGGAAAAGAGCGTTCACACAGCTTGTGTTTGTAAACATTTGACTACATTACAAACTCTTTGGATGGATCAGTATTGAGTACAAGTCCAATGAAAACATCTGGAGGAACACTTTCGCATGTCGAGATGTTCATGATATGTGTGTGCTGGCGCTATGGGCACACGCAAAGCTTGAAGGTAAACAAACAACGGATTATCATAAACATTTTATCGATGATTATTTACACAGTTAGCATTAAGATGAACATATAAACGTTATCTGACTAACATCTAGCAGCTAAATGTGTCTGGAAAAATATTCAAAGGCTTTTATTCTCATAAACCGCGCGGACGTGAATGCGTCTGACTGTTCTGATTGGCTAAAGTAGACATCTCATGTCAGCACGTTCTAGACGTGGACATCTTTCCGGCAATCTTCCTACAGCGCAGCATTCCGGCAAATTACCGGTAATGTTACAACTTCTCTTTCCGGAAAATAGCCAGAACGAATTTACCGGTATTTTCAAAAAGGGCCTGTTCACACATACACACCTTTCCGGAAGATTGCCGGTAATTTTCCGTAAAGGTCTGTATGTGTGAAAGGGGCTAATGTAACTGCTGCCTTCAATATTAATTTAAGCGTCAAGTTAAATGAAAATGACGGTGATTTTAATCTTTAGCATAAACATAAGTGGTTTTATCTAAACTATAAACTGTTGTTTCAGTATAGCCGTGTTATTTGCATGTCTGTAACTTCATAACAATCTCAAAACACTAAAGACTGAATCTCCTGATTGTTGCGTTTTTCGGACACAGATTTGAATGCAGCGATTCGAAGCATTTATAATGTATGTTGCGTGGGTGTTGCAATCCAGATCTTTACTGATTAATCGTGCAGCTTATACTGAATGCATTAATGCAGGCTGAACAGAGTTTTCAGTAAATGTTCTCACCAGTGGCCGCAAAGGGCCGTATTTCTCCATGGCGTTTTTAAACGGAGTGGGCGTACGAGGCATCGTGTCCAGATCAGACTTGTGATTTGGTGTTATAAACCTACAAAGGAGGAAACATACACAAGTTCAGCAGTCACATCAGAGCTGAATCGCGGTGTGTGTGAACGCAGAGACGTACAGGGAGTTTTCCTTCTGTGTGAGCGGGGTTTTGTCTCGGTGCAGCGGTGTGGTGACCACGGCTTTCTGACTGCACACGGGAGTGGAGGTGAGGGACGGGTTCTCCAGGTCCAGCGTGTCCTGCTTCGTCCACATGTTGAGGAACTTTGAGAACACAAATATAATATTAAAGGCTTTGAATAATAACAGAAGCAGTCAAATGTTTCCTAAAGTCTTACAGGAAAGTGTTTGCTATAGCAATTAGGTATGCAAAATGACAGACATTACAAGACAGTCAATGAATTAAACACTTAACTATCAAATCAGAGAATCATATCTGTAATACACTTATAATAATACAAGAACTATCATATATTGCACCTTTAAAAGTTAGATTCTTTCAATTCTTTACAAGAAGTTAAAGAGAAAAAGAAAACAAAACACAAAGATAAGGTAAAAAAAAATGTACAAATTAAAGACGCAAGAGTCATTTTATTGTCACTTGCAGCTTTAATTTGTATATAGTGGTAGCATTTTAGCAGGTAAACACAGGAGAAACATGCAGCCATTTATATGTGCCACACTTGCTGCAGCCAGTAGATGGTGATATGACTATAAATGAACATTGAGCATTTAGAGGACTTAAAGATCTTTTACCCCTTATAATATTTATGCAATGAAGCCTGACTGTTAAAAAAAAGTGATCAAATAGAGATATATTTTAAAGATCTTTGAAACATGCATTTAAGACATGAAAACTAATTAAGACCTTAATTTTACACTATGAAATGCAAGACTTTAGGGATCTGTGGCCACTCTGCTTATGTACTAACATTATCTCAAATGTTTAAAAGAACACTCAGATCCTGTGAAATAAGCTGTTTTAACTTTAAGAGATAACAAGTAGAAAAGACCACAACTCCCATGATTCCACGCTCAGTCATGCTGTCATTAAAATACACGCCCTCTTGTGGCCAAAATTACATAGTGCAGAGTTACTGAAGTTTGTCCTGCGCGCTTGCGGTTCTTTTTTAGTTACTTCTTTGGTTTGGTGCGTTAATCTTATCGTTACTATTATTCAAAAGAAGGTAATGATTCGCACTCAATTGCTTCGTACTGTTTTTATTTGTACCTTTTCTTACATTTTACGGGTGATAACAGACAAACAGACGTTTCGGCACAAAGCCTTCCTCAGTGTGTGACACAATTCTCTATAATCAGGTGTACATCAATACAATAAAATTCTAACAGTTGACATTAAAAGTTTTCTACATTTGACAATTACCCAAAGATTAAAAATCACAAGTCTTACCTTCAGCTTTACCCATATAACTAATTATACAGGATGTGATTTTTAATCTTTGGGTAATTGTCAAATGTAGAAAACTTTTAATGTCAACTGTTAGAATTTTATTGTATTGATGTACACCTGATTAATGATAATAGTTTATACACTTTCTCTCTGTAGAGTGAGGTCGGAAATGGGAAGATTGTTTATTGTCAACTAATTGCACATTGTGATTGACTATGGAATAAAAGGGTGGAGTTAGAGAATTGTGTCACACACTGAGGAAGGCTCTGTGCTGAAACGTATGTTATCATCCATAAAATATAAGAAAGAGTACAAATAAAAACAGTACGAAGCAATTGAGTGCGAATCATTACTTTCTTCAAAATTACATAGTGTCAAAAAAATAAATAAAAGATTACAGTTTGAATGATCTGACAGCCATATTAAGCAGTGATGCAACATTAATATTTGACCACCCAATATGATTTAGTTGTTGATATTATTAATTTAAATATATGTACGCAAATTCACAATATTTTAATAAATAAACAAAATGCAGCCACTAAATATTGTGGATTGATCAGCGTAGCTGATTCACTGATATTGCACACTTTTTATTAAGAAATTATTATTATTGAAATGCATTTGTTTTACCTGATTGAAAACCACAAATTAAAAAAAAAAAAAAAAAAAAAAATGAAACTTTTCAGAATCTAGTTTATTTAGCAGCTCCATAATTTTGCGGTTTGTTTTATTAATTATTTCATTAATTTTAGACATGGCATATACTGTACGTTGTGCAATAAAAGCATGTAAAAAATAACTTGCCTGAAAGGTGTTTTTAAACTAAATATTGATAATTATTTGGTTTGCTCGTGTACTTGCTGAATTATTTCAAGGAATAAATTACAATGTTACAAGAGTATTTAATGGAATTACTTAAAACTTCATTATTTAAATTTACCAGAAACAAAAATATAACATTACTCATTCACAGTACATACACAACTCATTATTATTTTGTGAGCCACCCCAAGATTTGGTGTGGTCTTACTTGGCCACCCCTTAGAAAATGTTCTCGGAGGGCGCCACTGTGTGTCCATCCACCTATTTTTAATGCACTCTTTGGATTAATCGCAAAAAAAAAAAAACTGAATGAAAAAGCCAAGATGTGCATACATCGCATAAAAAGATTCTGCACACAATCGAGAAGGATAAACTTTATCTGATATAAAAAAATCTGCATTAACTACAATGGAAACGAATAAATTCCAGCACACAAAAAAAATTCATGTGATTTTGTTTCAACAGATCATGTGATGATAAAAATGGCAGAAAGTGGCATGTATGTTTAGGTGGATGATGAGCTCCGAAAGGTTTTAAATGTTAAATACGAAAAAGCAGTGATGATAGAGATGATATCTGGAGATGATATCCTGCCTCCAAAAGCAAGATAACATGACTGCGCTCAGTGGGTTTCGTCTACGTGTTCTAAGACGGAAGTAAATTATTATATACAAAAACAGGGTTCTTGCACTATTTTAAAAGTACAATTTAATGCTTTTTAAGAAATTTTTAAAGACCTCAACAAATATAATATAAGACCCAAAAATTGTATAATCTCTTTGGAATAAGCTACTCATTTTAATGTTCTCGTTAGATGTAAATTAATTGTGCCTCGTCACAGTATGGATAACCCGCAGTACCAGCCTTTTGGGTGTCTGGTGGTGAAATGAAACTGTTATAGCTGACTGTGAGGGGGCGTCTGAACTAGAGCTGTAATCATGATATAAAAGTTAGGCCCGATAGAGCCCGAACCCGACAAGTACATTTTGATTGACAGCTTTTTAAAAGCCCAAACCTGTTTGAAGTCCGACATTATCCAAATGTGCACAGGCACACAGCTCTTTTGTCTTTTTTCATGAATGAGTCGTTTATATGGGTTAACATTACTTATTCATAACATTGGCTATAGGCCTAACATTAGTAACTAGTAACTTTGTTAGGTCGAGCTGCAAACAATGCAGGGATTAACCTGGACCTGCTATGACAAGCTGCTGCAACGTCCCGCTGCTGCTTTCCTCCTTTCATGTGCAACTCGACGACTTTGAGCCCCATGGTCCCTAACGAAAAGGTCTTTTTGCAGAATTTACACATTGCCTCTTTGCCACGTTGTTAAATGTACAATTTCCCATCTCTACATTGTAGTTTTACAAGTGCTGAATTAATCAACTATTAGATGTTTTACAGTGGACCACTGTGCTTCCCTATTGTCATTAAGCACACCGGCTGAAAGTTTAATATCTACAGCCACTTTACGGTAAAATTTAAGACAATTTAAGACCTTAATTTCCCGGATTTTAATTTAAGACATTTTAAGACTTATTAAGGACCAGTGGGAACCCTGAAAAAAAAGCCCAACACTGTAACTTCTGTTTTTCTTTTGATATTTGGCTGCAGTTTATGAGGAAGTGATGATTTTGTTATCTTAGACTCGTTGGATGGAAACGCTGCTTTATTCTCAAATCTTTTATGCTATACTCCAGTTTTGCGCATACATTTAATTTGCATCTTTGGATGGAAACATGGCTAGTGTTGTGTTGCGTTTTCCCACCTGTGAGGGGGAAAAGGGCAGGATCTTGACCGGCGTGCTCTTTGGGGTCATGGAGTCATTGGGGTCTGGCGAGAGGGCGATGCGTCGACGGCTGCGGCGACTCAGGATGGATGGAGGAGTGGCTCCGCCGGGCGAGATGGGGATCAGCTCTCCTTTACTGCCCTTGCTGAGCTCTTGCAGTGCACTGCCCTCCAGACGAAACTGCAAGAGCTCCGAGCTCTGGCTCTCCTCCGGCAGGTCGAAGTCCGACATGGTACACCAGCCCTCCAGATCCTGCACACACACACTCTGATCAGTCCAACACACACTTAATAGTCCCATGATGTAGGGCTGCACAATATATCATTTACGCATCGATTTTGCAGTGTGTGCACTTGCATTAGACCCTTTTCACAAGACGTTAACGCTCATCGGCATCTTAAATCCTTAAAAGATTTACATTTTTTTAAAACATGTAAAACATTTATATGTATAGCATCATCTTTGTATTCAATTGCAAAAAACTAACTACCTCTCATGCGAGGGATGTGTAATGCAGAGTATAAGGGGGCAGGACAGTAACAACATTCAACATTACTCTCTCTTCTGGCTGCCGTTATCAGTCTCACACTATTGTTGACTACATTTCATGCACAATTAGCAACCGGTTGTAATCCTAATAGTGATTCAGGTAAATCAGGCTTGACTCACCCCATCCATCAGCTCCATCACCTCCTTCAGTGTGGGAGCCGCTGACGGAGACAGAAACCCAGAGCTGTCCATCACCCACGTGGACACGTTGGAGTCTCCGCCTTCACTTTTAGGGCTCGTTGAAGCTTTGGGGGTTTTGGGAGATGACGCTTTTTGTGGAGGAGCAGTGGCTTTCTCTTCAGGTTCCTGTCAACAAATGAGGGTATATAAATCGATTTAGGATGAACCAAAAGTAAAATATTTGGGCTGATACCAAAACAGATTTAATAAAAGAAAATAAATGTCCCTCCAGTTCTGATGCCAATATCTGTCAATTACATACAGCTCTCTCCACTAAAGTATAGGAGTCGACATTTGAATTAGATTAAAAAGTTGAAGAAAAATTGCCTAAAATTATTGAACACCACCCATTCTTGTCTGTTGATTACTGTAGTTTTACTAAACAAGGATTGGATCCATTTAACTTTCCAACCTTTTAAGAGATACAAGATTAAAAAAAACAAATAAAAAAAAAAACACAATATGATCACCTTCAATGATGCCATTCAATTTTCCCTAATCAATATTCAACGACTTTTATTTGACAAGTAACATAAAGTGGGTACGGAAAGTTTCTTATTTCCCTTTTATTTCACTTCTTCCCTGATTATTGTACACACAGCACCCCATACTGACAGAAAAACACATTCTTAAATGGCCCAGCCAGAACCCTGACTTAAACCCAATTGAGCATCTCTGGAGAAACCTAAAAAAACCACCACCAACGTTTACCATCCAACCTGACTGAACTAGGGAGGATCTGCAAGGAGGAATGGCAGAAGACTCCCAAATCCAGCAGTGAGAAACTTGTTGCATCTTTCCCAAAGAGACTCACGGCTTATTAGATCAAAAGGGGGCTTCTGCTAAATACTGAGCAAAGGGTCTGAATACTCAAGACCATGTGATATTTCAGCTTTTCTTTTTTATTAAATCTACAAAACAGTCAACAATTCAGTGTTTCCCTTGTTAATATGGGGTGCTGTGTGTACATTAATGAGGAAAACGATGAGCTTAAATGATTTTACCAAATGGCTGCAATATAACAAAGTGAAGAATGTCAGAGCTCTGAATACTTTCCGTACTCACTGTGCTTAATAAACCTAACAAAAAATTAATTACAATCTGAAAGCTGAATAAATCTGCTTTCCACTTATTTATGGTTTAGTAGGACAATATTTTACAGAGATACAACTATTTGAAAATCTACAAACAGTTCAAGAGTTCACACTTAGCTGATGATTGGTAATAAGCTAGTTTGGCATGCTGTCCTAGGATAGAGCCCCGAGCTCAAAAGATCCTCGAGCCCGGAGCTCCCTCCCCTTGCAGGGCAAGAGGGGAGTTTGAGCTCTGGTAGATCTCGAGAACCCCCCTTAAGTCAATTTACTTAAGTCTCTTGTTTTTGGGAGTGTGGGAGGAAACCGGAGGACCCGGGAAAAACCCACGCAAGCACGGGGAGAACATGAACTCCACACGAAAATGCTGTCCGGTTGGGTGGATACCAGAGTCAGAGACATTTTTTGCTGTGAGGCCGTAGAAAAGAGAAGGGGTGGAAGGGGGGATTCTTCAAGACGAAGATAACTAAAGGTAAGATGCTTGGTTATTTATACTGGGTTAGGAATCGTCTGATTGGTGGTTCGTACATTAGCTTGACTCGGGGCCAGCCGTGTCAATCATAATCACATGATCCTCTCGAAATTAGTTTATGAATAAACTTCACTTAAAAAAAATCTAAATACTCTGAAAATCACCATGAAAAAAGTCTAAATTAAGCTTTATAGCAATGCATACCAATAAACAAAATTAAGTTTTGATATATTTACACTAAGACATTTTACTAAAGGTCTTCATGGAACACTTAATGATCAAATAAGTTGTGCCATAAAAGAAAAATAATTAATAATTTTGACTCATACAATGCATTTCTGGCTATTCCCACAAATACACCCGTGCAAGATGGGGTGGGGTAATATGTATGGGGCTAATATAGTTGTCTTGCTGAGTGTTGCTATTCTGTGATTGTTGTATGGTTGTATTTACGTTATCAGTGTTAAATACTAATTTCCTTTCTGTGCCGAGCAGAACGGACAATAAAGTTTGAACACAATACTTAAGACTGATTTTGTGCTCCAAATATTGTGTAATTAAAAGCAGAAAAGATCCTCCTCATACCCGTTTTGAGCATTCGACAGGCAGTTCTTCACTGGCTCCATCACAGGAAATCTCCACCTGCAAAACACAAACCAGCAGTGAAACCCAAGCCTTCCCATTGGGTAATAACGTTAGTCATTAGGCCTGTCACAATTATCAATATATCGACTTATTGTACAATACATGGACACGACCTAGATCAGGGGTCACCAATCTCATTCCTGGAGGTCCGGTGCCCTGCAGGGTTTAGAGCCAACTAGCCTCAACACACTTGCCTGGGTGTTTCGAGTATACCTAGTAACACCTTGATTACATTGTTCAGGTGTGTTTGATTAAAGGATCACGAAACACCAGAACACATGTATTGAGCTGTTGACAGTCGTATATGTGTCCCACACTGCTGAAAACACTATTAGGACACCTATATTTCACTAAAAAGTGTAAATTGGTTGTTTTTGCGTTATTTCAAGCAAATTCGTACTTCCGGTTTGAAACGAATTTTTGAAGCTGCGTCACGGTCATGACATAATAGCGTGTATTCCAGCGTGCAGACTGGACGTCTGTGCCAGAGTGTGTCTTATTACGTCTTACAGTGTGCTGCATTAATGCATGAGTAAAGCTTGGTTCAAACCAATCAGCGCGCTCTATTGTGCAACTTCATTAATATTCATTACTGTCACAGTGTTTAGACGGCAGAGACGCCACGTTGTGTTGGCGAAACAAGCGTGAAGTGTTGCTTTTATAGTTTGCTGCAGTGAAGTTTTGTTTTCATTTTCTCTCTGTGAGAGCTCAGCTGGAGTCACGTGTGGATTAACAGTGTACGCGACGCTCGACAACAATAACTTACGTGTCTAAGGAGGATTATTGTTTACCTGAGAGCTGTTCTCATCTGCAAACGCTGAGATCCGGAGTCGCTTTAGTCTCCTCTTAATAAAGACGCGGCTCTAGTTGCTGGTGATTGTCCTGTCTCTACAGATTTGGTAAGTGTTGACCAGTGCTCTTTGTTTATTCAGTTTGTTCGTATCGAACTAAGTTAACTATTGCACCGAGTGTAAACATGTTAGCACCACAACCAAACTTTAACCTCGTGTAGGATTTTCACCGCATTTAGTGACCGGAATAATACACGCGGCTTTCTGACGCTGCCTGCCGAGTGCATCTAAGTTTCCGGGAAATGCTGAGTTTTTTTTCTCTCATTCGCCGTGCGGTATCAAACATTGCCGGAAAAATACACGCTTAGAGCAGCTCCTCGGATCAAATATCTCGTTTGTCGCGAGGGACATGACTGAATTCCCTGAATCAAAGAGCCAAACTGCAGTTAAAGTCCACCATTTAATAATTTGGCAAGTAATTTGACTACAGATGTCCATGTAGGTTAAACACCATCACTTTCTCCTGTGTGTGTATTTTGACTCTGAAACTCGCGCGTGCCCAAATAGACACTCCCACACCCTCCCACTTTAGTTCCTCCAACACTCCCCCCCTAAACAGAGCTGGACACGCCCACTTTTCTGACTTTTTCCAAAGTAGAGGTGTGAAAACACCCTGCTGAAACGAGGGGGTTTCATGGCCCTTTAAGGTTGGAGCTAAAATCTGCAGGACACCGGCCCTCCAGGAACAAGTTTGGTGACCCAAACATGAAAATAAACATCTCATCTCCACTAAAGGGGTCAGCAAGAAACTCTATTATAAACAATTCCTACTAACAGATTATCCTGATGGTTTAGAATCTGCCTATTCATATGCTGTTGTATAATCAGTTATTATATTAACAGGAATAAATTGGTCTAAAATAATATCACTTATCAAATTAATTTCAGATATATCACACAACAAAATGACTTATGACAGGCCTATCGGGGATAAAGCGGTGTTGTCTGACCTCTTCAGAAAGCAGCTCTTCAGTGTCCGTCTGCTGGAGCACGTGCAGTGTAGTGTCCACACCAGAGTAAAACCCCGTCTCTACTTTACGCTTGATGGTGGAGTTCCAGTGGTTTTTCACAGCATTGTCCGTTCTGCAGAAAACAGAAAAAACAACAACACACAATAATAAAAAAATACTTACTAGAGGTACAGATATCCATTTTCAGATTAGGGATGTACAATATTATGATTATATCAGGGTTCACACACATTTTTATTATCTTTACTTTTCTAGAACTCTGAAGTAAAATTTGCTGACCTATTATTTGATGTAATGTTTACGTATACGTGGTAAATAACAAAAACAAAAAAACAATGCATGTTCAAATTTATTACAGCATCACATAAAAAGCAACAATCTATTTAGTTTGAATGCATTTTTTATATCTGTGTAAAACTGATTTAGATAAACCTTACACAGCCCTAATAATGCAAGACCATGTGTTTGGCTAAGGACAGAAAAGAAGACAACTAACCCACATTCAACTATTCAGATAATTTGGCATTTGGCTGAAGTCTGCAGTGTGTTTCACCTTCCAGGCAGCAGTTTTGCGATCTCCGCCCAGCGGTTTCCCAGCACGCGGTGGGCCTTGTAGATGATCAGATCTTCATCCGGGGTCCAGGAAGACTTCTTGACGTCAGGATTGAGGTGGTTGTGCCAGCGTTCTCTGCACTGCTTCCCCAGACGCCCCTTCAGGTGTTTGGCCACCATCGCCCACTGCTTGTTGCCATACTTCTTCACCAGCTCGATCACCTGCACACACAAACAACATGTACACAGATACTCAGACGGTCGGGATCGCTGCTTATTGTATTACTGAGAGGATTTCTCATTTCAGGCTCAATTTTTTCTTTCCCCCAAAATTTTATATATATTTTCTATTACATTTTATGGCTGCACAATATATTGTTTCAGCATTGAGATGGCAATCTGTGCATTAACAATAGTCACATCTTGGTGTTGAGTTGATATTATAGTTGACCGGAAATCAAACCAAACACACGAGATGTGTGGAGGCTGCAGAACTGAAGCGTAACCGAGTGAAAGTTTATTATCTGTACGTGTTTTTAAGGCCTGCGACTACATGAGCATTTTAATAGTGCATAGTTTATTAATGATCAATTATGTTGGAATATTTCAATGACGCAATGTTATTTTACATTTGATTATTTAATTTCGGTACCCGAATACTGTCAGACTCCTCCTAGAAAACCATAAAGCAGTTTATTTCCCATTAATATTTGCTCCATTGTGTTTATTTATGACTGCAGTTTGTTTATTATATGTATATAATAAATTACATAAAAATACATTTCTATTTCACTCCCTCTTTTTTTGGAACCACTTGAGGGAGAGTAAATAAGGAGTAAATTTTCATTTTTGGGTGAACTGTCCTTAGTGGGGCGAAATTTGGGCAAAATGTTTTTGCCCAGAAATTTTAATAGTTAATACTCATTAAAAAAAAAAAACTAATTAAAAATTATTTAAACAGCAATTATATTGGGCTTTAATATTTACAAACCCTAGCACTTTGCCGATTATTATTATTATTATATTCTTATGCAGATTTTTATTACTTCAAGTTTAACCAATTTGTTCACTTTCAGGTCATACATATACTTTAAATATCTCTTTAAAAAAGTAAATATTATACTTTAAATATCTAAAGTATTAAAGTATTTAACCATTAAAATAAACGTGAAAAATAAATTGGTCAAACTTGAAAATAATAAAGTAGGACTGCAAAAAACTGGATAAGAATATATAATAATAATAATGATAAACTCATCTTTTTAAGACTGCATTTTTAAATTATTGATCACTTTAATATGTACAGTTGACGTCAGAATTATTAGCCCCCCCCTGAATTATTAGAACCCGTTTATTTTTCCCCCTATTTCTGTTCAACGGAGAGCAGATTTCTTCAACACATTTCTAAACATAATAGTTTTAATAACTCATCCCTAATAACTGATTTGTTTTATATTTGCCATGATGACAGTAAATAATATTAGACTAGATATTCTTCAAGACTCTTCTATACAGCTTAAAGTGACTTTTAAAGGCTTAACTGGGTTAGTTAGGTTAACTAGGCATGTTAGGGTTATTAGGCAAGTTATTGAATAACGATGGTTTGTTCTGTAGATTATAAAAAAAAAAGTTAGCTTAAAGGGGCTAATACTTTTGCCCTTAAAATGGTGTTTAAAAAAAATTAATAACTGCTTTAATTTTAGCCAAAATAAAACAAACAAGACTTTCTCCAGAAGAAAAAATATTATTAGACATACTGTGAAAATTTCCTTGCTCTTTTAAATATAATAAAAGAAATATTTAAAAAAGCAACAAAAATTCAAAGGGGGGCTAATAATTCTGACTTCAACTGTATATATATTGTATACTTTTTCTATGTTGAATCTTTGTAGTTCAATGCATGTTTGATTTCTCAGTTGTAGCGCTTTGGGTTTTTGAAAAGTGCATTATAAATAAAATGTATTACTATTATTATTATTACTATGATGATGATGAAGTGGGGGAGTCTGTAAAAATGTAAAATAATCAGAAAATAAATTAGTAATAATTTATTACTTAATTAGCAATAGGTAAACAATTGTTTATCTAAAACGTGTACATCATAAGTGTCCTATATTCATATATCAGGCCACAAACTTTAATTTATTTAATAGAACAGAATAAAATATATACTACAAAAATAATGACTTAACCTAGACTGTAGTGATATAATCCATTAACTCCACTGCAGTCTCTACATTTTACCTTCTCGTCCTCCTCCTTGGTCCAGGGTCCTTTGACAAGATCAGGATCTAAAACTTTGAACCAGCGATGCTGACACTGATGCTCCGATCGATTCTTCAACAACAAACACACTCTTACAGCATTTCAACTTTAATCAGACACTCAAATGTTCAATAGATCAAAGCATAAATAACATCTGATGTGCGTTTTCTGAATGCATGATAAACACACTTACAGGTAAAAATCCAGCGATGTATTTCCAGTCATTTGATCCAACATTCAGCACCAGTTTACGCAGCTTATCATCCTGGGATATGCCAATGAACATGAAATTAGAGATATGCAATATTTATTTATGTTTTAATGCCATATCAGCAGCATTCATGACAAAACCTAAACTAAAAATACAATATATAACAAGCAATCATATAAGTTTCTTAATAAACATTCATTGTACAAAAAACATCAACACTGAAAAGAGTCTCATACAATCATTTAGTCTAATTAATAAAAGTATGAGTCCCGGCTGGGTCAGTAGGCGTTTCTGTGTGGAGTTTGCATGTTCTCCCCATGTTAGTGTGGGTTTCCTCCAGGTGCTCCGGTTTCCCCTACAGTCCAAACACATGCGCTATAGAGGAATTGATGAACTACATTGGCCGAAGTGTACGAGTGTCTATCCAGACATGAACATGATGTGACATGATGTGTATACGCTGCGTAAAGGATTTTCTTTTCAATAACTGATATATTTTTTTGGGGGGATAGTTAGGGTAGAGGTTGGGCCAGTAGAAAGTATTGTTTTGTTTTATTTATTTCTACTGTTTGGACGCCACCCACGTCTCATCTCTCCAATTCTCTCATCTATCGGTTCAAACATTTGTTGACTGCAATTGTGAATATATTTTTGTAAATATTTATTATTGTTTCTATATCCATACTTTTGCATTTATTATTATCACTATATTTGTAAATGAACTCACTTTATTGCATTTAGTTAGTCTTGGCATTTTGTCCCTCACTTGTAAATATTGTGTGTTTGCTCATGTTTCACCCAAAATTAATGTTACTCTCCTTCCCCTTGACTGACCATCTTTAAGACTGTAACAATAAGTCACAATTTAAGAAAAAAACAACAACAAAAACACACTATTTATTGATGTGAAAAACATTAAAGATACTATTAAGTGACTGTTTTAAGTGAGGTAAAGTTGGCTTTATATATATAGTTGCTCATTTTTTCAGTGACAACTTATGACATGCTCCCTATGTGGTTTATCATTGTATTTGGATATTCGGTCTGAAAACAGACGTAAACATGACTTTAAAACAACATTAGCACTATTTATTTGACTGTAAACAATGTTGTACTTTGATAGTCATTTGCTGCTGAGGTAAAGTTGGCTTTATATTCACAAATTCTGACTTTCTCCTTATTAATATCATTTCAGAAAAGTGTTCTTTGCTAATTCTAAATGATACAAATCTTATAAGCAGCGAGTGACTATCAAAGTACAACATTATTAAAAGTCAAATAAATAGTGCTAATGTTATTTTGAAGTCACATTTACATCTAATTTCAGGCTGAATATTCAAAGTACCATGGGAACTTATAGGAAGCATGTCACAAGCTATCACTAAAGGAAAGTAATTGAGGTAAAGTTGGTTTTATAATCGCACATTCGTTAATTTAACTGTCTCTATATTGTTTACTACGCTTTTTTTTTAAATATTCTATCAGAATTAGCATGCAAGTATGAGTTCAAAACAACATTAGCACTATTTAACTGACTGTAAACTATGATAAGCATTGGCTGCTAATATGATTTTCCTATTTATAATTTGCAAAGAACACTTTTCTGAAATGATATTATTAAGGAGAACGTCAGAAAATCCGAATATTAAACCAACTTTACCTCTATACGAATGTGTGAATATAAAACCTCAAAAATAACTTCACCCCAATATTGTTTAGATTCTGCAATTAGAGAAATGTGTTTACCTCCTCTTGTGTCCACTTGACTTTCACCTTCCCACAATCTCTCTGGTCAGCTACATCAGAGTCTGTGTCCTGGCATAAGGCCTCCTCCTCATCCTCACTGTAACACACACACACACATACACGTTAAACAACACTGACCGCAGATCAGCAAACACTGTCTGACACCATTTATCAGGGCCTTGTGTTTGCTAAACAATGTCTATTAACACCAAAGGAAAAAAAAACACTTTTACTGCAAAAAAAAGTTCAGAAAATAATACTTTAACCCCCCTAAATGTGCTCAATAATTAAATTAAAATACAATACACATTCAGAGCTAATATCTCGAGCTATTAGCAGCTCAGCTAACATTAACAACGCTTGTCATCAAAGTATAAAGCACTTTTCTCGGTCTTAAAGCTAAATGTACAACTTATAACAGTGTGTGATGCTGACTAACATTGTAAATCTGACTTTGTGCAAATCTTTATTATGCTAATATTATAGTAGTTCCGCGTTTATCAGCTCTCTTTGTGCTATTAGGCGGGGTTCAATGGATCATTCACAAACTTATTGTCAACAATCACCACATGCACAGGCAGAATACATTTCTAAGTCTCATTTCTAGCCCTAAAGTGAATCTCCATTACAGATGAACAATAAACATGTACGAATAATAAACTTAGTGTACTTACCCGCGCGCCCACCAAGACATTTCCCTGATGTTTGATCAAAATACGCCAATAATACAGACCTTTATGAGGACACTCTGAGTCTAGAACACACGCATAAACTCATGTGTGATGCTAATTAGACAGTCGATCAAATTAACTAAAGAGTTTCATTGAAAAGCGCACAGGAGCTCGCAGCTAAACATCCACTGCTGCGCGCCCAAGTTTCTATCTCGCGCTTCTTTTTCTCGTCCATTCCCGCGAGTGACGTAAAGCCAACACAGGCTGAACGTCATGCGCAAATGCGTGCGTGCGCGCGCGAAACACACACGGACGCGCATTTGGTCAAAATATACCCAAGTAAATGTATTTTTATGTTTTATAGATTTATCCCTTTAATAGCCTACATCCTTAAGACTTACTTATATATTAGCCCCAAAGTTAACAATATAACGAGTATTGTGAGCCTTGAGGCTAATATAGAAGTTAGCCTTGAGGATGTAGGCTAGTTCACCCCAAAATGAAAATGTACTCAACCTCAGATGGTTTATAACCTTTTATGAGTTTTGTTGAACACAAAAGAAGATATTCTGACTTCCATATAGGATAAACAAATACTATATGAGTCACTTGTTACAGGTTTTCTGCGTTTGTGTTCGACAGAAGAAACTTGGATCCAGTTTAAGGGAGATAAACGATGATTTTGCGTGAACTGCCCATTCAGTAGTCCTTTACTCGTATTTCTGACATTCCGTTTAAAAAACTTAACAACTAAAAGTCGTAAAAACACGATTTGACATGTCATAATTAAACATTAAACGTTTAAAGTATGACATTAAAGTATAAAATGAGTGTTGGTAAAATTATGAATATGTACCGGAAGATTCATTCAGATAGCGATTTTTGTTTTACAAAATGGCGATAAAACTCATAGCTAGTCATTAATTACTAAACCCAAATCTTATTATTTGGTTCTTCATCTGCATTGAAATATAGATATGATCAAGCATTGTGATTATAGACGTGTTTAGAGTATTTATCCACTAAAAAGATCCCCTTTTCCCAAAAGCCTGAAGAGCTAATGAGCTAATCATGCTCAGCCATAAATACAAGCTGAGTCTAATTACCTCCACACTTTCCTAATGGACGCAGGACGGGACAGACCTGGTAAAACACACATTTATATGAATAATGTTGAAGTTTTAGTAATAATATTTGCTATAATAAGCTGCAAACACATTTAACAGAGCTCTTACTGGTGCAGGTGTTGCTTTAAAAATGCTTGAAAGGTTTGAATTGTGCTGAGATTTGGGATAAATCTGATAATCTGATTATTTGCTTGATAATCGTAAAATGTTACTAAATGGATAATTAAATATTTGTTCTTGCATAAAGTGGAAACTCTGGGGTCTGCGAATGCACTTATGATGTCCACTTTTTTTTTTCTTAACAATTTTATTTATCTTTTTATTTGCACTCTTTGCCTATACATTGGGAGAAGACCATGGGGGATTACTGCTTTGAGTGGGAAAAGTGCATGAAATTAAAATTAATTTTCATTTGAGATCCAAATAAATGATTTAATAGAGTACATTACAGCATGTTTTGGTTAGTCTAGGGCAAACATGCCATCAAAAAAACTGTCCTTAGCGAATACTATAGCATCTGATGTAAAGTGAAGTATGAATATGTAAGGAAATTGTGTAATGTACACTTGTGACTTCTCAAATTCACCATGAATGCACTTAAAAGAAATGGTTCACCCAAATATTCAACTTGTCTCATTTACTTTCCCTCAAGTGGTTACAAACTTTTGAGTTTCTTCTGTTGAACACAAAAGAAGATATTTTGAAGAATGTTGAAAACCGGTAACCATTGACTTCCATAGTAGGAAAGGCAAATACTATGGAAGTCAGTGGTTGCAGGTTTTCAGCATTCTTCAAAATGTCGTCTTTTGTGTTCAACAGAAGAAACTCAAAGATTTGAAACCGAGTAAATGACAATGTTCATATATATATATATATATATACATTATTTATTTTATTTTATTTTTTTTACCTACCCTTTTAAATGTGACATTGAAAGGGTAAAGTTTTGGGAAAATGTAGTATTTCTGAAACCGTTTTAAAACATTACTAAAAGTCAATTTAATTTGTTATAAAACATGATTTGATATGTCATAATTAAACTTGAAGGTTTAAAGTATGACATTAAAGTATAAAATGTCTTAAAGAGTTATGTTACAATTATGAACATGTACCGGAAGATTCGTTCAGATTGTGATTTGTTTTACAAAATGGTGAAAAATGCATGGAATTAAAATAAATATACATTTTAATATGCAAGTAAATGATTTAATGGAGTAGATGACGGCATGTTTTGGTTAGCTTTAGATCAAAACACATGCTGTATACTATAATACTAGAATACTATAGCATGAAGTATGAATATGCAGGTAAATAGTGTAATATTCACTTGTGTAGTTCTCAAATTCATCTTGAATGTGCTTGGAAAAAACATTTAAAGAAATAGTTCACCCAAAAAGTCAACTTGACTCATTTACTCTCCCTCAAGTGGTTCCAAACCTTCGAGTTTCATTTGAACACAAAATAAGATATTTTGAAGAATGCTGAAAACCGGTAACCATTGACTTTCATCAAAGGTTTAAAGTATGACATTAAGTAAAAAAATGTCTTAAATAACAAAGAGTGTTGTTAAAATTATGAATATGTACCGGAAGAAACTCAAAGGTTTTAAATTTAGAACGTGCAATTGGAAAGTGCTTAGTTCACCCCAAAATTACAAAATGTACTTCCTCAAGTGATTCCTTTACCTTAACACTAAACTTATTCTGAAGAAAGCTGGAAAGTCAATGTTTGCAGGTTTCCAACATTCTTCAAAATATCCTCTGTGTTAAACAGAAGACACAATGGTTTGACACCTATTAAAGGCAATATTACCTGGATGCAGCCTTTATGATGCAAGCTGAGACTGCATCTCTCAGTGATGCAACGTCAGACACAATACACTTAAGCTAGTGATGTCACTGTGAGGGGTGGGGTTAGGTGAGCACATTAAATAGCATTGGATGCAGCACAGATTGCACTGCACCAGGTCTGCTTTCTAGGTGAACTGTCCCTTTAAATTTGACTTTAAAATGTACAATTCTGGAAAATGTAAAGTGTAATTAAGAAAAATGCCTCATTTTGACTTAAAATATCATATAAAATGTCATAAAATATCATATAAAATGTCATAAAATGTATCAACCCTGTTGATTTCGACAGAGCTGGCCAGAAGCTATGAGGGCCCGTCGTGGTCTGACTTTGACCGAGGTTTTTGCACAGACCAGAGTCTCTCCATTTCCACAGCTTCCTCCGACGGGCTCCTGAAGCCAAACAAAGGCATCGTTCTGGAGTATTCCGAGCCCAATCCTGCAGTCCCTCCATCATTAAACTTCTCCACGGGTCTCCTATCTCCACTTGTGGCCCTCAGTAAAGCTCTTTCTCCAGGAAACGTGCTGAACGCTGCGCTGAAGAGCCCGGTGGAAGGTAAATCCTCCACGCCCTATGAGAGAATGCGCTTCCAGAAACCAGTCCTGGGGAACTCGCTGGACCTCTCCTGTGTGGATCTGACTGCCTCGCACCCTTGCTGGGAGGTGTCTCTGGTAAAGGCCATAGTGGAGAGCCCAAAGTCCTGTTTGGAGTCAACATGGAGCCCCATAAACCAGTCTGCGGCTCCTGAAGCCTCGAATGTGTGGTCGGGGGGAGTTTCAGAGGATCTGCAGAAGTCCTGGAGGGAGATGATCGGTCAGTCTGCAGTGATGCCGGAGCTCAGGGAGAAATGGAGTGAATCTGATCTGGCCATATGATGGATGTGCTGTTTTATGTGTGTGTTTAATGCAACACTTTCAGTGAAGAATTTATAATGTTCTTTTTAAAGGGATAGTTCACCCAAAAATGAACATTTCTCAGCATTTACTCCCTCAAGCGCCTTCTGTCGAACACAAAACAAGATGTTCTGAAAAATATTGGCAAACACATTAGGAAACACAACAAATACACTATGGAGATCAATTGCTGTTTTCCAGTATATCCTTCTATGGCAGGGGTGTCAAACTCAATTCCTGGAGGGCTGCGGCCCTGCACAGTTTAATTCCAACCCTGCTTCAACACACTTACCTGTAGGTTTCAAACAAGCCTGAAGGACTCAATTAGTTTGATCATCTGTGTTTTAATTAGGGTTGGAACTAAACTGTGCAGAGCTGCGGCCCTCCAGGAATTGAGTTTGACATCCCTGTTCTATGGTATTAAATAGAAAACAAGATATTTTGAAGAATGTAGATTAAAACCGTCTTTGACATCCATAATAGGAACAAAATCACTATGGAGATCAATGGCTTTCCCCCCAGTATGTCATGGTTTTTTGAGCTTAATAGAAGAAACCTTAACCGGTTTTGAAGTGCAGGAGTAAAAATTGAGGATTTGTATTTTTGGGTGAACTGTCTCTTTTAATATGCTAATTAATTGCACTCATGAATTTGTAAGTGTATGTTTATTACAAGTGTATTTACATGCAAATGTTTTCCATTAAAGAAAATAAATATTTTTAAGTTGCATTAATGCTTCTTCAGTGTGCAAGGAGATCCAACGGGACATGCACTGAGGGAGAGTGTGCATTAAAACATAGATGATGCATCTTACAAAGCATTTTCTCCAAATTGGTGATAAATGTGATCTTCATTAACAGGAAAAAAATAAATAAAAGCAGCCATTGATGCCTAACACTAATGCACTCACAAATTTGTAAATGTATGTTTATTACATGTGCATTTATTTGCAAAGGTTTTCATGAATTAAAGTAGATTTTGTTTTCGAAGTTGCTCTAATGCTGCTTTGGTTTGAAAGGAGATACTATGAAACATGCGCAATGGGGAAAAGTGTGCACTAAAACTTAGATGATGCATGCTACAAAGCATTTACTGCCACAGTGTAATGAACCACCAACTAATCCGGCACGTATTGTGCAGTGGATTCCCTTCCAGCTGCAACCCAGTACTGGGAAACTCCCATACACTCTCACATTCACACACACAAACACACTGCGGCCAATTTAGTTAATGAATTCCCCTATAGTGCATGTGTTCGGACTGTGGAGGAAACCACGCCAACACGGGAGAACATGCAAACTCCACATAGAAATGCTAACTGGCTCGGCCAGGACTCGCACCAGCGACCTTCTTGCTGTGAGGTGACAGTGCTAACAACTGAGCCACCATGTATTGAGTTATTTACTAATTTACCACTGACACCACATCGTATTATAGTATTCAGTTTGACGTAAATGTAGTTATTTAAAATAATAATAATAATTCCTTACATTTATACAGCGCTTCTCTGGACACCCAAAGTGCTTTACACATTGGGGTGAATCTTATCATTAACTACCAGTGTGCAGCATCCACATGTATAACACGACATGATAATTGCGCCAGACCACACACCAGCTGATTGGTGGAGAGGAGACAGTCCCCTTCACTATACTGGGGTGTTAGGATCCACACAGAACACAGGTTGAGCACCCCCTGCTGGTCAAACTAACACGACTTCCGGCAGCAACCTAGCTTCCCCATGTGGTCTCCCATCCAGGTACTGATCAGGCGCAGCCCGGCTTAGCTTCAGCAGGCAACCATGTGAGAGTTGCAGAGAGCGAGCTTCCGGCTAGCTCTCAGCAATATGAAATCATCCCAGATAAACTTAAGTTAAATATACATAAAATGCATTTGTAGAGCAGAATCCCAAATAGCAATTTGGACAGCAGTGTGTGGATATACAAAAGCTCATATTTATTGACAAAACTCTTACAAGAAAGGTTCATTCCTTAAAGCATAGGCTTGAAAAGTTCATAATTATAGATCTGATAAACCACACCTGATCATTATCTTGCACCGGTAGTGATGTGTTCACAGCTCCACTGCAGATTGAGTCTCTATAATGTACACACAAATCTCCTAAATAAACCCTCCTGAGCTCCTGCTTCAGTACATGCTGAACCTCGCTTCTGCTGTGTCCACATCGTGCTCCTTGAGGAAAGAGAAGAACAGCAGCGTTACAGGAATAAAACCACACAAACATGTTAACATTATTTATTACATGCCTCTGTGGAACACTCGATTCTGATTGGTCAATTATCACATTAAAAGGTACCGCTGAAGTCAGAATTATTCACCCCCCTGTATATTTTCCCCCCAATTTCTGTTTAAAGGAAAGGAGATTTTGTTCAACACATTTCTAATCATAACGGTTTTAATAACTTGTTTCTAATAACTGGTTTCTTTTCTTTGTCATGATGACAGCACATAATATTGGACTAGATGTTTACTAGTATTCAGCTTAAAGTGACATTAAAAGGCTTAACTAGGGTAAAGTTAGGGTAATTAGGCAAGTCATTGTATAACAGTGATTTGTTCTGGAAACAATCCAAAACTAATATTGCTTAAGGCGGCTAATAATATTGACCTTAAAATGACTTTAAAATAATTAAGAACTGCTTTTATTCAAGCCGAAATAAAACAAATAAGACTTTCTCTAGAAGAACAAATATTATAGGAAATACTGTGAAAAATTCATGAATCTGTTCAACATCCTTTAGGAAATATTTGAAAATGAAAAAAAATTCACAGGAGGGCAAATAATTATGAGTGTTTGGCGGCATCTAGTGTCTGAATAATGCACAGGTTAGTGTATAATCCATCAGCTGTTTTGTTTCTGTCAGCTTTGCATTTCATTAAAGAATAAACGATTACGGGCTGAGAATAATGTTTTGTGTCTGATTTTAATATTTTGTAGCAAATAGTCGTGTAATAAGCATGATAAAGTACATCCGCGATGGTTGTTTTGGCAGAATAGACTGTAATGTACATTATATATTCATTCTAGTGTTGTTTGCTCTCATATATAATTTTTGTCTTGGACCACAAACACAACATCTACTTTAAACAGAATGTTTAAGCTACTTTTTCTTTCTTTTACAAATAAATAATGTAAAACTAGTCACTAAAGCTTGTATGTTACACTCTTAATTTATTGTTGACATTTTGTTTCTTTCCACAAGTCTTTTAATGGTCTGTGAGTCTAAAATTAAAACCGTTTATTGGTTATGTCTGAGCTTGGTGTCCATTTTCATTGACTTTGTGAAGTTTGTTTAGGATCTCTATAAAATAAAATATAAATGTGTTCAACACACGTTCAACTTACTTCATTGAGTTTCTTGAACTCCACCACTTGGAAGAAGACGTGCTCCAGTATGTGCTTGGCATCTCGTTTGTCTTTGTCCAAATTCCCCGTCACTCCTAAGATGTCTCCACATTTACGAACGTAAAACTCAAGATCATCATCGGTACCTTGAGGAAGAAAACAGATCGATGACTGAAGACCACAAACAATAAGTACATGGACACAGACTACAACATCATTCTGGGCATTCAAGGGCATCCGCTGCATAAAACATATGCTGGAATAGTTGGCGGTTCATGCCACTGTGGAGATCCCTGATTAATAAAGGGACTAAGCCGAAAAGAAGAATGAATGAATGGCATTGGCTGTAGTGTATGAGTGTGCGTGTGAATGTGTATGGGTGTTTCCCAGTACTGGGTTGTGGCTGGAAGGACATCTACTACGTAATACATATGTTGGCGGTTCATTCAACTGTGGTGACCCCTGATGAATAAAGGGACTAAGATGAAAAGAAAATGAATGAATGAATGAATGATGGTAATGACAGTGTTAAAGGCTCACATTTATTGGAGAGCTGAGCAAGTCGGACTTTCTCAGAGGAGAAGGTCTCGTCCAGGTCAAACAGGTCTAGCATTGGTGGAGGAAGGTCTCTAAAGGCCGGCTGAAAAACCTGAACACAAGACAAACACCCACAAACACACAATCATCTGGGTGTGCATTACAGAAAGAGCCTAGTTTTAGGGGTGCGTTCACAGCGGTAGAGCGTTCCCTTTGGTCTGGATCGAGGTTAAAGATCTTGTGAAAGTAAATTAAAGTTTTTTAGATGTTAGTATCAGTCTGTTAGTTTGACAGATATGTTTATACAGATTTATGCATACAAGATTTCTTTAACATACAGTATACACTCACTGGCCACTTTATTAGGTACACCTGTCCAACTGCTGGTAAATTCAAATTTCTAATTACTTTGAACGTGGTTGTTGGTGCCAGATGGGCTGATCTGAGTATTTCAGAAACTGCTGATCTACTGGGATTTTCATGCACAACCATCTCTAGGGTTTACAGAGGATGGTCCGTCAAAGAGGAAATATCCAGTGAGCGGCAGTTCTGTGGGCGCAAATGCCTTGTTGATGCCAGAGGTCAGAGGAGAATGGCCAGACTGGTTCCAGCTGATAGAAAGGCAACAGTAACTCAAATAAGCACTCGTTACAACCGAGCTCTGCAGAAGAGCATCTCTGAACACACAACACGTCCAACCTTGAGGCAGATGGGCTACAGCAGCAGAAGAGCACACCGGGTGCCGCTCCTGTCAGCTAAGAACGGGAAACTGAGGCTACAATTCACACAGACTCACCAAAACTGGACAATAGAAGATTGGAGAAACGTTGCTGCTCTGATGAGTCTCCATTTCTGCTCACACATTCTGATGCTCGGGTCAGAATTTAGCAACAACAGCATGAAAACATGGATCCATCCTGCCTTGTATCAGCGGTTCAGGCTGGTGGTGGTGGTGTAATGGTGTGGGGGAGATTTTCTTTGGGTCCATTAGTAGCAATTGAGCATCAACGCCACAGCCTACCTGAGTATTGCTGCTGACCATGTCCATCCCTTTATGAGCACAGCGTCTCCATCTTCTGATGGCTACTTCCAGCAGGATAACGCACCATGTCATAAAGCTCAGTCATCTCAGACTGGTTTCTTAAACATGACAATGAGTTCACTGTACTCAAATGGCCTCCACAGTCCCCAGATCTCAATCCAATAGAGCAGCTTTGGGAAGTGGTGGAAGGGGAGATTCACATCATGGATGTGCATTAAGGCAGTTCTGAAGGCAAAAGTGAGTCCAACTCGGTACTAGTAAGGTATACCTAATAAAGTGGCCGATAAGTGTACTTTAACAGTGTGGAGATGCATTTCTTGCATATGGTTAATGCATTTGGTTGCACTTTTTGTAGACTCACGGCAGGCTGCAGAGGAGGCAGAGGGGTTTCAAACTGTGGTGTGATCAGCTGGAGAGCCTCATGTTTAACATTCAGCTGCTTGTAAGCACTGAAACAAAGACGCGACATTAGAGATGAATTATTTTCATGCTAGTCTTATTAGCCAAGCACACAAACCTTGCATTTATTCCCATTTCAAAGACAAAACTTAAAGGGATAATTCACCTAACAATGAACATTCTGTCATCATTTACTCAACCTTTACTGGTTTCAAACCTTTAAGACTTTCTTTTTCCTGTATTAAGATGGAAACCTTCACAGTATTTGATTTTTCTACCATGGAAGTAAATGGCTACGTGCTGTCAGCATTCTTCAAAATATCTGCTTTTGTGTTCATCTGAAGAAAGAAACTCATGAATGTTTGCAGCTACTTGAGTGTGAGTAAATCTAAATATTTTTATGAACCTTTAAGACTAAACTGCATGTTTGAGGTGTCTTGACTTGTAATAACTAGCAGTGAGATGTCTTACAATACAGTGTCACTGTCTTAAGATGCTTTTTAATTCATTTTTTTATTAAAGCAGTTTAAACACACTAATATAAAGTGTTAGTTCACCCAAAACATTACATTTCTGTTGTTGACATGTGCAATATAATGACACTGAGGTAGAAAAAAGTCTTTATTTTTGATTTATTTGTGCACAAAATTATTCATGTAGCTTAAAAATATGCCTGAAAGCCTATGGTCTGTTTCGAGGATGTTTTAGAGATTTTTCTGGAAGCTTAAAGCTTGCTGTTTATGAAGGATGAGAGAGCTCCCAGATCTCATCTAAATTATCTTAATTTGTGTTACAAGGACAAACTAAGGTCTCAAATGACATGAGGGTGAATAATTAATAACAGAATTAAATTTTTTGGGTGAACTAACCCTTAAATAGGGCCTAGTCCAAGCTTAAGCTAAGCTCAGATTGTGAAACCGGGCCTTTGTTTACAAACTCAAGTTTAAAGTAGCGCTGGGAAAAGATGAATTGCAGCCAAAATAAAGGTTTTTGACATAAGATGTGTGTTTATTAGATATATTTATTAAGTATATGTAATGCATGTGTGTACTTATACAGTGCTCAGCATAAATGAAAACACCCCGTCTTGTAAATAAACATTTTTATCAATTTCTATTCATTTTATTTTGGTGCAATTGAACAAAACAGATTTATTAAACATATATTATATTTATTAAAATATATTTTTAGTCACATCTTTAGTAATAAAAAACATATTACATTTAAATTCATGCAAAATAATGCAAATAATTAAAAATTTATCTTGATTTTTCCAATTTTTTCATTTTTATTTAATATTTTTCTCTAACATATACATCTGGACTACACATTTTTTAACTTATCATAAGTTATTTTGTTAGATAAGCTCCAGATTTGGCTTCAGTACTGACTAATCGGATGTTTATACACAATATAATATTGTACAGCTTCCTATAGAAAATATTAATTAGAAAATATTAATTAATTAGAAATCTGTGAGATATATGCACTCAAAATAAATATGCATACACGCACATATATTACGCCAAAACTATTTTTTATTTTGAATGCGATTCATTTTTGGCCAGCACTAGTTTAAAGCTGAAAGTTTGACTGTTCACGCTGAATGCATGTCTGTGTGTGCTACATGTGAGAACAGCAGAAAGACGCCTCCTTCAGAAATGTTAATGTAAAGTGCAGTTCTCACTCCAGGACAGAAGGAAGAGTGTTTGTGTGCAGCTTTAGCAAGGACATGTCGAAGAGAGATGTGAAATCTCGCGGGTTCTCGTCTCCCTCCTGCAGACACACTCTCAGGCGTTCAGACAGACTCCCGGTGTCCGGCAGCATCATGTAGTCAGTGATCTGGAGACATGAGGAGCAGGTAAACACTGAGAAACAATGACACTTCACTGCTCTGCAGACAGTTGTTATAAAAAAAAATCTAAGGATGAATTTCATATAATGTATTATTTGTCCATGTGTTTAACTGTTCACATCATCATCAATCATCAACATATTAGATTGATTTCTGAAGGATCGCGTGACACTGAAAATGCTTCCAGTCGAATTGCATTTTACCACACATTCATAAAGAAGTCAGTCAATTTAAATTGTACTAATATTTGATATTAATATAGTTTAACTGCATTTCTGTTGAACAAAAGAAACTCCTGACCCCAATTTCTTACTTTATTTAGAATACAACACTAATATGAAGGCGGATGTGGGTGTATGTGCTCACCTCTGGGTCCTCTGCATCGATCTGGTTCAGATGAATGCTATCGGTTGTAAGCCACTGGAAAACAACATCCTGAAACATACGCATCGTATTTTTTTTTTTTAATAAAATATTTTGCATGATACTAGTGTTACTCGGCTATCTAGGTTAATTAGGCAAGTCTAGACAACAGGGGTTTGTCTCTATAGCAAATCTTAAATAAAAAAAAAAACATCTTAAGGGGGGCTTTTAATATTGACCAGTTTTTAAATGTGTTTAATTTATTCCAGCCAAACTGATCTATGATCTATTCTGACCAGAAGCAGGAAATCAGAGCACATCACACCTGTCCTCAGGTCTCTACACTGGCTCCCAGTTACATTCAGAATAGAGTTTAAAGTATTATTACTGGTCTATAAATCACTAAATGGCCTAGGAGCTCAATACATTACAGATATGCTCACTGAATACAAACCTAACAGATCACTCAGATCTTTAGGATCATATAAACTAGAAATTCCAAGAGTTCAGTCAGAGCAGGGTGAATCTGCCTTCAGCCACTACGCCCCCTGCTGCTGGAATCAGCTTCCAGAAATGATCAGATGTGCTCCAACATTTGGCATGTTCAAATCAAGACTGAACACACATCTGTTCAGCTGTGCCTTTACTGAATGAGCACTGTGCTGCGTCCGACAGATCGCACTATTATGTTTTTCGTTCTCTTTTTAATTCTTTTATAACCTGTTTTAACACATTTTAATTTGTTTTTATCTGTTTTTAATCATGTTTATTGTCTGCATTTTATGTCCTAAACTTGTCTTTTTTATTCCTGTTTATGTAAAGCACTTTGAATTGCCACTGTGTATGAAATGTGCTATATAAATAAACTTGCCTTGCCTTACATTTTTGATCTAGAACAAAAATATAACATGAAATTTGAATTTGAATACAACCTTTCAATCCAATCAAACTGCCTTCACTTTACTCTATACAAATGTGTAGCCTATTCCAACCTGCAATGACATTTGGTTCATAACACAATCAGTCTGGGTGTTAGCAGAAGAGCAAACTAGGTTACAGTTTTGTGCACTTAAAAAGGTGAAGTTTTTTATATATACAGGGTTCTTACACCTTTTCCAGCTTCAAATTCCAGCTATTTTAAGCACTTTCATGGTGCAATTTTATGCTTTTCTGTCACCTAAAAACCAGGGTAAATTACATTTATATGAGCTGGATGTACTCTTTTAAATCCATTGTGCTATTTTAAGAAAACACATCATGACATTTCAACTTAAATAGTTGAATACTTTGGAGCATATGTTTATTGGGATATTCACCCAAAAATAATAATAAGAGTTCAGTTGTTGGATGAAGTGTCTTTTTAAGTTTGGTCTCTTTCTACCTAAAGTTGACGTCTCAAAACATTGAGCTTACAGTCAGATTGTGCTTGGGTGTAGTACCAAACTTTCATTAGCAGCCGTTGATGATATTTCATGTGCATTGCTATTCAGAATTCATGTAAGAAATGAAATCCTTAGGGGTCTGAGAATTATCTTGCTGCAAAATAATGAACTCTTCCTATGTTAACTGTTTTGAAAATCAGTCACCAAATATGCAAACCCTAGATTGTAAGCTTTCATCAAAATGACTTGTTAATACTGTCAATATTACTTTAGTAATATTGCAACTGTATGCAAATGTCCCACCAGTCACATGGTGACAGTTTAAGGGTTAAACTATTCCTGAGCACTGCGTTTGGTGTTTATTAAGTGCAAATATGCATTCTGCGTAAACTTCTCCTAAAAACTGGTCTCACAGCAACAATTTTATGCACTCACACAAATTTCCCCAAATATATTTTAAGCTTGCATAGATCAAACTTCAGCCGCAAAACCAAAACGGTCGCAACTTCGAGCCCTGCAGTTACAAATTCAAGCAGGTTCAAGCACTTTGTCTAAAATCCAAGCACTTTTCTAACCTTGAAAACACTATATTTAAAATCAAGCATCATTCATTCATTTCATTTTCTTGTCGGCTTAGTCCCTTTATTAATCCAGGGTCGCCACAGCGGAATGAACCGCCAACTTATCCAGCACGTTTTTACGCAGCGGATGCCTTTCCAGCCGCAACCCATCTCTGGGAAACATCCACACAAACATTCACACACTACAGACAATTTAGCCTACCCAATTAATTAAACTTACTCGATTGTTTAATGTTCGTTCATAAGTAAACTTAATTCCTTCATGTTACCCGAACACAAGTGTTTTACAGTGTGGTATTTATATAGTTTGTTATATATTCACAGTAGTAAACTCTCTAAGTGTCTTTATGGAACATGATCTTCACTTAATAAGATGATTTTTCCCATAAAGCAAAAATTAATGGCTTTGATAAAAATTAATGACCCATTTAAAGTATTTTTTGTACAACCAAAAATAAACCCACACAACTTAAATCTGGTTCAGTGGTTTGTTTAGTGCATGTTTGGAAATAACTGTAATAACTCATCATTATCTCACCATTATCCTGCTGTTCTCCTCCTTGTCCAGGTACTGGTCACTGAACATGTGGCAGGAGCCCAGGACTGCCAGTTTGCCAGCGTTCTGGATGCAAACAGAGAAAAGAAAAGCAGAGGATGAAGTTTTTCACAGGTCAGACTGAACAACAGCTGAACATCAGCGACTGCACACACACCTTTGAGTGGTGGAAGGCCAGAACAGGCCTGTTGAGTGGAAAACACACAGATCCAGTGGAGAGAATGGCCACTGCAGGCTTCATCACATTTAGCGTGGCCCCATAGGGGTAGACGAACGTAAGTGCCCTGTTTGGTTCAATTAAAGCACATTAGACATCTGAAAATATTCAATAATTCTGTATATCGTGATATTGTGGACACTTCAATATACAGTGAATACTTATTTATTCTTTGACGAATATTCAGAGTATTGTGTTTGCAGTGGTGTTTATCACAGCATTAAATACTTGAAGATTTAATAGTCTATTTATTGTCAAACATGGACATTTTAACATGTTTATCTGGTCTACAACATTGAAAATGCTTCATTTAACTAAACTCATTGTAATGATAAACACAAAAGCATTTGTTAAACGTTGGTGATAGGCAAAGATAAATCCCGATTGATAATCAAATTCAAAATAAAAGTTTGTTTTAGTGTTTTATATTCTATATACAGATGCACGCATATATTAGAATTTAATTTTATTTATATTTAAAACATACAGTCAGAATTATTCACCCCCGTTGAATTTTTATTTCTTATTTAAATATTTCCCAAGTTATGTTGAACAGAGCAAGGAAATGTTCACAGTATGTCTGATAATATTTTTTTCTTCTTGATAAAGTCTTCTTTGTTTTATTTCAGCTAGAATAAAAGTAGTTATTCATTTTTTAAAACCATTTTAAGGTCAATATTATTAGCCCCTTTAAACTATTTTTCTTCCGATAATCTACAAAACAAGCCATCGTAATACTTGCCTAATTACCCTAACCTGCCTAGCTAACCTAATTAACCCAGTTAAGATTTTAAATGCCACTTTAAGCTGTATAGAAGTGTCTTGAAGAATATCTAGTCTAATATTATTCACTGTCATCATGACAGAGAAAATAAATCAGTTATTAGAGATGAGTTATTAACACTTTTCTGATTAGAAATGTGCTGAAAAAAATCTGGGGGGAAAAACAAACAGGGGGGCGAATAATGGGGCTAATAACTATGCCTTCATTTGTATATGAAAATCATGCATGTATATTAAAATTGATACATAATTTGTAAAAAAAAAAGGCCCCACTTTACTTGGTATACTTTTGTTATTATGCATGTGTGTGTATCATATATATACAATAAATAACACACACACACACACATATCCATATAATATATATATATATATATATATATATATATATAAAATCAAAACAATATTTTATTTTGGATGCCAATCTACGTCCAATACTACTAATAACACATTAAAATCAAAAGCTGTATTAATTTTATTAAATGTTAATAATAAGTTAATAATGAGTTAATAACTAATAAAATTCTGTTGTATTTTTTTAATTAACTTTAACATTTAACTATAATATGGCTATTTCTCACTGTTGATTTTAATGCATTAACTTACATTTACTACTGAGATTTTATTAAGTGTTACCTATTGTACTTCGTCATCCAATTTAATTTGTTACAAATATTGTTTTAGTCTGAACATGTATATACAATAAAGCAATACACTTAGCATATTATAGTTATTATACCTGTTAAACTCTTTTTTTTTTTTGCAGCTTAGTTTAATATCGTGATAAAAGCTTCAGCAATTACTTGCAACAAAACAATATCCCAGCCGAAGCATAAAGCTCATGCTTAATGTGGATTTTCAACTGTTAACCCATGCATCTGGATATGGTCACAGCTTAAGCATTGCATTTACAGTTATTACCAGAGATTATCTGTGGATGTTCATGACGACTTACTGTGAATTATTGCCTGTGTTTTCTTCATCAATCACTCCTGTGACCACTTTACCAGCAGCACGGCTGATCTCCCTGAAAAACAACATTTAGAAAATCCTGACTGTTTCAGCATAACCTCCACAGGGAAACACAACTGAACACACAAACCTGTTGAGAACACCGTTGGACACAAGCGCTTCTTTAGGATGGAAATATTTGTAATAGACATTCCGTATCACTGCATCTGGAAAGACAATATTCATTTCAGAAACACCTTCAATATAACTTTTCAGATTTTGTGTGTTTTCTTTATTTTTGTGAGACATCCGTTCGTTCATTTTCCTTCTGCTTTGTTTATTTATCAGGGGTCGCCACAATGGAATGAACCGCCAGCTATTCCGGCATATGATTTACACAGCGGACGCCCTTCCAAATATAAACTCACCATTGTTAACCATAATACCAAATTCTTCCAGGAGGAAGTTGATGTTAGTGTCATATTTCAGTTCTCCTCCTTCTCCGAGCATCACCAGAAGAGCTCCACCACTGTCCAGATACTGCTTAAGAACCTCCAACTGCAGCACACAACAATACAAAAACACATCACTTCATCTGAGGATCTAAAAGGGGCAGTTCACGCAAATATGACACCATTTACCCGCCCCTTTACCTGTCACAAACCTGCTTGAGTTTCTTTCTTCTGTTACATACAGAAGGTGGCATTTTGATGAAAGCTGGAAACCTGTAACCATTGACTTCCATAGTATTAGTTTTCTCTACTATGGCTGTCAGGTTTTCAGCATTCTTCAAAATATCTTCTTTTGTGTTCAACAGAGTTAAAGGCTTTTGGAAATACTTTAGGGAGAGTACATAGTGGGTAAATGGTTAATTTTTTGTAAACTATCTATGAACTAGCTTCACCTCAGCAGCAGTGAACTTCTCTCGAGGACCTGCGGTGATCCACAACTTCACTCCCTGGAGCTTCTCCAACGTCAGCTCCTCTTTAATGCTGAGGGACACAAACAAACAGTTCATCGTACTCATTTAGTGATATATTCAGATCATTCATATTTAATGTCTGCTTTTATAAAAGGGTGTCTGCGAATCAAACAAAACAAACTGTCCATGAATGTAAATGTTTTCTGATATAATTGTACTACAAAAACAAAAATCTTTTTTACTGAGTTTCTGTCTTGTTTCTAGCCCAAATATCTGACAATTCTTAAATCAAGAAGCATCTTCTAGAAAAGCAAAAAGAGCTTGTCTTGTTTTCAGAAATAATACCTCACAATTAAGTGAGTTTTTCCTTAAACAAGTTAAATTATCAAGAAAATGCGTCTTAATTTAAGAATTTTTTAGATATTTCGACTAAAAACAAGACACAAATATAAGCATTTCTTGCAGTGCAGTAGTCGTCAACATTTGAAGTTGTAATAAAACTATTGAAAAACTCTTATTTTTATACTTTCATTTAAATCTTTTTGATTAAAACCACTTTCAATGTTGCCTGCTGTTGTATTCTGACCCATCTTGGGTGTCATTTGTCAGAATTGCTGACTTGTTATCAATTAGAAATGATCAGACCGGAGGTTTTGAATATCAGAATATAGACTTTATTCTCCATAATAAAGCCGAGAAAGAGCAGAGCAGACCCCAGAGCATTCTGACGTCTCTCAATTCCTTTCCTTTCTTTCTCTCCTCTTTCTCTGCTTCTCCTCTCTCTAAAGTCTCTGTGTTTTCCACAATCTTTATACAGGTGATTTGACACACCCCTAGGTGTCTCATTTAAACTTTTGACCATTTCGGGATAGGTTTTTACTTTAGGTGGCCCTGTTATTCTTGGCTCTCTGCCAGCTTGCTATGGTCAGCAGAGATGTCACAGTCATGTCAGCAACTCTCTTTGAAACCAAAGTTCTCTCTTCAATTACGCAAAAGGACTAAGTGTTTACATACATTGTCATGATAGGATAATTACTTGATAATATGTTACCTGACACGCTTCTGACACATATAGCTTCATATAAGTACTTAACATGCATAATCAGTGCTCTACATATTCAGTTATTCCACACAATCAGTCATTCTTCAGCTAAACTTCTAGTGTTGCTTCTCTGCAGGCTTCTCATTTTACACGGACATATCACTGTATTTTTAACAAAGGCTGGCAATTGTTTGCTGCAAACACTTCATACTTTTTGAGAAGAGAAAATTAACTGCTTTACACTTAGAAAATACTTTACACTGAGAGAATAAAATCTGTATGTCTACATGATTTTTACCTTTGAATCTTCCACTGAGCTCGGAGTTTCTTCTGTAAGGACTTGTATCCTGAGCTGCTGGTGAAAAGCTCTCTCTTGGATGCGTTGAAAACAACGATATTTCTTTGCTCTTTGTCCATGCTGCTGTATAATCAGGATCAATTACAGATCCAAACCCTGAAGACGGAGGAGCTGCTGTTTACCTTCGCTAATGTTAATATAACGTTACACTCTTCTGTTTTCTTGCGCATCACAGACAATATATAGTGACAGATCTGTACATTATCCAGTTAAGACAACTCTAGCGTTAAATTAAAGCAGAAGCAACATCTTTAAAACATGTATAAACTATAAATATTGTGGTGCAGCACGTCACCGTTATGCGCGGCTATAAGCTAGCAGGCTAACGCTAATCTCTGCCGGTCGAATCCGTTAGAGCAGAGGCTTTAAATGTGCTGTGGGGAGTTATAATGCGAACTTACATCCTGTTAAATAATAGATGTGACTAAAAACAAACAAATTAATAAAAGTTTCCGCAGAATTATACATGCTGTAGCGGCCGCGAGCGATGCATTGTGGGTATTTGAGGACAACACAAGCGTATCCAGGGGCGCTTCCTCCATAGCAACTGCATGCGTGTAAACATAAAAGCTTAAATAGGATAAAAGCGTATTAATTAAATTTAAGGGATAGTTCGTTGAAAAAATATAAACTCTTATGCTCCACAAACAAATATCATGCTATATTAAAAGAACATAATGTAAACGATGGCGTTGTTTTGTTTACTTTTTCATATTAGACGCAAGAAAATAAAATAACGAAGTAAAATAAGTTACAATATGTAAATAACAAATTACAAATAATAATAAATAATCCTACATACTTTTAATTCTTAAAAATACAGTAATCAATTTTGTTTATGACCATGTTAATGTCTTATCTTATTAAGGGTGCTTTAATATTACAACATATTTATGCACACACTCACCGCTAACTTTATTAGGTACACCTGACTAGTACCGGGTTGGACCCCTTTTGCCTTAATCCTTCATGGCATAGATTCAACAAGCTACTGGAAATATTCCTCAGAGATTTTGCTCCATATTGACATGATAGCATCACGCAGTTGCTGCAGATTTGTCGGCTGCACATCCGTGATGCCAATCTCCCGTTCCACCACATCCCAAAGCTGCTCTATTGGATTGAGCTCTGGTGACTGTGGAGGCCATTTGAGTACAGTGAACTCATTTCCATGTTCAAGAAACCAGTCTGAGATGATTTGCACCTTTCTACCTTATGATCCTGCTGGAAGTAGCCATCAGAAGATGGAGACACTGTGGTCATAAAGGGATGGACATGGTCAGCAACAATAATCAGGTAGGCTGTTGTGTGTTACACAACTGGTTTTTCAACTGGTAATGGGCCCAAAGTGTGCCAAGAAAATCTCCCCCACATCATTACACCACCACCAGCAGCCTGAACCGCTGATACAAGGCAGGATGATCCATGCTTTCATGTTGTTGAGGCCAAATTCTGACCCGAGCATCTGAATGTGTCAGCAGAAATGGAGACTCATCAGAGCAGCAACGTTTCTCCAATCTTCTATTGTCCAGTTTTGGTGCGTCTGTGTGAATTGTAGCCTGAGTTTCCTGTTCTTAGCTGACAGGAGCGGCACCCAGTGTGGTCTTCTGCTGCTGTAGCCCATCCGCCTCAAGGTTGGACGTGTTGTGTGTTCAGAGATGCTCTTCTGCAGAGCTCGGTTGTAGCGAGTGCTTATTTGAGTTACTGTTGCCTTTCTATCAACTGGAACCAGTCTGGCCATTCTCCTCTGACATCAATAAGGCCTTTACGCCCACAGATCTGGCGCTCACTGGATATTTCCTCAGACCACTTGTCTGCTTTCTTGTCATTTAAGTGAAAATGATATATAAAACTCTCTGTCAGTGAAAACCAATGGACTGATTCTAGCATGATTAGTAAAGTGGACCTATTATACCCCTTTATACAAGATGTAAAATGCATTTCTGATGTCCTTAGTATGTGTGTGAGAACTTTCAGTTCAAAATACCACACAAATAATGTTCTCTACCTCTCTGAAACTGACCCTTTCAGGCTTTAATCCTAATTGAGGTGTTTTGGTGACTGTCGCTTTAAATTCAAATGAGATTGTGCTTTTTTTCTGAAGAGGGCGGAGCTACAGATGCCTGTGTGTCAGCATAGTGGCAGGTGTAAAACAGGACTAACGTGCTCATCAGGTGTGCATGTTGTTGTTGGTCAGTCTATGCCGCTATTCATTTGTGCTTCCTCTAAAACTCCACATCTATAATCCTCTTAGTCTATGCTGACATTATCTTCAGCAGCTCAAACACTCTAATGGCTGATGGACAGACAGTTGCTTCTACCTCAGAGCTGCTGTTTATGCTAATGAGGGAGGGATAGTCACTAGTGGGCGGGGCTCTCCCCTTTTGATGACACATACAAAGGGAGAACGTCAATCAAAGTGTTTCTGCACACTGTTTTCATCAAGTCTGATTAAAAGATTTAATACATGTTGTTTACCATTAGAATCTGGATTTAATCACATACTGCTGACACAACTCTGTGTAAACCCCGTATAAAAGGGAAGTTTGCATAACATTTACAAACACTCATATAAATAACTGTTTAAACAGGTCAAACTGCGCAGAAGTATTTAAAAGTGATAAATATGCTATTAAATGAATAGAAATGCCGTGTAGAGACAAATAATTATAGTCCATGTCCACCTCATTTCTGAAAAATGTTTAAAAGAAAAAAAAAACAGCAACAGTGAAAAACCAATTGAATGTTTATTCAACTAAAACACAGTGAAAAATGTTTCATAAACCCATTTGAAATGAGTTCCATGACAGAAATGACTCTGCGAGTGAATAATTAAAGCATTAAACTGTACACAAAAACAAGAAAATCAAGAGGAGCAAAAGCACTTACATAAACAATGTTGAAAAATTATAATCAGCAAGACAGAGGAATGAATTACTATACAAAAGCAGCAGTCAACTTCCCTTCTGTCATATCTTGTTGACTACACCACAAACAAAACAACCAAAACGCTGCAAATCTAGTATGATTCTACTGAATTAAGTTCTGAATCTTCAAACTAAAGCTTAAAAAAAAGAAAAGAGCCTTTTAAAGTCACCTCAAACTGGAGCAAATCAAACACAACCAACAGCACAAGAGTTACAACTAATATCAAAATTCTGATTCGATGAGCCTCACATTGGACAAAAACCTCTCTGTATGCGGTTTAAGTTTTCATGCGATGTTGAAAATAGCACATTTATCAATACTACACCGGGCTGCAGCCTTCTTAAGCACTGAATGAATGTTCATAGGCTGCTAATGATTCATTTAACACTGAACTACACTGTAAATAATGTCTATAAATGCGCAGTGTTTCATATTTTGTGTTTCAGGTTTAATTATTTATGCTTTCGAGTTGCATTATGGAAGATTTAGATTTTTTCTGACAACTTTGAACCTTAAAGTTGCAAAAAAAATTGTCATTTTTAATAGTCTGCAGTGCTATATTGTCTGTGTTGTATATTATGCTACAAACACCTTGTAATAAACAGACAGTACATTTACTGCTATTTCACAGACTTATTCCTCTATATATTCTCTTTTTAATACATTATAGCCACTAAAATGTCACTAAAAGTCACTTTGTTAAAATGTAGAGTTGAATTTGACATCAAAACTCAACAGAGCAGAGATCAACATCCCATAATGCAACTCACAACCATAAATAAACCATATGTAAACCACAAAATACAGAAACGCTCCATTAACAGATCTTTTTACAGTGTGTGCTTTATATACTCACTCACACTTTATAATAAGTTTTCATTAATGCATTTACTAACATGAACAATACTTGCACAGCATTAATCATTGATAGTTCAACATCTACTAATGCACATTCATGCTTGTTAACATTAGCTGAAGCAGTGCGAGTTAACATGAGCTGTATTTTCATTAGTTAACATGAACAAATCCTGTAATAAATGTATTGTTATTTATTTGTTCATATTAGTAAATGCATCAACGAACACTAATGTAACGTTATCGTGTTGAGTGTTACCGATATTCCTTCTGTAAGCTGGCATCAGTCTTGAGAAGCAGATCTAGAACGGGAACGAGATTTGGACCGGGAGCGAGATGCAGAACGCTTGCGGGGCGATTCTGACTGATGGCGGTTTTCTTTTGGGGACGGCGATCGGGAGGTGGATTTCACCCTCTCGCCGTCTCCATTCTCTCTTGGAGAAGCGGATCTGCTTCGGGATTTCCTGCTGGTTGATTTCTCCCTGGAGCGGCTTCTTGAATCCCTCTCGGACTTTGCTTTGGAGCGACTCCTGGAGCGAGAGCGGGACTTTTCTGTACGCGAGCGAGAACGAGACTTTGACTTCTTGGAGTGAGATTTGGAGTGAGACTTTCTACTAGATCTGGACCTGGAGCGGTATTTGCGACCGGATCTGGATCGGGAGTGCTTGCTGCGAGACCTTGAGCTGTAAAAGACAAAAAAAAAAAAAAGGCTAGACTGAAGAAAGTATTCATTGAACAACTTAAATAATAATAATAATAATAACAACAACAACAATAAATAATAACAATAATAATAATAATAATAATAATAATAACAACAACAAATAATAATAACAATAATAATAATAATAACAATAATAATAATAACAATAATAAACAACAATAATAACAATAATAATAATAACAACAATAACAATAATAACAATAATAACAATAATAATAACTTTATTACAGTTAAAAAACTGCATTTTTCCTAAAAGTACATTTTAACTTTTGTTCGAACTTTAAATAATCTTGATTTTAGTTAAATACAATTTTATTCTGATTAAAAATAATAATTGCATTACAAAGTATGGTTTACTATATAGGATAGTTTTGCTTTGGGCCAAGCTAAAAATCACGGTAATTTGTGACGCACCAAGCATGTTATACAGGCTCAGACCTTTATTTAGGGGCATGTTTTATGCGTATTGTGTTAGATTTGTTGGAAATCATTAAATAAACAAAACATACAAACAACCATTCCCTCTTTTTCCTATCTCTAGTACCAAACTTTAAAATAAGCCAGGTTTTTAACAATGACACTATAAAAATAAATAAAAGAAGATTTTTTTCAGTTGGATGTTCATGTATTAAACTATATAAAAAAACATTCTGCCTGAAATGCAGGTCAAAAATGCAGTTTTAAAAGGTTTAACAGTTTAACAGAGCAGGGATGGGCAAACTCTACCCAACACGGTTTTGTTCCAGCACTAATCAAACACACCTGAACATGCTAATCAGTGTTGAGGTTCTCGGGACCAGAGCAGATTTTTTTGTGGTGCGGCAATAAATTTCAGATTAAAATGCGATAGTGCTCGGTAACTGCAGTGTAATTTGAACCGGAGCGGATAGTCTAACAATATAGTGTTCCTGAAAGAGTGCGTGCATCTGCCGTGGTACTGTGTGTCGCCTGTTATAGGATGTCTGGCCTCTGTAACATCCAGCTGGGTGTTTTTTTTGGGAGGCATATTTAAATCGCTGTACATTTTACATTCTGCCTTGTCCCAATTTGCAGCTGCTATGTGTGTTGCTGATATGAAATATGAAACACAATCGGTAGTTAGGGTGACTTTGAAAGAGTCAGTGCCTCACCAGCCACAAACATGGCACTCATGTCTCATCACAAAGGGGTAAACAAAACTGGCATTTAGCCTACTATCCAAACACAACCAACACTTATACCCGTTATCCGTCTCTCTGTTTTGGTAATGCCCAATTTTAAAGTGAGATTTTGGAAACCAGATCTAAATTTAGCGAGAACAGTCAGGTCAGGTAGAAAACAGAACAGGCAGCGGGTGAACAAAGGCTGAATATACAGCGGGAGCAGTCGGGTGCGGAATAACACCTGGCAGGAGCAAGACTAGAAGTTTGGTCCCATGCAGATCTCTAAATCAGTGTCTTCAAGATCACTAGAAATCTACACGGTAAAAAAAATCTTGCTTTATCTTTTTTTGTTTTTAGTCATTTCAACATTCGTCAATAAAACTGACTAAAAATATCACAACAAAATTTGTATAACTCAACTTAAAATAAGTTGACGCAACATACAAATATTTGTTGTCTTGACATTTTTATCACTTTATTTATTTAATTATTTATTTTTTACAGTGTATAGGCAGGTATGTTTGATTAGGGTTGGAGCTAAACTCTGCAGGACACCCAGCTCTCCAGGACCAAGTTTGCCCATCCCTGTCAAAAAGGAACACTGCATAAAAATACGGGTCTTCCTACCGAGATCTGGAGCGGGATTGGCTTCGTGAACTCCTGCGGCTCCTGCTGCGAGAGCGGCGTCTGCTACGAGACCTGCAAACCACAACATACAAATCATCAGATCAAACCAATGAAGATTAAAAACACATATGTCAGATCTAAAGCAAGATACACAACAGAAATCAGACAGTGAAGTTCAACAAGACCCTTTTTACATTAAGACCTCATCGCCACTTTAGGTTTCAACGGGTAACATTGCACTATTATACTTATGCTATTTATACTTACAGTATATTTAAAATGCTAATTATATAAAAAAAAACAAATCCTTAACTAAAACATTGATTTACTAAATAAGTGCTTATCCAGCAGGGGGCGCTTATAGAACAGCATAGAAACTGCACAGCATCACAATATTCAGATTAAATTCAGGCAAACTTTAGCATATAACTATACACTGCATACATTTTTTTTTACTAAATTTAACACCTTGTACAGTATTTAGGACTTTAATACTTTAAGGGTCTTAAAGTATTAAAAGTTGATAAAACACGAGAGAAATTTACGACCCCCCTGAGTCTGACCTTGATCTGCTCGCAGAGTACGAGCGGCGTCGGCGAGGTTTGTCCTCTACCAGACGGATTTTTCTGCCGTTGATATCTGTGCCGTCCAGCTTGTCCAAAGCTCTCCTCATATCAGAGTGGGAGCGAAACTCAATCACGCCCTCATTGGTCCGTTCCTTGTGCGCGTCAGCATAGGTCACCTCTCCAGCTTGACGCATGAAATCCTGTAGTCAAAAAAATCCATTAAATCACTGATGCAATCTAGTGCTGCACAATATACAGTTTCAGCATCGATACTGCTACGTGCACATCTGCAATAGTCACGTCGCAGGATATGCAAGGTTAAGCCTGATTTATAGTTGACCAGAAGCTACAGAATTGTATTTAATTCGGCTGGCTTGTCAAAGCCAACCTACTGTTATCCTTTCTAAACTTAATATTTTTATTTATTTATTATTCTTCTTCTGAGACTAAATTTGCAATTCTATCTCCTCCTAGAGCGTTCAAGCTATGACCACAAAACTGGTCTGACTCTGCTATATCTTTTCTGACTGATCAGACTTTTGGTTGTCCAAAAAACGTCCCGGGATCGTCAGAAAAATCCCATAGACTTAACACTGGAGCAAATTTTGTGACCTCATAACTCTGCGTCAGACTGTCACACAAACTTCTAGCTGGGCTCATTTAACTCCGACTACCAAACTGCCAATAACTGATGAGCTTTTAACTTTCTGGCCACGCCCTAGCAACCACATTTGGACCCTAGAAACTGTCCCATAGACTTCCATTCAAAAGACTGTCATTGACTTAACATTGGATCGAAATTTGTGAGCTTAGAACTCTGCATCAGACGGTCCTACAGACTAATGGCTGAGCTCATTTAACTCAGTCTAGCCAGCAGCCAATCACTGGTGGCCTTTTAACTTTCTAGCCACACCCTAACAACCAGATACTACACCCTAGCAACCGTCCCATAGACTTCCATTGCAAGTGACAGTCATTGACTTAACATTGAATCTACCTATCTGTCTGTACTTTCAAACTTTTTTTTTATCTATCTATCTATCTATCTATCTATCTATCTATCTATCTATCTATCTATCTATCTATCTATCTATCTATCTATCTATCTTCAAACTGTTTTAAACTAAATAAACTATTATGAACAGGCTTTGTCAAGCCAGCCTTAAAGTTTGTCTCGACGAACTTTAATAATCTAGTTACTGTATGTAATGCAAAAAAAATCTTTTCTGTTAGAATAGATTAAAGAAACTCAAACTGTAAATGGTGAGGCGCCTAACTATCCCTTCAACTAAGAGAAAATGATTAAACATTTACTTCAAAAGAAAGCCTTACCTTAAGGTCCTGCCAGCTGCAGCGACTGGACAGGTTCTCCACGATCAGCCGGTACTCTGTGCGAACCGGAGGGCCATATTTGTCTCTTCCGCTTCGGCTCCTGCTGCTATAACCACTATTGCCTTCAGACAAAAGCCAAAAGATCAATTAGCACAGAATTAAGCACTATCCAAAGGGCGCACACAAGGCCACCTCTTCAGACATCATAAAGCACCAAGTTCAGGCATGAGAAAATGAAGTCTGCCTAGCCCACCCCATCGAATATAAATCACACCCAAATAAGACCAGGATAGTTCTGTAGGGAACAATTACTGTGGAGTATTAAAAACAAAAGAAATCCTGACATTTGCCGTTCAATCGGTCGCTCTGAAAGGGTCCAGGCATTGCTGGTCTTCACCCGACAGCAATATAATAACCGCTCCAGCGACACAAGAGGCGGCACAGGTTTAACGTGAGCCCCAAATTTACAGACGAGTGCACATGAAAATAACAAAAATGTATTATAATCACTTAGAAATAAATAACCAGGACTACTTACATCGGATGCTGACATGTTATCTGTCTAGTGACAGAACAGCGACAGCACAAGACATAGCAAGGGAAGCCCATTGCTCTTTTTAATACAAGAAAAGAAAAAAAAAAGAAAAACTAGCGGGTGGCTACATAAAGTTTAACCTGACCAATATTTCGTTCAACATAAAAACCAATGGGTTTCCTCACCATCACCCTGGTCTATTGGCAAAAGGCAGCTGTCATCATGGCTTCCGGTTAGGTCAGCCAAGGGTCAAAGGGCAAAGGTCACACACACATTGTAAGGTGAAAGCCAAGGCCAAACGGGACAGGCAGTCATCTTAGCCTCAATGGACTCGGACTCAGCCCGCACCGGACTCTTTTAAATTGAAACATCAAGGACTTCTGTTAATGTTGAATTCAGATGTAAACACAATATCGCATCGTCACACGTCATACTGTTTACATGCCAGCGAGGCTGTAGGAATCAAATATAGATCAATTGCTCAATCCATTGGTAGGAATAGATTTAGAGCTGGACTAATAGAAAGTGAGTAAACAGCCCGCCGTCTGACATGTAAACATCTTTAGTTAGTCACTCTCCCTGATGTTTACTCAGATTACACTGCACATTTTCATGACCCTTGGCGTTTAAATTGGGCCAACACTACAAAAGCAATTTTGGAGGAAATCCCCATTTTACAAAAGGTCACATTGTAGGACCGTCGGCAATTAAATACATTAGATCCTAAACGGCGTCCATCCAGAAGACAGGCACTGCACACTTTAACAGAGAAATTCGGTTAGTCACTGGACGCAGGCGCTTCTGTAAATTAAGGAAACAGTTATTCACTTCCTCTTTTTTTCCTTGAACCTGAGGAAAAAAGGAGGAGAGCAGAGTTTTACAGTAGAGATCAATGAGACTGAACTTACTGCGGCCCCCGAAGCCCCCATAACCCCCACCATATCCATCCCGGTCCCGGCGCGGTCCTCTGGCATGCTCCACGATCACACGCTCCCCGCACAGCTCTTTACCGTTCAGCTCATACACGGCATCATCTGCATCACGGGTGTCCTCAAACTCCACAAACCCATACCTGAAACATTTCAAATCAGAACTCTTGAGCGCCTCCAGGTGCTGTTTACTGTAACTTCAGCAGCTCTGTGCACGTGAGCAAAAGTGCCGATCTGATTGGTGGAGAAGATTTTGACGCGGCGCGTCAAAACAAAAAACCGAGCATTAGGCGGGTTTTTTTTCAAAATGACACTTTTGCGCCTGCCGTTTTGCGCGTTGGTGTGCACGATCACATTGACGCTTGCTATTTAGTCGCGAGGCGTTAAACGTCGACGGAAAATGCGAGCAAAAAACATCTCTGTGTGCACGGGCCTTTATTCATACCACACATTAAAGTTAATTATATATAAAGTCATAGTGTACACAACAATCTCTGGGCTTGCTGCATCACAAATATCAAAATTGTAACTATTTATAAAAAAATAAATCACTTTCTGGCCATCAGATATTATTCATAGACATATATATTGCGATCGTAATTTTCAGGCTGGAAAATGACCAGCTAAATCCAGCCAAGCCAGGATGAGAGTCCAGACAAAACCAGCTATTTCCAGCTTAAACCAGGCTGGTCAAGCTGGTTTTAGCTGGATTTAGCTGGTCATTTTCCAGCCTGACCAGCTAAGACCAGGCTGGAAATTACTGGAAACCAGACTGGAAATGGCCAAAACCCTTCTAAAACCAGGCTGGTCAATCAGATAAATCCAGCCTAGGCTGGTTTAAGCTGGATTTTTCAGCAGGCAATTTTAACCAGTTCCTGCTTTTTAAAAATATACTCTTTTGTGCTCAACAGAATATATTGAGTCAAGCCAGTACGGAACAAGACAGGTGAATGGGCGAGTAAATTATACATTTTCAGTTCTGGGTGAACTAACGTTAACGTTCCCCCTTTAATGTGCATTCAACTGCTGTAAAGGCCAACACAATGTAGCATCCGGGTATTTCTTGCATAGAGCAACTGTGCACGGAGCCCCATAATACACATACACTAGTGCTTCAGTTGATCGAATCGTGATATTCTTCTTCAGGTGCATTTGTAAACATCTAATAATACTAAAGTGGTGCATTAATAACGCGAGCGCCAAGTAAACAACGGCGCGTAAAAAAAACGTCACGTCAGCACCTTCAACGACCAGTTTACTAACTTACATCACGTTAATAACATCAGCTGATTAAGTTAACTATTAATCAACCAACCGTATTCAGCATTAGAATCTGTGACCAGTTCAAAAGTCTTACTACTTTCAGGATAAACGAGGTTGTACACAAACAATCCGCCATTTTGAGCACGCGGTAAAAGCCTAAGCTCGAAGGAAATTAATATAAACTTACAATCGTTAAAACACAACATTAAGCATTTAAACTACTATCGTTGTATAAACATAAAAACATTCCCCAAATAATCTACATAGGACATCAATTAACGTATATATGTAACGTTAATTAGTGAAGTTGGTGTTTGCGTCGAGGCCGCACCGCGCGTTCCCGTCCACCCTCAAACTCACCCGTTTTTAAGATCGATCTCCATGAGTTTCCCGTAGCCGCCAAAAAACCTCTGGATGTCCTTCTCCCGCACATGATAGCTCAGCTTGCCGATGTACACCCGCGGCATGCTTATCCTCGGTCAATATCCAATAAACAAAGGCAAAAACAAAACCCTTGTGGATTAAACGCTCTTCGGAATGGCCACCAAGCAAGCGCCTAGGCTACGTCACTTCCTGCGATACTAAACACTAAAAGGACGTACTGTTGGATACACAAATATAAACGTACACACCACAATCCTTTTTAAAACATATATTTTGTTTACTGAAATGAAGCATTTCTTTGAGACTAATTCTTTTATGTCTAACCCTGTTACAAAAGACGTAAAATATGTGAAATGTGCAATTAGCGAGTGTTTATACACTTTTGAATTTCTTTGTTTTTATCTTTTATTTCTCTTGTTTGTGTTTTACTATTGCTAACATCTTTTTGCATTGTACTTAATTAAAAAAGGATGTATACGTTGGACTTTGTTGAGTATGAGCACCAGTTCTATTTGGTGAATTTGGTTTTGTTGCCAAATTTTTAACACTCAACATCAAATATTACATTTTTATATCTACATATTTAACATTCAGAGCAAAACTCTTAATTTATCCATTGTCAAGCATAAAAAGGACGTGTTTGCAATCCTTTCCTTAGTTTTGATGACTTGTAAACCTCATTTGTGCTTTATTAAATGTATATTGTTTAATATCCCCATGTTTTGTTTGTTAATTTTTCTGTCTCGCTCTTTTTCTTTCTCTGTTGTTTTTTTCATCATTGAGAATCATATTGTTCATAGTTATTCTATATTAAATAAATAATGCTTATTATTATTATCCGCATATGTGCTTATTTTTATTTACACCACAAGTGTACAGTTTCTTAAAATGGCTTTTTTTGTGTAATATATATTTTTAATAATCACATTAAACTATTATATATTTTTTTCCAAGCTAGAGAAAGTCTGCAGTAGAATTTAAAATGCTAATAATTTTGACAAATAATTACCAAGAAATTGAATTAAACATGAAGTTATTTGACTTAAAGATAATAATATTAATTTTATTTGTAAGTCTCTTAGATATAACAAAAACTTCAGCAAATATATATATATATATATATATATATATATATATTGTGATTTTCATTGATTTCAATTGTCCTAATTAAAAACACTGATACTTTTGCAGAAGTTTTTGTTTGTTTATATATATATATATATATATATATATATATATATATATATATATATATATATATATATATATATATAATTTTTTTATTTTATATAAAATATATATATATATATATATATATATATATATATATATATCAGAAAAACAAAACAACACAATGTCAGAGTTTTTTAGTCTTGTTCAACACATCCACAGATTCCAGTGTTACTTAATAAATTATCAATAAAGTGCCTGCTTATAAAGTGGACCACTTATACAATTTGCAATATTACAGTCAAGTTTTTTTGTTGGACAGAACTTCAACTGCAATTACATTACAGCACCAGCAAACATAATTATATTAAATACTTCATTTGTATTTATATGTATTTACTAACATGAACTAAGAATGAACAATACCCATACAGCATTTATTAATCACAGTTCAACATCTACTAATGCATTATTAGGATCCACAGCTGTGCTTGTTAACATTAGTTAATGCATTAAGAGCTAACAGGAACTAATAATAAATAGCTGTATTTTCATTATCAAAGGTTAACAAACACTGTGATAAATATTGCATATTGTTCATTGTTTGTTCATATTAGTAATGTATATATTAATTAGCATTAACTAGTCAGTCTGGCACCTATTGTAAGGCATCTCAGGGTATAGTAGATGTATATTAGTATTTCTCTATAATTTACTCTGCGACACCTCCTTGACTCGTATCACTCCCTCTTGTGCGCAGGAAGCTGCCAGAACTCCATCCTGTCTCCACAAGCGGCCCTGGACGAAGCCTCTGCTGCCTCCTGAAAACAAATACAGACACTTGCAGATTAACCCTTGTGTGCTGTTTGTTGTTTTTATCCACTCTGTGGTGATTTTGAGTCTTAATTTGGCCACAACGTCCTCTGTGTTTCAGCAAATGGAATGATTTTTTGTTTTTTTATTGCATATTTTGGGAAATAAACTCAACAATACACTCTGGCTATAATGTTGACCCCCCTTTCATTATGTTGGGGGCTGTTTTTGACGTCCCATTGACTTCTATTATAAATTACTTTTTTTACTGCAAAGCCATGACAGCATATAAACATGCATTCTTGATTGTTGCTGGTTTTCCCTGTTGGGAATAGGTAAAATTAGTAATTTTTATTGTTGATTATCAGTCGGCAACATTAACCCTTTAGATAGGCCTGTGCAAAAGAGTTCTGTGGAGTAAAAACAGCAGATTATAGTGTGTGTGCAGAAGTAAACTCACTAGCCGCGTTTCCACTATCGCGCCTAAAGCGAGCGAGCCAGGGCAAGCCAAGGCCAGTCGCGTTTCCACTGTCACTTCCGGGGCCTAAACAGGCCAAATCGGGGCTTTCTTGGGGCCAGCGGCCAGCCTTTTTCAGCCCGCCGAATACTTTGAGCCAAAGAGGGCCAGCCGGGGCTTCAGGGCGAAGTGAAAGGAGAGGCGGGGGCAGTTTTCCGATCGCACATGAGTAAATGCGCCAAACACATAACAAACAAATAAATAAATAAATAGGGGAAAGAAAACATTTGGAACTGTAGATGTGGAACTTTTAAATGTAAGGCTGTTGCATACAATAATAAAGTAGTTTTAATTTAAATTTAAGTGACTTTTCTTTGCTGTGTCCTCCTTGATGTTTCAATGACGCATAATAATCTTTACACCATATTAAAGACACAGCAGACAGTAAAGGTTTTCAAGAGTTTTTGTCAAGTTTAAAAGGTGTGTTTGTGCGCGTTTAGATGCCTGTATGTGTGTGTGAGACCGAGGAAAAGAGCGCTCCCTTCACAGCTCTGTTGATGCCGCGAGCGGCTTTTTTTCTTTTCTTTTTTATTGTTTTTATCTATTTTGGAGATAATACACTATATGAATACAACAGAAAGACATTAAACTTTACAACTTTCGTGTCCACTTTTGTAGGCTCAAAACAATAGTGTCATGATAAAATAGCCTGAGCTATATTGAAATAATTTTAAGAATTACAAATATCAGATATAATAAAATCACATTAAATAAATGAATCAATATAAAACTAACAAAAGCTAGCTAATAATTAGGTACTATATCAAACTGTTTTAAAGATATTAAACTTTCATTTTTCAAAAGCCTCTCTGAAAAAAAAATTGTTTGTTATGATTGTCCTAATTTTAATAGTTTCGTGATGATGTGTTGTGCTTTATCTGCCTGATTCCCGCTGAAGTGGGCGGATTGAGTGACATTCGATTAGGGGGGTGTTCTGGGGGCGGGGTTTGTGTCACGCGCTGCGAGCTACTAGCCCGACAGTGGAAACGCGACATGATTTCGGCCTCACTGCTGAACCTCCCTGGCTCGCACTGGCCCGATAGTGGAAATGCGGCTACTGTGTTTACAGTGTTTTGAGGGGCTTATTTTGATTTTCCCATATCAAGATAAGTGCACAAAGGTCTCTCACACACACACACACACACACACACACACACACACACTATAGTCCATAAAGAAGGCAGAAACTAAGCATATTTTGCACTGCAACTGATGATCAACAGTTAAAAACGAAGGAATTAATGATTATTAAAGCTCAGATAATCAGTTCCTTCCCTGTAAATTGCAGCCTGGTTTGTTATTTATTAAATCCTCCAGAGTAGGCATGGGACAATAACCAGTTTCAAGGTTTTAAAACCGCTAACATTTTCCTGTTATACCATTCCTATGGTATATGTACTTTTTTTTGTGGTATATTTTGGTATATTTTTTATGGTATATGTACTTTTTTGGTATATTTTGGTATATTTTTTATGGTATATGTACTTTTTTGGTATATTTTGGTATATTTTTTATGGTATATGTACTTTTTTTGGTATATTTTGGTATATTTTTTATGGTATATGTACTTTTTTTTTTGGGTATATTTTGGTATATTTTTTATGGTATATGTACTTTTTTTGGGTATATTTTGGTATATTTTTTATAGTATATGTACTTTTTTTTGGGTATATTTTGGTATATTTTTTATAGTATATGTACTTTTTTTGGGTATATTTTGGTATATTTTTTATAGTATATGTACTTTTTTTTGGGTATATTTTGGTATATTTTTTATAGTATATGTACTTTTTTTTGGGTATATTTTGGTATATTTTTTATAGTATATGTACTTTTTTTTTGGGTATATTTTGGTATATTTTTTATGGTATATGTACTTTTTTTTTTTTTTTTACAAATATTTAATTGAGGTCTTTAAGGCAACAGTATCTCAAGCAGAAAAGATCCCTCCATATCAAAAGCTACTGGTCAGCTCAGGATTCAGGAAACATCTGAAAAACAAATCTCTTATGAAGCAACATCCAGCATGCTGTAGGGCTGAACACTGCAGTGGCTTTACTTTATATCCACAGACAAGAAAGATCCCCAAAGATGCTGTAAAGAAATCAGTGTTTTTGAAACAAATGAAGACAGCAGAAGTCAACGATTTACTTTAATTATTCAGCCTGACATGTTTACTGCTGCAAAATATTAGACAAGTTTCTTAAAATAAAATATATTGTGTTCAATTGGGGGGAAGGTGTTGTTGTTGTTTACCCAGACATTTAAAAAGAATATATTTTAAAGCAGTAATCGCAATACTGTCATATATTTATGCAGGTTTATCCTACCGTTAGAATCTTACATCAACCCATGCCTAGTCCAGAAATAAGCAATAATGCAGAGAAGCGTCTGCTGACCTGACCAGGGGCTTTCACACTCGTACAGCATCCACTCGTCTGCTCTGAACGTGCTGTGAAACCACATGGCGTGATCCAGAGAGGCTGAGAACTGCGACCTGTAGTTTGGGTACGGTAACAGCGCCGTCCCCAGGAAAGCGTAGTCGGACACATACGCTGCCACACAGCGGTGCAGTTTCATATCGCCAGGTCCTACAACAAAAGCAAAAAGACCGCTGGTTCGAACCTCGACTGGGTCAGTTGGCATTTCTGTGTGGAGTTTGCATGTTCTCCCTGTGTTGGCGTGGGCGTCCGGTTTCCCCAACAGTCCAAACACATGCGCTATAGGGGGATTGATGAAGTAAATTGGCAGTAGTGTATGAGTGTGTGTGTGAATGAGTGTGTATGGGTGTTTCCTAGTAATGGGAGGGCATCCGCTGCTTGCAACATATGCTGCATAAGTTGGCGGTTCATTCCGCTGTGGCGACCTCTGAAATAGAGACTAAGCTGAAGGGAAATGAATGAATAAAATGGTGATATGCATGTTTTACCTATATATCCTCTGGCTCGCACCCAGATCAGTGTTTTTGCCTCCATAGCAACACGTCTGAAGAAATCCGGTGGATTGACTGGCTTGATCTCTATCGGAACTTCATCCGCTCGTATTTTATTCAGACCCTGCCGAGTGTTGTCTGCCAGATCCGGTTTACTGTAAAACAAACAAAACACAAGGTACGAGTGTGACATGCAGTGGTTTAATAATCAGTCAGTTTTTAATCACAGCAGACTGGGCTTATGGCAGTATCAAATGTTCTTGTTGCGATTAATTGTCCAAGATTTTATCACAATATATGGTATTGTAAATATTTTTAACCAAGCCGTAAATAAAATGTTACTTTAACAGGTTTAATAACCAAACCTTTGTGCGTTATTGTATGAACAAATTCAGAGTAAACACGTTTCAAATGAAACTGCAAACTAATCATGGAGTAAAACAGGTAACACTGGACAATAAAGTCTCATTAGTAAATGTGAGTCATTTATTTATTTTTGGCTTTAATAATTCTGGGGTCTCCACAGCGGAATGAACCGCCAACTGATCCAGCATATGTTTTATGCAGCAGATGCCCTTCCCACTGCAACCCATCACTGGGAAACATCCACACACACTACATACAATTTAGCCAGCCTACCAAATACCACATCTTTGGAGGAAACCGAAGCACCCGGAGGAAACATGAACACGGGGAGAACATGCAAACTCCACACAGAAATGCCGACTGACCCAGCCGAGGCTCGAACCAGCGACCTTCTTGCTGTGAGGTGAACGTGCTACCCACTGCGCCACCCTAAATGTGAGTTAATGCTTTAAAATCAACAGATACTTTATAAATATTAGTTTAAAATATAATTAGTTACTACATTTAATAAAACAATTCTGAATCATAATCAGATTATGACAATGATTTTAATGCATTAAGCAGTAACTATAAAATGAACATCACCTACGATTAATAAAAGCATCTGTAGCTTTCATCTTAAGTTTAATTAAATAACCTAATGTTACCCTAATTTTTTAAATAATACATTTAACCGTATTGCACAGTGGTAACGAACAGTAGCCCGATATACAGTCCTATCATTTTCAATCAATATTTCAGCTTCAAGTAGGCCAAATTACCATGTTCCTGCTTTAAGGCAAATATTAAAAGCCCTGAGTAAAAAGCTAACTTTCCATGACATTAATAAATGAAAAACACAAAATACAAAAATATACATATTGATAAATGGAAATTATATTTAAAACCACAAAAAAAAAAATCCCTGATTTTCAACGACTTGGACAAGAATATAATGATTACATGACTTTCAATGTCTGGAGTAGGCCTTTTAAAGGGAATCTATTGTGCAAAAATTACTTTTATAAGGGGTTTACACACAGTTGTGTGTCAACAGTGTGTGAATATATCCAGCTTTTAATGGTAAACATCTATTAATTGTATTGTTTATATCTAGACTTGATCAAAACAGTCTGCAGAAACACTTAGTTTGACATTCTCCCTTTGTACGTGTCATCAGGGAGGGAAAGCCCCGCCCACTAGTGCCCATCTGCCCGTCATTAGCATAGTTAGTCTTGTTTTTGAATCTGCCTCTATGCTGACACACAGACATCTGTAGCTCCGCCTCTTTTAAAAAGAGCTTATTCTCATTTGAATTTAAAGCGACAGTCACCAAAACACCACAGTTAGGATCAAAGCCTAAAAGGGTCCGTTTCACACAGTTATAAAACATTATTTATGTGGTATTTTGTGCTGAAACATTCTAGGGACATCAGAGATGCATTTTAAATCTTGTAAAAAGAGAGCATAATAATAAAATTCCCCATGAGAGTGACCTGAGGAAGCGCTGTATGAGCTCCTCCACGGTCAGCAGAGTGTCTGGCGGAGGGACGCTGGGCATGCTGAACTGGTGCTCCAGAGGACTGGGCTGCTGCATGTGAAACGATGCCTGGAGGATGAGAATGGGCTGACCGTGCTGGATGGCCTTCACCGATCGCACACAAAAACTGCGGCCGTCGCGCGTCCTCTCCACCTGGTACAGCACCGGCACCTTCGGGTCCCCTGGAAAATATACAGGTGAAGTCAAAATTATTCGCTCTTGTGTGAATTTTTAAAAATATTTCCTCAAATGATGTTGAACGGATTCAGGAATTTCTCAAAGTATTTCCTATAATATTTTTTCTTCTGGTGAAAGCCTTATTTGTTTTATTTGGGCTAGAATAAAAGCAGTTTTTAACTGTTTTAGAGCCTTTTTATGGTCAATATTATTAACCCCTTCAGCAATATTAGTTTTGGATTGTCTCCAGAACAAACCACTGTTATACAATGACTTGCCTAATTACCCTAACCTGCTTAGTAACCTAAGGGAAGTTTATTTATAAACTAATTTTGAGAGGATCATGTGCTTAGGATTTATCACAGTTGGTCTCGCATTAACTAATCATGATCTTCCAATCATATGATTTATAAGTTACTATAAATAACGACAGTCTTTTGTGGATCTGTCAGCGCCGCTCCAGAGGCGTTGCTCGCTGCAGAAGTTGGGAATAGCTCAACTTTTCAAGCGCCGACAGAAGCGTCAGCCAATCAGATCGCTGTATGCAAATACACCAGCTAGACAGTGGCTGCGTCCGAAACCGCCTACTACTCAGTAGGTGCTGCATTTGAATTTAAACGTACTACTCGGCCGTTAGAAAAGTATGTTCTATACAGTATGAACGTGAAAAGTATGAATGGAATTCGGACGCACTACATCCGCCATTTTGTCATGGTCACGTGACCTGCCTGCGTCAACTGCGTCGCTTTACTCCCATTCATGAATTCGCTCGCAGGGCATTATGGGATAGCGCAGCATGCATGGGATGCGCACTCTAGAATCTCGCCGGAAGTAGTAAGTCATCCGGGTACTTCTCGCATACTGTTTTTCGAATTCTATGAATTCGGACATACTACTCGGCTCGCATACTGATTTTAGCGTACTATATAGTATGGAAGTATGCGGTTTCGGACGCAGCCAGTGGCCTATTGCTGACTGAATTTCATTGGCTGACGCTTCTATGACGATCGTTTCAGCCCCAACTTCAGACACGCCTTCAGTCAAGCGTTGACGCTGAAGCCCGTGTGAATGGGGCGTTACACTTCCATGTGCTTTTTCTGTTGTTCTGCAAGAACACTTCCAAATCGCTAGATGGCAGTGAGGTGATTATGTTATGTCGAGTTTCTTCACTGGTGTTTTGTTTTTTCTGAATGCTACCTTAATGTCCAAGTGGCTCAAACTCGCTCATTTTGAGGCAGGAACGAGGGGATGTGCAACAACTTTAATCATGAGGTAAACACAAAACAAAACTTTCCATCCGGAGCTCCCTCACGGGACTTCACACTTGTAAGTAATCGCTCCATCTGGCTCGCGCGGCTCTCAGTCCCACCATGACTCGTCAGCGCTACCAAGCCGACTAATAACAGAGCTTGCGCCATGTAGTTAAATTTTTTTAGAGGTGCGCGTCAGCCACGCCAACGGCCACGGCGTAGGGCTATGCGTCAACATGTAGGCTGCGCCATAGCATACGAGTGCGCTTGACGCAGAAGCATAAATCAGCCTTTAGCCCCACAGCAAGAACACTGCCGGCCCAATTCACCTGTACCGCATGTCTTTGGACTGGGGAAACCGGAGAACCCGGAGGAAACCCACGCGAATGCAGGAAGAACATGCAAACTCCACACAGAAACACCAACTGTCCCAGCCGAGGCTCGAACCAGTGACCTTTTTGCTGTGAGGGGACAGCACAACCTACTGCGCCACTGTGTCACCTTATAAAAGCAACTTTACCTCAAAATGCCTTAAGTGTCTTAGAAATAAACACAACATCACCTGCTCTGACAAAGTAGCAGTGCAGTGAATGAGCATAGAGGTGTTCAGCAACTGAATTGGCTGCAGCTACGAGAGCCTGTCCCACAATCTGGCCCCCGAAGAGCCGCTTAGTGCGGGGGACCCAGTGGTGTGTCCCTCTGTAGACAAAACACACGCTTTAAGTTAGTTTAATATAATGTACATGCAAAAAATATCTTACTGACTCAATACAAAATGGTTATATAGACAGCAAATCTAGCAAACACGTGTACGTATTATAAAAAAGTAATTTGTTTACCTGTACAGGTCGGTGTCGAGCTTCTCTAAATTTAACACACTTGTAACCAGGACACTTCTGAGGTCTGGTTCACTTGATTTAGACACACGGTTTACTTCATTACCAACCGGAGATTCACTACCGCGTTCAGCCATGTTTACTGTACTGTGCTAAAGGCGAATCTTTCGAATCGATTCCCAATGATTCATTTATGATGTTCGCGGAAGTACTCCATTGGTGGAATGTTACATGATTTATTTGTTGTAATACAATATCCGTTGGTAAATATTGTAAGTTGTTGTTAAATTGATGTATATAAATGATAAGTATTAGAGTCATTATGGGATAAATAATCGTTTTGAGTCATCAAATCAATGGAATCTTGATTCACTGTCTCGAACTAAGAACTCAGCGCACTTGAGGACCTCTACTGGTCAACAGGCAGCTGGAAAATAGCTTTATCGTTGTTATGTTATGGGAAAACGTACTCTTTTGCTTTACTGTCTATCCTAACCAAGACAATTATATTTATTTAATTAATTTGATTATTCTGTTTACCAAATTTTACATTCATAATAGCAAATTCACTAATAGGAAACCTAATTTTATGGTTTTGTTGGTTGAATTATGCTTACATATTACCAGTATGAGAGACTTTTAAACAAGAAAGTC